CTGAAGAACGGTTGGGTGATTGAAAGAAGATAGTCGACTTGGCGCTATTCCTCTTCGTTTAGTTGAAGATCTACCTGGTTATATACCCGGCAGAACTTATTGAACGTTGACTGTAGCCGTTTCGCTCGCCGGAGCATCAGAAAGGTTGAATTCTAGCGGGTTTTGACATCTTGCATCGGTATAAGCTTTAGCTCTTTGGTCTGGAGCTCTAAGAAATGCTCTCGGCGCTAGGGACTCTTGTTGATGTAGACGGCAAGCTTTCGGATCTAGTGGATAGAAGACTATTAGTAAGGTTAGAAAGATAAGTAAGAGGTAACCGTACCTTATTTAGCGTATAGATGATCTTATAATTCTCTCGGCGAGAGGATACGGTTCCACTAGTAAAATCTATCTCTTCCCGCTCATTCTTCGGATTAGCGTCTATCTGGCCAAGAAGCTCTTTCAGACTAAGCTGAATAACGTGTGCAATACATAGCATACGGATAATAGGTATATTGCTTAGTAGCTCAAGCCCCTGAATAGATCCCTTAAGGCTCTCTACTAGCGTTGAGTTATTAGACGCGTTATCAGTAGTAATGGTTAATACCCTATCCTTAACTCTATGCTTCTGCAATAGTGGGAAGAGAACTGCGCCAAGATTTATACTAGTATGCGAACTATGAACAGGTTCAAAGCCAAGCAGTATCTCGCGGTAGTTCCAGTCTTGGTTAATGAAATACCTAGTAACTGCTATAAAGGCCTGGCGGAAAGGTGAGGTCTAACAATCTAATGCAATAGAGAGCTTCTTATCCTTAGGTAGCGTTTGAAGGAGACTCTGTTGCTGTTCTTTAACGATTATATGTAGCCGACGACGGATAGTAATCGATGTGGGTAATTCGGGCATACTTGGGGCAAGACGGATTGTTTCAACCAAAGCGCGAAACTGGGGGTGTTTAATAAGCTGGAACGGTAGTTGTAAGCTTGAGAGGAAGATAAGAATCCTCTCAATCCAGGCATTGTTTGTAAAGGCAGACTTTTGGGGTGCGAGATGTGTCTAGTGTAAACCTAATATTATTATAAGTCGGACAAGTAGATATATTTGTTAACTTACCCTATTTTGGATGAGTCTTCGAATATCCTTTGACTGTGGTGTCTTTTTCCGATAATTAACACTCCCCTGGTAGTGTTTATTTATAGAAGACGTTCCTCGGTGACTATCTGCGGGGTATGAAAGGGTATAATCGTATGTTTTGTATATAACCCTCGGTTCCCTATCAGAAATAGTAGCAACTTAGTGAAAATGCTTCTAGCATTCTGCTGTTCGTGCTCTACGCTTATCCTCGAACAGATTGCGGTTGATACGGCTACCAAACTCGGTTTTCAACCACTATTCGATAAATTCATTGTTCACTATCTCCGTCTACAATGCAAAGTTCTTCCTTCTTAGAGATCCAACGCGCTTAAGGATCTCTGGCGGAGATGCTGATCGAGGGTGAGAAAAAACAATATCCGTGGTATAATCTGAAGTCTTGCTGTATAACGCATTAGGGGGGAAGGATTGGACGCTATCGGATGGAAGGAAAGGTAGGTTATCTTGAGGTGTATCCTCGAAGATAGATGAGGGATACTGATCGGAGAACTGAGAGAGTTGACTCTGTGATATTATGAATAAGAGAACAGAGGTATGAGGGAGAGTAGATAGACAGAAGAGACTTACAGAAAGCCCTATAACTAGGAAAGGATTTATCAGAAAAGTTAGTATACCGCGGTCGTCGCTAGCTGTACGAACGCGTGGATATTTCAATATAGACTAGGTCTACTGCCGCTGCGCGTGATAATTGGCTATTAAAACCTACACCGCCAGGTTCTCTTAGGTTCTTCCCGGGTCGAACTAGGTAGAACCTGGTAGCCCCGGAGAACCTAGTAGCCCCTGGGGTTGTAGCATTTCTACAGAAATCAGCCGACCGAAGACTTCAGCAGATACTGCGGCCAAGTAGATTAGCTACTTTGGACGACAAAAATTGTTCATATTAGCAGGCCGATTTAAATTTAAAAAGCTGATGTTACTTCTGAGAGCTATCCTGTTCATTTGAGCATATTTTTAGCTTGTTCAATTGAGATTCTAGGCGTCTATATTATTTAAAGCGGTTCTACAGAGCTACATGAGGCAAAATATATATTTCCACTATCTTACACTACGATCTCTTTAGTATACTATCTCCCCACCCACAAAGACTAAAGTAAGATTGAATCTAAAGGTGAAGCCATATTTCTAGCCGAAATAACTGACATACGAGATCATTTCATATAATTTCATGTACTAGCAAGGTACAGTCGAAGACCAGTTGATGCCGAAACCAGAACAGGTGTAAATAACAGTAATAAAAAGGAATGAATCAGCAATTTATCCAGCCAAAATAGGAAATTTCTTGGCAAAATTATGCACTCCAGGTTCCTGCAGGTGCGAACTGGGAAGAGCCTGCAGGGTTGTTGGTCCGGTTCCAGTTCTACAAGTTGGAACCTGGGACCCGGATGGTCCGACTCCAGGTTCTGACCTGAGGAACCGGAACCGGACCATGTCGAGGCCTACTTGAGAATCAGACTTCGCTAACCTGAGCGGCTTTAGGCTCCGCGGAGTGGACTGCGGGGTGAGGGTACGGCGGTGCGTAGCGGCCATTCTCCAGTGCATAATTATTAAGCAAGATTTACTGGCAGAATTTACGACCAAGTCACGTTTCTCCACAATTAAACTATGTACTTTCGAAGTAGCCACATAATCTCTCATAAGGGCTTATCAAATTCACGTTTACAATAATCTATCTAACTCATAAGGGCTTAGTTATGAGGCAGAATTAAGGCTAGCTTAGGAGGGGGGAAGGGGGTGGAAAAGGGAAGAAATAATCCTTAACGGAGGTAGAGGAGGCCAAGTATTAAGGAGAGAGAATGATCACATGACTAAGATTCAGGGATTTTCACGTGATTTTGCCTAAAAGGTAAGGTATCAGTAGAAGGGCGGACCCAGAGGCGGTCAATCATATACATGATTTAGCACCAGTCTTGCTTAATAATTATGCACTGGAGAATGGCCGCTACGCACCGCCGTAGTGAGGGGTATTGGCGGGATTGGCTTTCTCTCATTGGTTTAGATCGGGTGGCATCTGAGTCCACGGCCCGTGATTGATGGGATTTGCTTGATGAGGGCGGCTGCAAAAAATAGATGTTTTCGAATTAGGGTGGGCGGGATTCTTAACGGGAGTGTTCGATATGCAGAGCGACAGACGTTCGTCCGCGTCCTTCGGAAGCGTACCAGGCCATATTCCCCCGTGCATCTTGCATGTAGCTTGCCATTCATCCAGATGATGAGATGCGCTCCTAACGGCAATTTCTAGCTGGACACTATCGTCTTGTCCGATCACTGCCATGTGATTGATTCCGTATATTTCGGTCAAGATCTAATTCAATTTAATCATTTGTGGCTAAAGATGCCTCTGAGTGAGGCGCGGATCTCGACTGGATTTGAGTTCTCTCGTTCTAATTGAAAGAATACTTTTTCGTCGATCGGCAAAGGGATATCATCTCGATGCTCGCCGACGTCTGACCTTGTTCTGATTCCTCGCAATTTACAGTACAAAGATTTGAAGACTCCAACGGTGGACTGCGGAAAAGAACAAGGTTTCAACCAACCAGGCTTGCTGGATCCCGAGCCTAAGGATGGAGAGGAACAGGGCCGATTGGACAGCGGCGAACGTAATATACTGAGCTTCTAAAACCTCAAACCACCATTTAACATTCTCAGTCTCGCTCCCGTGAGAGAGTTTTTTCACCTCGCTCTAGGCGTAATTCTACCTCCATTAACGGCTCTCGTAACCTTTCATGCTCGGGCGAACGGACCACTGCTTGAATTTATCTACTCCGTCCGTTGTGCCTCGATCTTCCTGTTCTGACCGGCCTGCCCCGAGCTTCCCCATTTTAACATTTGAACAATATTGCGTAGAGGAGGAGTGAATAGGAAGAAAATGTACATATATATCAATCATCGCACGAAGGAGTGTTGGATTAAGTTTCGGGCTGATAGGGAGTATTTCACTACTAAGAACTAGTTGATTCGGCGACCACCCACTCCTCCAGATGTTTTTGTATAGTAAACCAGGGCAACTCGGAACACCCACCTTGTAGCACGTGAATGCTAGCCTATCAGGCGATGAGATTCTCTCAACAGCGATCTCCAGGATAGTCCTTGAATGAACTCAATTGTTTCCTCAGTACTAGTCAAGTACGGAAATCCTAAGGCTTCTTTATCCAGTCCTCGGTGGATTACCACGTCCTGGAAGGTGCTAGCGGTATTTTAATTTTGCTCAGTTCGACAGCTGATTTCTGGAATTTTTAGGCACAGCTTTACAAGGCATTAGCTTCCATTTGTTGAGAAGTCAGCCTTGCTTGCTCTGATTGCAGATAGTCGTATTCGAAGAGGTAATCAAGTACCAGTTATTGTAACATCCAGTGCCACCCAATTCCAAATATATCATATAGAAAGACCTAACGGCCAGAACGGTAGACCAGTGGCCAGTTCTAACGAAGCTGCTCATAGACTAGCATACTGCTCGCGATGAGGGCGAAATGATGCGAACTCGGCAGGTTAGTTCTGCCAATCAGGTGGGCGCGACCCAGGTGACTGTTGATCATTATCATTACATTCCTCTGATTATCCTTACATTCTTCCGATTATCCCAATCTGGCTGCGTTTACACCCAGCGGGCGCCCTGTTCCGGCGTGATTCTCCGCACGCCGATTATCGATGTTTTACCCGACGATGGGCAATTTGCCGATGGAGATCGTCACAAAATATCCGATAAGCCTAAAGACCCTTGAGCCTGCAGTTCTGCAGTGGATTCATCCCTGCCAGGCATCTGCGGGGAAATGGCACCGTTAACCACAACAGCTAACTGTGAGATTGCATAAAGTCAGTCCTTTGCACGAAAGTCAAAGACTTCTCCACACCATCAGATTGCCTTTCTGCCAATATGGCAAAATTTAAGCATGCAATTGCTGCATTGGCAGTGTATCTGGTCACCACCACTGCCGTCATATTCAAGCCCCAGAATGAGTTTAAAGCTCTATCTGCGGAAAACACATCCTTCGCGGTCGATTTGCAGCCATGGTTCAATAATCGGGCTTTTGGTTTGAAACCGAATGACTCGAGTTTTGACGGCAAAGGAAGTGGGTGGCCTCTGTCATGACCAACTTCATGCATTCAAGAACTAACATGCAATCACTCATCATAGATTCGTACCCCGCAGCACAAATGCCACCTGAGACGTTTGCATATGGAGGAATCAATTATAAATTCTCCTCCTACAATGCCACGGGCTTTGACAATATCCTTGTCAAAGGACAAACCATCGATATCCCCCGGGGGAAATATTTCAGTTATCAGATGCTGGCGGCTTCCGAGTCCGGAATGGCCTCTGGCTCAGTGACAGCAAAGTACGCTGATGGCAGCTCCACGGACGGGCCGCTTCTAGTTCCTGCTTGGTGGAGTTGGCCTTACCCTGCTGGAGGTGACCTGGTCTTCTCTTGCTATCTGACGGAGAAAGAGACGAACTACAATAGATCCAACGTCTTTCAGACAGTAAACTGGCTTGATTCGTCTAAAGAGCTTGTTTCACTTACATTCCCGAACAGCTCGTCTGGATCATCGACGTCCCCTGGGGGATCATCAGTTGACACGAAGCTGCATGTCTTTGCTCTGTCAATGTTACCGGTGAAAAAGGTTGACACCGGATCCGCAAGACTGGAGATACAGTATGCGCGCTCCACGCAGAAATGGATGGAGGGAACTGACAAGGAGCAAATTATCGAAGTTATCATCAATAACGTCGGTTCCGAGTTTGTGCGTCGCAATCATAATGTCAGAGTGCGTGTCGATTCCCCGGGTCTGGAAACCGTCACCGAGGGTATCATCAAACGATTGGGACCTGGTGACCAAGCAATCGTTGAGATAGGCGTCCGAAATTGCAAAGGAGTCAAGGCTGGAAAATCCGGTCCAGCGACGGTTGTGATCAAAGGCCAACACGCCTCTCCTTCAAAATACACATTCATTGCGACCTATGGCATCAGTCAATATGAAGCGACCTATGAGTCAATCTACAGTCACGAATCACCGAACTGGTACAACAATGCAAAGTATGGTATTTTCATTCACTGGGGAATATACTCTGTCCCTGGCTGGGGAAACGTGGGCTCTAAAGAAGGCTATGCTGAATGGTATGCTCCATCACTCATTGAGCGTGGGGCAAAATACTAATGAAGTGTTCAGGTACTGGTGGTCGATGAACGAGGGACCGAACAACGGAACCGATACATATGATTATCATCTCAAGACATACGGGAAAGATCTTGTCTATGATGACTTTATCCGGAACTTCACTGCAAGCGCATGGGATCCGAAGGAGTGGGTAGACTTGTTTGCTGATGCTGGTGCCAACTATTTCGTCCAAGTCAGCAAGCACCATGACGGATATACTTTGTTCGACCTCCCAGAGAATGTAACAAAGAGAACTTCGGTTGCCTTGAGTCCCCATCGAAACCTGGTCAAGGTAGGTTCCCGCATCCTAACAGCTACCTCTCACTAGATAATTGATTTTTTTTCTCAGGAACTGTTCGATGCTTCGAAGAAGTATCAACCGCATCTCCACCGCGCCGTGTACTACTCTTTGCCAGAGTGGTTCCATCCCGATTACAAGAAATATGGATTCAGCATTTGGCCTGGAGGTAAGTTCAGATACCAGTCCCCAGACGAAGCGCAAGACTGACAGTTATACAAGGCAATGCGACCAATCCGTTTATCAACGAGTCTCTCCCCTACACAGGCTATGTTCCTCTCACAGACTATGTCACCGATAAGATTGTGCCGGAGATGGACACCCTCGCAGAGATGGGTACGGAGATTATGTGGTGTGACATTGGGGGTCCGAACCGCACCACTGAATTTGCAAGCGCATGGTTCAACAAGGCCGCAGAGCAAAATCGACAGGTGGTCATGAACGCCCGTTGCGGTCTCCCTGGCGATTTCGATACCCCGGAGTATGCCCGTTACAATGGTGTCCAGGTCCGCAAGTGGGAGAGTAATTTAGGAATGGACCCATTCAGCTACGGTTATAATCGAGCCACACCGCTGGCCAGCTACCTGAATGCCAGCTCTATCGTCACCAGTCTTATTGATATTATCAGCAAGAACGGGAACTTCTTGTTGGACGTTGGACCAACCGCTAACGGTACGATTGTGGACATCGAGCAACAGCATCTTCGCCAAGCTGGTCTTTGGATCAAGAGCCACGCGGAGGCCATTTTCAATACGACCTATTGGTTTGTAACTCCCGAAGAAGGGGAGAATATTCGCTTCACCATTTCACCAGATGCGTTTTATATCCATTCCCTGGTGAAGCCTAGCAGCACTCTGACTTTGTCAAGTCCCATTCCATGGGTCGATGGAGATTCGGTAACGGTAGTTGGGGGCAAGATGCATGGCACTGTTGTCCCAGTCCATAGACTGAACAATGGCTCCATCGCCTTGATTGTGAGCAAAGAGGTCTCGGCTGGTGATCAATATGCATGGGTGTTCAAGATTCCTTATTGATATGAGCCCTATGATGCGGGGTCGCTGGAAGTGCTAACGAGGTCTTTTGAAACGGGGCTGTAACGATCATTTGTCGGTCTTCACTCTTCATGATGTGCGCACAAAATATAGAGGATGAGGTGTACACAGTATTGTATGGAGATAGACTCATTTTTAGGCGGTTTCGGTATTTCATATTTGTTCGTGCATTAGAACGTCGAAGCTGTTTTGTAGCTTAGGAGTTGCGAAGTGGACTGCCCTGGCCGTGATGGGGGGAGAGTCTATAGGCTCCTGAGGCGGTGGGTTTGCCTTGCGTATGGGGAAGGATGAGCGGCGGCTACTCCCTGGTAGCAGATGGTATCGACCCCCCATACCGGTCTCCGCTATGCTGATCGGTCCACCGTGAGTGCTCCCGTCGTCCCCGCTCCGTGAGCCAATCAATAGTGCCGCGTGCGCGTTTTACGCGACGCGAATACGTAGTAGGTAAGTAGTCCTAAATGTAGCTAGCGTGGATATTATCAACCTACTCTGTATGTGACGGAACAGAAGCACCAGTGGATCCCGGAGAACGGAGATAGTATTAACGTAATCCACGGCGGAGCAGCGCACACGGTCGAGTTGCGCACTCCAAAACACATGGTAAAGGCGATAAATTACTCATGCATTATCTCAACAACCATAGTCTTTTTTTACATGAGTATTATTATACAGGCATCCCTTAGCATGTGGAATAAAATATCTCAGTTTTAAGCAATTTGGATGATTAATTCGTTGCTTTACAATCAAATACGGCGTAATTTTGACAAGAAGAACATAAGTATATTGATGACTCGATCCCTTTGACCTCGAGGGTTTGCAGGGTTTGTCGTCTTCTTTGGCCCTGCATGAAGCAGGCCGGTGATTTCCTGCCAGGTCTAGGCCTGTTCCTTTCCTTTGTGGTTCAGGGCCTTGTAGACCCTGTTCTGTTCCCTTCTGCTTCTTCTTCTTCCTTTTTCCTAGTCGTCTTCGTCTTCATGCTCTAGATAGACCAATTTGACTCAGTCTCCCTCTCTCTCTCTCTTCGCTTCCTGTGCCAGCAGTGCCGTGGGCGCTGTTAGGTTATGCAGCCCTTTTTTTTTTTTTGATTCTTCTTCTGATTTGATCAACCTGTTACTATGGCACAACGCCAGGATCCTGTGTTCGCTAAATCTGTAGCGGCACAAATTGACTACAGTGACTACGTCTCTACCAATGCAGCTTCGCAAGGTAATCTAAACCAGGCAACTGATGCCCCTGATGAATATCAACTCAATCCTCTTGATGATTTGGAAAATGTCAACGACTTTGACACTTGGCTTGACGATGTCTATCGCGTTCTTCGTCAAAAGGGCCTTTGGCGTTTTATTGACTCTTCAATTCTTCGACCTCTAAGAGACTCCCCACTTGCTGACCGCTAGGTAAAGATCTCACGAGATATGCAAATCTGGATGTATCAATCTGTTGTAAAGGATATCAACCGAATAGTAACCTCTCGCAATTTTCGGATTGAATTCGCTGACGAATACATTGAAAACCTCAAAAATGTGTTGAACGTCACCGGCTATAATGCAATGAACAAGGATTGTGTGACTTGGTGGTCTCTTCGCAGATCCTAGTACACTTCAGCGGTTGACTACGTCAATTCCTTTAGAGATACAGTCACCAAAATCTTAAAGAGAGTTGAAATCAATCCAATTCTCCTGCGTCAAGTTCTGTTACATAAAATTCGTGATGACAATCCAACAATGGTTGCTTCGAAGCACTCTTCTTTCGATGAAAATTATGCAAAAGCGACGGACTTCAACATCAGTGAGTTCTATAAGCTTTGCACTGACCTCACAACCGAATTGGAAACGTTTTAATCTATCCAGTCAGTTACACTTGCGTCAAGGGCCAATCCAAATTCCAATCTAGGTAGTTCCAATTCAGAATTTTGGCCTTTGAAGAATAAACCTCCTGGTAGTGTTGGAGCTGCCAGCAAATAGGTCAAGGACTGGATTAAAGGCCTAAACCAAGTTACCCCCTAAGGTTGCTGTTTATTTTGTGGTAAACAGGGCTACCCAGCAAAGGATTGTATACACTTAGTGTATGAAAAGCGTCCACCTACATGGAAACCTACAAGAGGCCTTTGGATCAATTTCCCATAGAGGAATAGAAACAATTTGGATGGCCAAAAACCCCAAGGTTGGAACTATAACAACCGAATCCGAAAGGATGGCACTACTCCACCAACAGTTCCACCTATTATAGACTACAATATACAAAATTCTTCTTCCAAATTAAACCAAACACCAATTTCCTCTTCAAACAAGATTGATCCTTAGTCGTTAATTGTTGACAGATCCCCTCAACCTGTCATTGGATATGTACTACTAGTTCAACAGGATTCTTCTTCTTTGCAAACAGATTTAACTGCCTAGATAATTTCATATTACTACCCCTATAGCTACTCAAGCTTAACAGTCGAACTATTTAGAAATAGCCCTAAATACTATTTTGCAACAGCAATGGTTGAAACTGACGAATGGTTCAATGAAGCAATCTCTGTGAGGGATGAGAATGATTTTGATGCGGGTAGAATAGACTCCTGTGCACTGAATACCCTTGAAGTTGACCTAAGATTCCCCTTTCCCTTATCCTTAGCCACAATTACTCGTTCTACTGGCGAATGGATAGTTGACTCAGGTGCCTTACGCTCAATTTGTGTTGATGGCGATGCAATCATCCACTTTGAACCTTACAAACCAAATGAGGGTTACACTTGCCAAACCTCAGAAGGCAGAACTTTGGTTGCTAAGGGACAGGCAATTGCAAGAATCAATTTGGTTCTCCCTGATCGAATTGTTGATTTAAACGTACAATGTGAGTATGTGCCAGAAGGACCATTCAACTTGCTTTCGACAACTAGGGCCTACTACGACAACGTATTGGCTTGGAAAGATTGGAAGAATGTGATAGTAGACCCTTGGGATAAATCCATTATCAAGGCATATGTATTTCGTCAACGTGGTGTGCCATTTTTACACACAATTTCAATTCGACCATCATTATCAACTGAATTAATTGCGCCAAAGTGTGTTTCTCAAGCCTTTTCACTTACGACAATTTCGCCAGAGCTAGCACACTTTCGTTTGGGTTATATTGGTCAACCCACGGCCAAAATCAATCATCATCGAATTGGTGATGAAGTGCAAGGCGACCATAAATTCAATTGCGAACCCTGCCGATTGGCTAAGTCAAAGAAGATCATTTCACACACACCTCAGAAGCGTGCAACTAAACCATTTGAATTTCTTCATATTGATCTTCAGCCTTATAAGCCAACGGGGATTAGAGGAATTGATCATACCCTGATTATTTGCGATGATGCAACTCGACGAAGATAGGCAATACCAATTAAGACGAAGGGCAGTTCCTCCGACGTCTTGATTGATTAGGCAACCCAAATCTTTAACATTATGGGCTATTAGCTATTTAAAATACGAACTGATAGCGATCTGAGCTTTTTGAGATTCATTGCATAGATCAAACCGAAAGGTACTGCATTTACAATCTCTCCCCCAGCTACTCACGAACAGAATAGTGTTGCCGAATCCTCTGGGCACATTGTGATACAAGGAGCAAGGACCCTTATGATTTCCGCACCTAATACACCCGCCTATCTTTGGCCAGAAGCAGCAATAGCGACAACCTACGTGTTAAATCGAATTCGCCGACCAGGTGAAATTGAATCTCCAATAGAAAAGTGGAACAACGGTTTGCAACTTCGTGAAGCTAGCCCAATTAACTTAGGTTTCCTGCGTGTGTGGTTTTCCAAAGCCTATGTTCATATCCCCAAAGAACAGAGGGTGCAAGGTAAAAAGATAGAACCACGCGCATAGATTAGCTATTTGGTTGGCTACGAGGGCAACAATAGCCATGTCTACAGAATCTACGATCCTTCGAAAAGACAGGTGGTTCTCCGTCGTGATGTTGCATTTTGGGAAGAACCATTGCCAATTCGCTATTTACCAAAGTTGGATCCAATTCCAATTGACCAGCAAAAACCTCATGAACCTCGCGAACGCCATCCTTTGACAATTTCAAGAAAAAAGGATAAGATTCCAATTGATGAAAGATCAATTCCACCTTCAACACAACCTCAATCGCACTCGAATCCTGTTGCTCATGAACATATTGAACCAAGTATGACACCAATGCCAATTGAGGTGCTACAACCAAATACACCAATGCATCAAAGAGCAATTACCCTACCACTTCAGACTACGACGAGACCAATTGCACTGCCAAAGGCAAGGATTCAGCATTTTCAACCATCTCCACCTACTTCAGAAACCCAAATTGATCCATCTCCACCAATTCAATCATCTTCTCGTGAATCTTCATTTTCAGGAAATCAGAATGTTTCAAATATTTCATTTTTACCAATTCAACAAACTCGTCTAGCTATTCCATTAGCTTCATTACCCCCAATTGAACAACTTCGACCTCACACAGTTCGTGGATTACCGCCAAATACGCCAGCAAAAAGATTGTTTAGTGAAGTTGTGCGTAAGCAAGATCCCGACTTACCAATTCCAAGCATTAAAAGTTCAACTACACCAATTGCCCCAGGTGGATTTCTAAGAAGTTCCTCATTACCAATTGAATCCCCAATTCCACACTCTGTTCAATCACCAATTAGTCGTTTAATTCGAGAAACATCTTCTGTTGACCCAATTGCAATTGTTTCAACACAACCAACACAGCCAACACAACAAACTCAACCTAGACGTTCTGCTAGAGAAAGAAAACTAGCCGACCTTAGCCCCGGTATAGTTAAATATCCTGCGAAAGGTCCAATAGCATTGGATCCTTCATCAATTGCAATCGAAGAAGTAACGGTAGGTGATAGGATTGCTTGTTGTGCAGCAGAGCGCTTTCGCACAGGAATAGTGAAGATCCCTAACACCCACATAAAAGCAATGAAATCCGATTTTGCAGACTATTAGCTACAAGCCGAAAAAGTCCAATTGGATAAGATTGCTGCTTCAAATACAATAGTCCTTGTTCCTCATCCTCTAAAGGGCACGTCAATTTTGCCAGGGAAATAGGTCTATGATTTAAAATCTGACAGCGATGGCTACGTTTTGGAATTTCGTGCTAGATGGGTTATATATAGCAATCGCTAAGCACCAGGAATTGACTTTCAACCAGATAAGAGATTTGCCCCAGTCGTTTCTGATGCTGCTGCCAAATTGTTTCTCATATTAGCAGCTACCAGGAAGTAGACTGTTAACTAATAGGATATTGTGGGCGCATATCTCAATGCTGCATTGGATAACCGAGTGATTTTCATGAAACAACCTACTAGCCACGAATACCAAAGCCCTGATAGTGTTGAATATATTGCATTACTACAGCAGGCACTGTATGGCTTACGACAAGCAGGCTACCTGTGGCACAACGTGTTCGATAAGGATTTAAAAGATATTGGCTTAACACTATTGCCGACTGAACTATGCATCTACACGAATCATGAGAAAAACACGTTCGTGTTAATCTACGTTAATAATGTACTCTCTACTAGCCTTAACAGTGAAATCAAGCGAATTCGCGATACAATAGCTTTGAAGCGCAAGCTGAAGATCCTACTATTCAAAAGATTTTTGGGATATGACATTTTCCATGACCAAAAGAAAGGCATTATCTTCATAAACCAACAGATTTACCTTTCAACATTGATTTCTGACGAAGGCTTTGCCAATGCTTCCCCTGCTTCAATTCCAATGGATCCCTCTTGGAGAACAACTGACGACGATGTGGTTGACAACATTGAAAAGCTTGACTATGCGAGGAAAATGGGCAAGGTCGGATAGTTGTCAATCAAAATGCGACCAGATATTGCAGCTCCTGTGTTAAAATTGCAAAGGCGCAATAAATCTCCACGAAAGGAAGATGCCAATGCATACAAAGACCTCCTCCGCTATCTCTCAGGCACAATTGACCTTAGAATACCATTTGGAAGAGACCCAACCCGGGGACTAGAAGGTTTTGTTGATTCGTCATACGCTGATGCTGAACGTGGTAAATCCACCGAGGCCTACATTTGGTTCTTTGCAGGCGCACCGGTTTCATGGTCCTCCCATAGACAGGATATCGTTGCAACATCCTCTACAATAGCTGAATACTGTGCAATGAGCACTGCTGTCAAAGAGGGTATTGCATTGGCTAAATTGGCTGCCGATTTGACACTCTCCCCGCCATAGAATGAGGATAACCCTGAAACGAATCCACTCCTGCTCCATTGTGACTCCGACAATGCGATAAGAATTGTCACCAACAGCAAGTTGAGCACTAAAGTGTCATGGATCAATACTCGATATCACTTAGTGCGCGATTTGGTGAAAAAGAATCTTGTTGCATTAATCAACATTCCCAGCAAAAAGAATACAGCGGATATCTTGACAAAGGCAAAGCCACATAGTGTTTTTGAAGACGATCGTGATAAATTGCTGTGCATGATGAAACCCCCAGACTTGACGAATTGATTTCCTTGGTGATTATCATATTTGACCAAATTGCAATCTTTCACACATTTCATGTTTACAAAATTGTTGATTTTGAATGCTTTCCTGCATGATTTCCTACTATTGTTTCCTATCAAAAGATGGTATTTCCTAAGCCTGCTTACTTGATTCTATCACTAAGAAGATTGTGTTCAAATTGCTTCTGTTACAAGAAGGTTTTGGTGACTTTGGCCTAGGCCCTGTGGGGGATGTGATGACTCGATCCCTTTGACCTCGAGGGTTTGCAGGGTTTGTCGTCTTCTTTGGCCCTGCATGAAGCAGGCCGGTGATTTCCTGCCAGGTCTAGGCCTGTTCCTTTCCTTTGTGGTTCAGGGCCTTATAGACCCTGTTCTGTTCCCTTCTGCTTCTTCTTCTTCTTCCTTTTTCCTAGTCGTCTTCGTCTTCATGCTCTAGATAGACCAATTTGACTCAGTCTCCCTCTCTCTCTCTCTTCGCTTCCTGTGCCAGCAGTGCCGTGGGCGCTGTTATATATATATCTCTATTAATACTTCAACAAAATATGTAATACCTTCCTAATAGAATAACAGATTCTATCTTTATCATATACGTCTCATATATTATCACAAAAAGATATTGTTGTTGAGAAATGAATGAGTAATTTATCGCCATTACTATGTGTTTTGGGGTGCGCAGCTCGACCGCGTGCGCAGCTCGGCCGTGAACTACGTTAGACCGCATCTATTAGTCATTATTATGCCCACATAAATTGCCAGATAGGGGCTTGGGATAGCAATACAGATTGTTGATATCCAATTGGTGTGCACCATGATTTACTAAGCAGTATTGGGGCACTGGTCGGATCAACCTCACGCTGATGATTCGGCAGCCAACCAGATCCAGTCCCCCGGCGGTCGCGTCCTTCTAGCAGCGACAGCAAAACGCCGAGTGCGGCGGCGCATCAAAGAGAGATGGGCACAAGTGGGCAAAGGAGTGAACTGGCAAGCCGAGCCAGCGATTGGTGAAGGCTCCAGACAAGATGGTGCTTCGGCTGTTCGAATCCCTCTCGAAGCCATACACCTCATTGTTGATTCAGATGCGATCAATGCGTATTGTACTGAATCATTTCTTGCTTAAAATCAAGGCAGTCGAATCAGATGAGTGTTACTGCAGCGAGGGATTTCGAACACCAAGACACATCTTAATGCAGTGCCCGTTGTACGCTGACCTAAGGCAGACCTTCCTTGACAAGATCCGGATAACCGATCTTGGGGATTCGACGGATTACGATACAATTGTATCACACTCGCAGGCCACCCGCTACGTGGCCGAATTCATGCTCCAAACAGGCCTACTAGGGCAGTTCCGGCACGTCGAAATCGAACCGGAGCCCCCACAGGGCGAAGGAAAAGATCCGCCAGGATAATCTGGCAGGCACAGGGGGTGAAGACGCTGGGTAGGAGGAACGCCAAGCCCACGGCCTACCGAGAGGTCGTGGAAGAATACATCCAACACGTCAACACACCAGTCGACAACGAACGCCGCCAATTGAGAACGAAGCAGGAGGGATACCGGGGATGGAGATGCGGAGGAAGCGGCAGGCCAATGTGAGGGCGAATTGAGAGATATATTGTGGGCAAGAGGGCTTTGAGGGCGGTTTGGTACGGTTTTTGGGCTGATTTTATATGGCAATACGCCATTTTCCTATGTATTTACTGTTTCATGCGCGGGTCGGGCGTTCGGATCACTCTTGCTTCCGCCGGAGGGAGCGCCTGCATAGCCATTACACCACTAGTTAGGCTGCAACAGGTTAATAGAGTGTTGATTGATTGATTGATTGATGATTTGATGATTGATGATTCGGGGTAGGAACGGCAATTTCGAAGTACCCAAAATGCAGTCAGGTATTGTTGGTATCACCAGCTAGGTACTGTGTACACAGTTAAGTGGACAGTTTATGTGCTTCCAAAGCAAAAGTTGATTTTGATCCAAGTAGACAGATCATCTCCAGGTCATGGTCCAATGCCCTGAATCCATATGGCGGGAGCCGCAGATTAGCAAGATTACGTACTGCAGGTCTTTGCTTATTCTGACGGGAGGATATGTTCCGACAGTTCCAATGTGGTCCATCGCAAAATCCAGCTATCCAGAGCTTCAAGCGGCGCATCCTTTGAGGTGGAGGGCTGACTCTCCGCAACTGCTGATGGAATTTTTATTGTTTCTGTTGAAGCCATTTCGATTTACTGGACAGATGTCGTCAAAGAACCGAGTCTCTGATAGCCAGGTAGCAAGCTTTGCTGCGCCTTTTGGGATTCCTACTAGGAAGGGAACTGTCCCTGAAGGGGGCTCCGAGGGTCAGATGAGGCGGCCCTGAGCCACTCGGCAGAAGAAGAAGTGGACTGAGACTTGCTGGCATCACACCGGCAATGTAGATGTGCATCTTCATGATTGAACGGCTCATGGTAGTCTGCAAAATCGCTGTGCCCTGTACGCGCTGCTAGGATCCGCCCGAGAACGTAGCGTAGGAGGCTCAGCTTATCCGGGCACCTAGGGGATGAGTTGATCCAGAGATCCTGGTAGGACTGCAGAGCCACGGCTTGCCAATGCCTTTCTAGGCCAGAGGTCACAGCAGCCATTGCTTGGCGCTTCAGTGAGGCAAAAGGTAAATAGGGACAAATACCTTTGGATCCAAGTGATCCTAGTCATGCAGGATTGATGCAGTGGTCGAAGCTACCACAGAGCTTGAGAGACTGGTGCCACATCGAAGCATATGCAAAAAATATGTAGTCCATGCAGGTGCAAGAGTTCACGTAGACGTTTCATTAGAATCGTTCCAAACCACTACCTAATCGGCTAGGTTGTAAAGAAGCCACATCAGCCTGAACTTGGCCAAAGGGGACTTCTCCAACCCACGTGGACAGCTTGAGCCACGACAAGAACTCATTCACAAGCACTGAGAATACCACTCATTCCCGAAAGTGCAGGTATATCCGCCCGCACACACAGTAGGACCCGTCCAACCTTTTCCTCCACACTGACCCCAAAGCGCCGCCGTAAAGCCAAACCATTCCATATCTTGCGTTCCATTAACAGGGACAGTGTGTCCCACACCCGTCACATAGATACCCTGGAGGTTAGGGCCCCAGTTGGTGGTTTGGTAGTTAGGGCTTGGGGTGCTGGGGAGCATTGACACAGGAGAATCGTAGTTGTATCCGAAGACGCCTGCCCACTGCTTGCAGGTCTCGTAATAGTTCTGCGGGTAGAGAGCCGTGTCGGCGCTGCCATGGTAGATCTGCATACGGGGTCGGGAGCCAGAGTATCCCGGGTACATGTTTTTGGCGATGCCGGCCCAGACGGCCGGGGTGCTGATGATATGGCCTTGGGCACAGCTGCTGTTCCACGCGTCGACTTGGTTGCTGGAGGAGTAGAAGCAGCCCGCGCCAACGCCGGAGTAGACGGTTCCTGCTGCGAAGAGTTCGGGGTATGTGGCTGCCATGACGTTCTGTGGGGATGAAAGTTAGTTATGTGTGTAGTGACCCCACTGAGAGACAATGGGTATTTACCGTCATCATGGCGCCCGAACTAGTTCCCGTCACGAATACTTTGCTGGTATCCGCATTGTATTGCCCGATGGTCCAGGTCACCATGTTAGCGATTGAGTTGCTGTCGCCGCCACCGTTGTGGATGAGAGTAGCTTCAGAGCTGACGTCCCAGCAGGTTCCGCTGTAGGGGCTTTGAGGATAGATGACGATGAAGCCGTACTGCTCCGCCTGCTGGGCATATGGAGTGAAAGAGTAGTATGCCTCGGCCGTGCCGGTGCCTGAATTGTTCGTTGCCATTGCGTTAGCTTAGAAGGAGAAGCGAGAATCGCGCGATCACTTACAGTAGTGAATAGCGACAATGATGCCGGGCTTGGAGGCTAGGTTCTTCGGGACATAGATGTACATCTGAGTGCCGGAGGGGTTGCTTCCAAAGCTGTTCACTCGCTGAAGCGAGCCAGCAGGGATGGCACGCTTGCTAACATCCCTTGCTAGTGTCCCGGCGGAGGACAATGTCAGGGATAGGAGAAAGGTGATTAGAAAAGAGCAAGATAGGCCTTTCATCGTGGCGACAACATGTGACCCTGTTAGTGGAAAATTGAATCCGAAGAACCTTAAGCTATGAACAAACGGACTGCGGGATATCCCCGGCCTTTTATCATGATGAACCAGGTCGAGTTTACCTTGGCTCGTACCAGCTATTGCCATGATACTTACTTTCCCCCGTTTCAACATCTGTTCAGTTTTGGCTGAATCCTCCAGTCTCTCAGGATCTTCGGACGAAAGGAGAAGGATAAGTGACAGTTCTCGGCTCTTAACTCGGTGAGGTTCCCCCATGCCAAAGTTAAGAGTATGAAATCGCCAAGGGACCAGGGGCCAGGCTTTCGTTTCCCCGCATTTGCAACAGCTGCTGATTCTTCCTGGGCCCCACATCGTGAAGAAACCCATGTGCCACCTATGGCAAGTTCCAGGCCCGTATTTCGGTCAGTTCGGGTCGGTCTCCTTTCTAAATCTAGTTTGATGTTTGGGGTCGTCTCGGATCCTTTGGAAGACGTACGTTATTCTTCGGCTTCTGTACGTATTTGCATGAGCGATGACCACGAAATTTCTCGGCGTCTTTGATATCACATCTGCAAAGGAAGAGAGTAAATACCAACTATTCTTCATCTGACCCGATCCAATGAGAGAATGCCAAACCCACCTTTTCACCCGTTACCCCGTATTACATCGGATTGCAATCCAATCTGCGGAGCCCAAAGCCGCTCCCCGTATAAGCACCTGCTTTTGTAACTACCGTGCGTCCGTCCATCGCGTGGCAGGAGGGGCTTATAACAATACAGTTGTGGTACGTTTGGTCGGCCTATTACTTATTGTCTTCGCAGAAATGTCTGAACCAAAACGCATTTAGTAAACTGGCACTCTCAGTATCCATTTCGTCATCGGAAGCGACGAAATGGTTCGCATTATGGGCAGTTTGCCTTATGATACGTGCCAAGCGGAGCAAAATGACTTATCCTCCAAGCCGGGCACTATGCCTCTGCTTAGGGTCAGACTGAATAGCGAGGGGAATCCGTCGCACAAGTCGTCCAAGACTCTCATAGGCAGTTATGTCTCGAGCAGACTGAAGTACCAAAGCCACCATGAGCACAGTGGCAGCCAGTCAAAGTCTCTCGATATCATCACGGTGTCCCAGATTTCAGTTACCGCTCACTTATCGGCATTCCCGTGACCCGTTCGACAGCACCCATTCGCAACGAAATCTCAGGGATGAGATATTATTGTCATCAACTGTCGTCGCTCATTGTCGGGGCTTTATGTGAAAAGCCGATTAGCTGTTGGCTAGACTACACCTTGTCCACGCCAACAAACTCTTGGTTGAGAACTTGAGATAGGCGGAGTGGCGGGACGAGTCTCTTTCCAGCGTCGGGTTGGACGATATCGGCCTTTCCGAGCTGCCCGATCATCACGACGCGTTAATAGCACATTACGCTATTTCAAATCGTGGAATCTTCTCAACAGGAACCTATCTGCCGATTGGATTGTTGAAAAGAAGAACGATTCTAGAGAGATATAGAGATTTATATGAGAATTGTTACGCGGTGCCTGCTGGTCACCGTAAGTGCGGATAGGGTAGAGATACCTTACTTGTTATCAGGGATAAAGGGAGTGGTTTTATTGGGGTTGCCTCTCAATGTAGCCTCACGTGGTATCTACACCGACATTACGGATGGCCTCTGACGCTACGGTCTACGACCGCAGCGACGGGTGACCCGTTATGGTCAAACTACACTCTTCTTGCTCCTCTTGACTGCGTGTGGTCACCAATAAAATGCTATTTCATCATGAACGCCCCGTATAGCTATGGAAGTACCCTAGGATTACTAGGTTTGGCACAACGGAATCAACAAGGGGAAAATACTAAAAGATGCAAAAGAGCGTTGATTCTGGTCCTCTAAAACAGCTTGGGGTCGATGGGGTTAAAATACCCTCGAGAATACCTGTGACTTGGAGGTTACATGTCCGAAGTTTCGGAAGCTGGCGAAAAGCACGCGTAATCCTAATACCGAATACCATATCCTCGGAACCCTCGACAGGTACCGTTTGTAGTCAATACGATGCTGATCACTATTTTCCTGACAGAATTTCTCTTCGACGGTACGTTGTGGGGTAGGTGTTTCGAGTGGGTTGGGGGGAGCCGCGGATTCGAGATAGAGGACGGTCGGCCGAGGGCTGGGTAAGGCTTCCTCCCTCCCCTGGGATCTGGAAGCTGAGGGTTCATCCTTTCCCGTGGTATCGATCCCTATGGTTCGCACAGACATGTACAGTAGTTTTCGTATACTTAATACAGTAGGCCACCTGATTTTCCGCGAGTGTCTGGTGGCAGCCTGAAGACCAATTGTATGAAGTGAGCTGTCTATAAATTTGAAATTCTGTCTAAGAGCCTGGTATCCTTCGTGAGATTGGCGGAAACTCCGGCCCTGCTTTCAGAAAATTTTAGGCAGGCCGGTTGCATTCTGTATTCTCGAGTCAATCCAAATCAGACCGAACCTAGTCCGCAACGTGATCTGATACAAAGGGTACCGTCAAATGGCTGCGTTAGTCGTCTCTCCGTAGGTAATTAACAGCTCATGCAGACACGGGACCCTGGACATGGCTTACCACGATCAGAAGGAACGTCAAGATCCACATTGAAAGATTTTGTTGCGACAAGACCATTGTGGGAGTCAACACGGGGACAATGCAAGCTGCCGAAGCCTTGATTTCTGGACGTGGTATAAGGTGTCATGAGCCAGGCGTCCTTCGAGTGTAGGACATGGCGGATTCATCGAAAGCCAAGTCAATGGTCACCGCCATGGCATGGAAGTATACGTGGATCTGCGTAGTTGTTGTGGTCCGGAGATAAAGCTACGTGGCGATGGAAACGACGAGATCTGCCAATGTCGAATATGGAGTCCGTATCGTAGCTCCACACGACGTCTGCAGGACTCGATACATTGTAGATGTCTTTCAGGCTGGGCGACTAGTGTAAGCACTCCACTCGCGCACAGAAAGGTGGAAGAGTAACCGCAAGCGCGTCCGACCGAGGCAACGCGTATGTCTTTAAGTGCACGCCAACAAGCTGAAGACAGGGTCAACGATGGCCACCGAGTGAAGCTGCCACCATCGTCGGGAGCTCAGGCTGGCGGTGGACATTTCAGCGATCAAACCTCTGGGTAAGTCTGGCGTTCCCGATAATGGATTTTGCGTCGTCAGCTAACAAATTATCATTTGTCATCCTCTCGGTGAGCCGCTCTCAGGCCGCATGAGTGACTCAATTCGTCGGGCCAGTTTGCCAGAGCTGATGGTGTTGTTGGCAGGGACTTGAAAGCGAGTCATGCTTCATATGGCAGGTGCCGCCAGCAAAGTACACATAGGAATTGGTGCGCGACGCTTCAAGACACAAGATTATATTCAGTGGTTGCTTTGCATATTGCTCGCGAGTGTCCTGGGTCATAAACGTTAGCAGCAGCAGAAACACGGTCTTTTATATGACACGGTAAGAAGAAACGAAGCTTGATACACGTGAGTTTCAAAGATCGTTTTTTTGATGAATATGCAAACTGTGGTTATCAATGTTCGATCATAATACCTGTGAGGGCTATTGGGCCAACCGCACGGCCGGGGACCATGGTCGCTGGGACAGCACCTAGCTCGACAACTGGCCAACTTCCTACCAGCCGATCCCTCTGCAAGTTTTGAGGGCGCCCGGCGCGAGGAGAGCAGCGAGTTTCCAGGGCGGATTATCGTACAAAGGACTGAGGACGCTCTCACTGCAGCGCGGACAATGCAATCAGGCAGCGCCATCTGGTCGGATGGTTCAAGGCTCGAAAACGGCCGAAGCGGAGCCGGGATTGCATGGCAGGAGCTTTTCGGAGAGTGGAGGATCCGGAGTTTCCCCCTTGTGAAAGGAAGAGAGGTCTTTGGTACAGAGCTTGTAGTAGCCGTGCAGGCCCTTCAGGCCGCACAGAAAATGAATGGCAGTGGTCCAATCACAGTCCTACTAGATTCCCAAGCCGCGATTGCTCGGCTGCGACACACGCAAGCAGGCTCCGGTCAGGAACTGACGCTTCGAGCTCATGCAGTGGCCAGAGCTCTATAGGAGCGAGGCTGAGAACCCATAATTCAATGAGTGCCCGGCCACGCCGGAATTGAGGGAAATGAGAAAGCCGATGAAGCGGCAAAGCTCGCAGCCAGTCGACCGGGATGCCATCCAGAAGCAGTCGCAGGGCTCTCACTGGCGTTTGTCAACCGGACATGCACCAAGAAAATCCAAAACCGCAAACAAGCCTGGCTTGCCCAGGATTGTGCATAGCGTTCCCGCTGCAAACAGCGAACCTATCGACCGTATCGAGGCTGGGCACTGGACTCAGTCGCATCGAGAGCCCTAAAACCACTGGCCACTCGCTTCTTCCAGTTGAAGAGCGGCCACGCGGCTATCGGGGCTCACCTCCACTCGTATTATCAGGTGGGCCGTGAACTACGTTAACTAAATTGCCAGATAGGGGCTTTTTAGCAATTCAGACTTGTTGATTTCCAATTGGTACGCGGTATGATTTGCTAAGCAGTATTTCCATCTCTAGTTAACTACGTTGGTAAAGTTTTGTGTGCCAGACAAACTTGTCCCAGATAGCGATCATGCTGTACATATGTAACTATGAGAAACCCAAGAAAGTCCCATCAGATCTTGGTGCCTTATAACGAGAATTTGTGTTTCCTGACCGCCTCCAGGGCTCCTCATCAATGACTAATCATAACTCCATCGTGCATGCCAAACCCCTCCACATTGTGCAATTGCGGATCTGCCACTCGGGAACCACTTCCATTCCTGTGTTATTGGTCTGCAGCCGGAGTTGTGAGCCCGACAAATTGCCCCAGGATTCCCAGCCTGGCGATCCTGGGTACTTATAAGTGTTCGGATTCAGGCTCCGCACAAAACTCGCCCAGTATCCCATGACAATGGGCACAATGGGAGCATTTACTGTATAGTAAGAATCTGCAGCCCAGCCTGCCTGTCCTGGGCCAAAGACTGCGCTTGTCTCAAAGGTATGGGGCACACCGTAGCCACCAGCTACGATTCCAGGATCGAGAACGTTGTACCGGTAACTCCACACCTTAGCATCGCCAACAAAGCGGGCTACGGCGCTGGCCATATCGTTAGCAGGGCAGGTAAAAGTAGCGTCACCATACGCGGCCGAAGCACTGGGGTAGAATGCTGCGTGGCCAGGAAGGGGGGCCATATTTGCGTATGCGTGATTAATCCACCCTAGTTGAGTGTCTTTGAGATGTGGGTAGTCGGCACGAAGCAAAGACGAGACCTCCGCGGCACTAGACGCATTGTTGGCAAACCACGAACCCTCGTTGGTAACGTGGCCCAGAAGCATAGGCACATGAGCGAACTGGCCAGTCGAGAATAGAGTATAGAGTTGGCCGGGGATCAACTCGCCATCGATGACAGGTAGCCAGTAAAAATGAGGTAGGGGATCGCCAGGTGCAGTGTCCGGAAAGGCGGAGACGCCGCTCGCTGCCTGGAGAGCAGAAACGTTCATCTTTCGTAGACAGTCTACGGACGAGCAGCCAGTGGATCCCAGGAGCCGCTGATATTGAAACTCCATTTCCGGGACGGTTCGAAGTGTAGGCCAAAACGGACTCTCAAGGATTGCTCCGACGAAGAAGGACTCCTTATCGTGGCCTCTGTAGGCCGTGAGGTGATGGGATACGGAACCACCTCCAGCTGAGGAGCCTTGTATGACAACATGGCTCGGATCGCCACCGAACTAAATGACAAATAATTGTGAGCTCCTGTGGTTCTAGGAGAATCCTGCTAACGCACCTTGTTGATATGCTTCTGGACCCAGAGAAATAGTTGTCGTTGGTCGAGAAGGCCGACATTCAAGTCTGCGTCATGCCCGAAACCCTTGCTGGCGAGGAACCCAAGAACGCCAACGCGGTAGTTGAACATGACTACCACCATGTTGCCACCAGAAGATCGAATGAGCTCTGTGCCGTTATAGTTTGGGTTCCCCATTGCCGCGTACCCGCCACCTTGAATATATATTAATACCGGCAACTTAGACTCCGCAGTGGCGTCTGAGGGTTTGAACACATCGACGAAAAGGCAATCCTCATCGAGACCGTTGCCAGGCTGCTGTCCTGTACCCGGGCAGAGAGCGCCGAACTATAATGAAGGAGCTCTGCGGGTTAGCACCGGCATATTGCTAGTGACAATAGTCCTTAGCACATGACCAACCTGTGATGAGTCTTTTTCTTCATCGTCGTACTCTGGCTCTCGCGGCGCTCTAAACCTGAGTTCACCGAGAGGGGCCTGCGCATATCGCATCCCCAGGAATTGATCCACTCCCCCTGAAAGTCTGACACCACGGTACTTCGAGTATCCGAGGTCGACGGTTGGAGAAACCAGCTCATTATCTCTGGTGGAATGTGTCACAGCCAAACCATTCGCTATGCCAGCGAGACAGATGGTTCCTGCGAGAAGCTTGAGTAGTGCCATATTGTGTAGCCGATCGTTGCACGTCAAGCTCGTTGAATTATTCCAAGCTTGAGCCAAGCTTCTGGGCACCGTTATAATTTGAGATACATGAAAAAAGGCTCAAGTCACCTCAAAGTTATAGCCTAAATCTTCTGTACATCAATTTAGTGTTGGGGGGGGTGTTAATGATGTTTACCCATCGCCACACCAACTCCTTTCATCCGAGCCAAATATTATGTACGTCCGGAGGAGCGAACATGTTGTTGAACCCCACCTCTCGGATAAAATGGACGGTGCTGTTGAGAGCTACTGGGAACCTGTGCCAAATAGCCGCCAGCCGTGCATAGAAAAGATACTTTTATACAGCGTCCATGTTTGTCAGAACGAAATTTAGTAAAATTGTGACACAGGGCCGATACCGAGACTGGTTAGTACTTAGTACCGGGTCGACGGTTGCAGGGGTGGATAATAATATTTCGTTCGGTGTTATTGCTCTCCGTCACCGAGATTTAACAAACCTGGTTGGTTGAACTTTCTTCTTTTCTGCAGTCTACCCCATGGGGTTGTTAAATTCGTATCCGTACATTGGATCCAACCAGAATTGGTGGAATAATTCTTTGTCCTCCCATCCTTCTTTACGAGTTCGGCGCCTAAATAATTGGCTCGGCCCACACGCTGCAGGCTTCAGACCCAAGACGAGTAGCAAAGTTATCCCCAAACCAGCTCAGGTCTAAAGGTTATTCTCAGGCCTGACCGTATTGCTCCATATTCCTCATGCAGTCCCGAGAGAAGCGTATCGTAGAGAGGTATATATCCCAAGTTACTCTATTACCTTAACTATATTCCCTCGGCTTTCTTTACTCCATTGCTTTTCCATGATGCATCTCATTCAGGTTTCATTGCTGTTCATCCTACCAGGGGTGATCTGCGGACCTTTATCGGCAAGCAATTCAGTCGAAAATGTTGTTACGCTGAGTTACCAAGGGAACAACCACGCAAGGCCAATTGCAAAGGACATCGCCGCACTCTCTATTGAATTTTGCTACATCACAGATTATCTTGGTGATATCGACTACCCCAACTCTCTCTCGCGCGTCCTCCTCCAAAACATTGAAGACATAGCTGGTGCTCCCCCAGTCATCCGCATCGGTGGACACACTCAAGATGCTGCCTCGTTCTGCGCCACCTGCCCACAAACCTTGAATAACACCTTTGCACCGGGCAATGATGAAGCTATCGCCGTCAATTTCAATAAAGGCCTCTTCACTGTCTTGAACGACAATGTCCCGTCGCGCCAGGAATTCATCTTCGGTCTTAACTTCGCCAGCAACGACGTCGCTATTCCCCTAGCTGAAGTCGAAGCTGCGGAAAAATATCTGCGTCCATGCCGCCTGCGCGCATACGAGCTGGGAAATGAGCCTGACTTTTATGGCCCATCGCAGCGCCCAAGGCCATGGGCGGTGGATCAATACGTCGCAGAACAAGAACAATGGCTTGACCAGCTAGGGTCGAAAACAGGGAAGGGTTTTTCGATTGGCGCGCTGGCGCAGCTACCGGTCTGGCAAGGGAACTTCTCGCTAGCGGAGATAGTGGCCCTCGGTCTGCCAATGAAGATAGATTATACAGTGTCGCTTTCGGATCACACGTATCCGTATTCTCGCTGTGACCGTAAGTGCTATTAATCCCCACGATGTGACTGCATTCTAACCAAGCTCAGCCGTACGAGAATCCCAGGTATCGCTTTCTGGTCTCATGAATCACACTGCCTTGGTAGAGTTCTTCTCTCAGTGGACCCCCGAAATCAAAGCGGCAAATGATGCTGGCATCCCGTTTCTGATGGGTGAGACAGGAAGTGTGTCTTGCCACGGCGTACAAGGCGTAAGCAATACACTTGGGGCCGCACTGTGGGAGCTGGACTATATGCTTCACGGTGCAACTATGGGGATGAGTGGTATATATTTCCACATGGGGACACCGTTCTACTACAGCATGTGGCAGCCTGTCCCCCATAATGGAACGCCCGCCACAGTCTACCCTACGTGAGTTTTGCCCTGATACGCTTCCTGCCTCTGAAAACACAGGGTCCAAAATGGGATGACAACTGACGATGTGATTAAAGGTACTACAGCTTGCTTTTCATGGCCACGGCTCTCAGGCTTAACAACCCACACATCGCCTCTATTCCAGTGGCAGACACTAGCCTTGCCATTTATGCACTCTACAATGGATTGCCATCAGACGCCGCGAGGCCTGAGCGAATCATCATTCTCAATATGGGTGTCTTTGAATCAAACCCAGGCGGGCCAATTGCTTCGGTGACGTCAATTGATGTGTCGCAGCTTCTTGGGGAGCGGATTAAAATAACCCGGCTGTCAGGACCAGGAAGCGACGCTACCTCTGGGGCTACCTTTGCCGGGCAGGACTATGATTCGGGCAGGCCTAGTGGAAAGAAGGTCGTTGAGAAGGCTAAAGGGGTCGTTGCGGTGAGGGGTAGCGAGGCCGTCATTGTTGAGAAGTATTAAATGTCACTCATAGCAGCCAAGTCTATCAAGAATGCTGTGTCTCTCAGGGGTAGATAGATCATGTCGCCATTGAGATCCATTCCTGTCAATAGAAACAATTCTGACTCTGGGAAATTCTCGGAAACCAACGCTGATTTCCTCATCAGGTCATAAGCCACACGGAATGTGGAGCGGAGTTGAGCCACATAGACAACTTCATGACACGAGGAAGTAATTCGAATTTCAGCTCTATTCAAAACCTTAGACAGGTTTGTTTTGGAGATTTAGCGTTTAGTCGGACCTTCTCGTCCTCCCCACTCCGTACATCCCCCCAGAAAGAGATTTAAACACTAACGAGTTGAGCAAGTAGTGTTGACGGCTGCGACGGGCAGAATACGGCGTGTTAATACTAAGGAACGGACACTGGCTCTTGCAACAGTCGAGACTATCCTGGGTGAAGTAACGATCTAAACTTTTTGAAATCCGCCCTCAATGTGTAAATCCCACAAGAATACTCCGTACACCACGCTGAGAAAGGTTCGGGGGGATCTTTGAATATTACAAACTCGAACAAGTTTCGAACAAAAACCAGTGAAAATGAGCACTGGGCGAGCGGATCAGGATCCGAAAACATGGCAGGTTCTGTCTCCATGCCCAACCCACACAGGAGTCCATTATCGCGCCGCTTCTGGAGAATCCCATTGATCATTCAGCACTTTTTTCCGTCCCGCAACAAGATGGGTAATTGCCTTGACTTGAACCCCGCTTTTAGTCAGGGGGTGCAAGTGGCGACATAGCCCGCTTCTGCCGAAAATAGCGGGGCAGACTCGCGCGACGGATACGAACTAAACAACCCTATGGGGTAGCTAAACAGTTCAGAATTAAGTGTTGTCCGCTCATCCAATCATAAGGCTTCAAAGCCGACAACTGGGCCACCCTAGATTCTAGATTACGATATTTATGATGTGCTCCTTCTATTGAGTGGTATTACTTTGCATAATGACACCACAATTTATGGTGGTACGTACTATTGTTCACTTGTCCTACCCTAATTATTCTTTAGAATGTGCTGGGTTCCTTTTTTGGCGGTGTTTGTCCTGGTCTCTTGCCTGGGCGCGGTTATACCTTTTCACCACTTTCTGCGGCCTCATATTTCAAAGTTTAGAGACTCTTTCACCACCACCGTTTTTCCTCTCACGTTTGTTGAACTCGCAATTAGGCGGTCCTTATCCTCAAGATCCAGTTCATTTAATCTGATCAAAGTAATAAAGAACGCTATCAGTTGAGAATCAACGGTAGCCGTGGACAATATGCCCTCACCTATCTCCTTCGCCCTCACAAAACAAACGGGGTGGTGCTGAAGTGAACCCACACGAAGTTTGCGTGTCTGTCGGTGTGACTACAGCAACTACAGAGGCTCCGTACTATGCTCAGCTCAAGCAACTAAACACTACTCATTCATCCATAAACACTACTCATCTGTATGGAAGGAGCTTGCCAATTGGAAGAAGAGGAATTGAATACTATAGTATTCTTATTGCCCGAATAACAAGGCATACATGCTACATTGACTACGCAAAAGTCCAGGCAACCCATCTGCTACCGCCTTCCCGAAGTAGCCTCACAGCCCGGTATTCTCGGCCGTTGATTAGTGGAGGCCTGGTTGGCTGGACTTTTGCGTAGTCACTATAGGTCCTGGTAACTTCGATTTTGGTCCACGACGATTTCTGCTGGCGGTTACAGTACAGTCCTCCGTACTGTGACTTTTGTTTGTGAAGATGTGGACGCCACAAATAAGTTCTCCGTTCCGGCCAGGTCAAGAACTTCGCCTCAGTATTGCTATCTTCGGAAGCTTGTTTTCAAAGTCGATGTCTAGTGTGTGGGGCCGTGGGCTACGATTCTCGCCTTAGATAAGTAAAGATAGCAGACATGTCCCGAAAAGAGTCGTCACTATCAACACGGCTATTGTAGACTTTAGAGACGGAGATACAGTGAGTAAAAGAAATCGCGGCGTCCTCGCCTGCCTCACCTGCCCCTACAGCCCAGTCATAATACCCTGATGCCTAATTCGGCCTAGCGGCACCCTAAGCAACATCAAGAGTGATACCGAATCTCTTCAGCAGTTTGAAGAAACCCTTAATATTTATTTATTTTCTAAAGGAAGCATTGTTCAACTGGAAGAGCAGCCTATGCAGTCGGGGTATACAGTTAGGACTTACAGCTCACTATAGCCACCAAGATGAACCTCCAAAAGCAGGCAGCCTTTTTGGTTTGCGACACCCTTTTTGTTCTGCGTTTTGGTTCTACGACTGTAACGGGCCAGAGCCCGGCAGTAAACCACGTGCCATGGCCTCATGGATGATGTCGGGCGGATAACGGTAAGATTGTTGTAAACAACATATCGGCCTGGTACAATTGAATCAATTCTGATAAAGCCCTTCACATAATGTAACCGGCTAATGCCAGCGTGTGATCATGTGCTACCACATGACCTTTCTGCCATATTAACCGCCCTCGGGAAGGCTACATAACATGACTACCGCATGTTTTCCTTCTTCCCTCGTTGACGCTTTTGATGGACAGCATGAGACGTAGCTGGTTTGAATTAAGACGCGCTTCAGCCCTTCATAGAGACTTTTTTTTACTGTACTTTGACAAGGTTTCCTTCTCTTCTCATAGTTAAATCGAGTGATCTGAGTGATTGAGACGTAGGTGGGCATGTCACAGGCCATTCAAAGATCTCTGGGTTGTCAATACAGGCTCTAATTCGCTCGACAGTGGGAAGGTAGAAAGAGGAAGGACATCTGCCGTGATTCTCACCGTTCTGAACCTCGTTGGCCAAAACCAAGACCAGGATACAACATTGAGATGTTGTGTAGATGTTGAAAGGAATGAAAGCGATCGCTCCTCTAACAGAGGGAGGACCGAAGGACACGTCCGATAAAGCGGCATTGGCGAGTGAAGTCTCGCCAAGGTAAATGGATTTCGGACTCGATAGTTGAGACAGTTGAAGCATGACGGATGCATCCATACTCACGCTGCGTAGCTCTTGAATGGATTCATCGCAGTTCGACACGTTGGTCGTCCTGATGTATTCAACCAGGGGCTTCAAGTCATCCCCCGTCACCGCAAGTTTGAGGCTTCGATGCTTGTAATATCGGATACTTCCGTCGAAATCTTGGCCCTCGTGGACGGCGACTTTGACCAAAGCTGCCAGTTCAGGCCTTTGTATGATAGTTCGCAAGAACTGAGGGATCGAGGGAGTCTGAGAGTTGAACCCTTTCAATTTGATGTGAGAGTAAAGCAATGGCTCGACGTGAGAGCACAAGTCAGATTAAAAGCACGAGGATCGGTGGGACCAGGGTGGACAAAGACCTCATGCAGGGTCTCTGTTGGACTAGAGATGAGAGGAAATGTCATTTGTTGTCTTTGTGAGCTGAGAAAGAAACTTGATGGCTCGATCCCTTTGACCTCGATAGGGTTTGCAGGGTTTGTCGTCTTCTTTGGCCCTGCATGAAGCAGGCCGGGGTTTTCCTGTCAGGACCAGGCCTTGTTCCTTTTTCCTTTGTGCTTCAGGGCCTTGTAGACCCTGTTCTGTTCCCTTCTGCTTCTTCTTCATTTCCTAGTCATCTTCGTCTTCGTGTTCCTAGATAGACCAATTGACTCAGTCTCCCTCTCTCTCTCTCCCGCTTCCTGTGCCAGCAGCGCCGTGGGCGCTGTCAAAACTTGCATGCAGTTTCAAGGCAAGGAAAGTACTAGGGGCCCCTCGTTGCTATTTATTGATTGTCAGGTTATTGTCATCTGGTTAGTTACATGCCTGGATACCCGATGGCCCCCAACCCGTGACCCCACACTGCCCCTCTGCGGCGCCTATTGTTTTACATCAACCTGTCCAGACTCATTTATATTTTATCAGCAATGTGACAGCTACGGAGTACTTGGAAATGGGCCAATCAGGGCAACGGAATCAAAAAAGGGAGATTGATGTTGAATTGAGTGATTGAATGATTGATTGATTTAGGAACATGAAATGAGGGTGCTCATGGGGGTTGAAATACCCATGAGCTTACACGATAACGGGGATCCTCGGATGTTACAAATCCGGGATGCCCAATTGCAACATATTTGTGTTAGGCAGACATACTTGAGTGTTATCTTATGCATGCAGGTAGATGTCACCCTGCAGGCTGCATGTTGTGATAAGAGCGCCGACCCATTCGGGTTGACATATTTCAAGTATCGGCTGTATTCTGAACAATACTCTGGGTCAGCGAGAGCAAATCCGGCACCGGTAAATTAATCATAATAATTGAGAGGCAAGTTCAAAGCGCCACACTGCTCCGTTTCATCCAAATCCACCATAGCAGACGGCCACTGTAAAAACCGGAGCTGATAACTATCGTGCTTGAAAGGCGTCCACGGGCCAGTCACTTCAACCTGTCGAGTTGTGTTGACATATCCTCTTGCTTTGGTGTACTTCGTGTCCGGCGTAGGATTGAACGATCGGGCAAAACTAGCCCAAGAGTCCAGCACAAATTGCTGAAACGGCAGGTCGAACTCATCTCTCAATGGAAGACCTTGGCGTACCACGTTCCCAAACACATAGTAAAGTTCTCCGGAGTGACACTTGAAATATTCTCGTCTTGGATCGCCGTTGGGATAGTCTGATGACACGGGTGCTTGGCACAGAGGAGGATTAGGTGACCATTCGGGCACCGGATAGGTACGGTTGAACTCGTAGAAAAATACTTCGGGGAATACCTTGTTGGCGAATCCAGCGTAGGCAGTCGCTTGGTCGATGCAGCGGAACATTCCGTCGGTAGCCACTCGTACAGTTGTGTTGAAGATGTTGAGTGTCTGGTTGGAGCCAGAGGGTATCGGAAACACTTGACTCCCAGCTACTATTGGCGGCAGACCAGATCTGTTCAAGAACTGCTGAAATGTTTCTCCTTCCTTAGGATAGCCGATTGTGGTAGCCCCGTCGTCTCTCGTTGTGCCTAGCATCAAAGGTACCCTCGCAGTAGAACCTGGGTCTTTCAGATTGAGTTCAGAGCTTGTGAGATATTCTCCGTCCACCACAAGGTAGCGTGTAGTAGCACGGAGACTGGAAATAGTCGTTGCGGGAACTGCTCGTAGACAGTCAAGTTGTGAGCTAGCATCCGTGCAATTCGTTTCGCTCAGAATAGCATTGCCAGCAACTTGCATCTCCTGCTCAATGGTGTAGTACTTCGAGTACGTCGTCCCATATGCCAGGCCACCAAGATTGCTCTGCATGATCGCGCCTGCAAACTTGCCTTGAGCTTTGGGCGATGCCAGCAAAGCCCGGACTGATCCTGCCCCTGCCGATTGTCCGAAAATAGTGATTTGGTTGGGATCACCCCCGAAGTCTTGAATATTGCGGCGAACCCAGTCAAGCGCAGTAATCTGGTCCGCCATCCCGTAATTTCCATTGGTGATGCCATCGTTCAACGCTAGAAATCCAAGCGTACCTAGGCGGTAGTTGATGGTAACGACGACCACATCCCCTCGAGACGCAAGATTTCCCCCGTCGAAAGTGGGATCACTGCCTGAACCACCAGTGAAGGCACCTCCATGGATCCAGAACATCACGGGTTTTAGTTTATTGCCATGATCAACCTTTGGTTTTGGAAGATATGGCGTCCAGATGTTTAGGAAAAAACAATCTTCCGAGCCGCTTGAGCCTTGGACACACTGGGAGCCGTAGTCGAGAGCAAACGCATGATCGCTATTTCCTTCGTATGCTTGAGAGTAGGTCCATCGTTTTGCTGGTTTGCCATATCGAATACCAAGAAAGCGAAAAATGAACCGATCACGGAAGCTGAGTCTCGATCAGTCGACAAAACCACCGTGTCCTTCAAAGGGCCTTACCCGGTAAGATATTGCTTGTTAGAGTTGACGGTGACCTGCCAAATGGCATTCGTATTCTTCTCATCGGCCGTAGAGTAAGGAGCAGTCTGCGTACACAGCACTGGCAAGCGCTCATTTGCAGAAGCCTTCTTCACGCAGCCGCTCGAGTCTACGCTGGATGGTGTACCATGGACCGGGGCAATCCAATATCTTTGGTCGCTGGCGTATTTCTTTTGCAATACAAGATAGTCCAGATCATTCTGGATATTTTCGAATCCCGAACTTGAGCTCCATAGTGTCTCGTTAAGGCTGTTGCAACCGTTCAGACCTTCTTGTAATGGCATCGCATCCAGTAAGAGCACACCTGACTCAGCATGGGGGCTGGAGGTTTCTATACGATTGAGTTTAGCATCAAATCATCCTAATCCGATGGAAAGCAAGTTATTCACCCAGCAAGTCATTGTGAATAAGAATCGATATGTCAGAATTCAATGAGCCCGGGCCAACGAGCGCTCTAGCCACCACTGCTAGAAAGAGGACAGTATTGAGGAAAGCATGCGACATTCCGATACGTAGTAGATCCCACTGGAGATAAGAAGAAGTCAACCCCCGTCGACCATTATCATTGTGCAGTGTTATTTAACCCGAAAAATCAGGGTTTCCAGTGGACGACTCTTCTTCTCCCCGTGTCCCTTTTAGCCATTCACTACCAACCACGGGCCCACGTCGGCAAAAAGATTCCACCAAAAGTGACTCAGACGATGCTATTCGTCCGGCGACATGGAAATAACTTCAGAGTACAATTGGAACCGCGTTTTGCCTATTATGAGTACACTCTCCGCCTAAGTAGCAACGCTTTTGAATCGCAGCTGGGATAGAAACAAGTTTTCATCGCGGGTAATTGACCTCCAGTCTGATCGGCAAATTCATAAAGCTTAGCGGCAGAATTGCATCTCACGACAAGGTTTCTTCACTTTAAGATCCGTTCAGGCTCTGCAGGAGTGAGCCTGAATTATTCAGCCTATGCCCCGAAGAAAGGTTCCCCGCGCAACAATGAGTGGACCAGACCGGGAAAAGTGCGACTGTCAACACGGATGTCCTCCGTACAGCACCGCATATAGCCAAGCTCAATTCGTGAACAATATATTCAGTGATTTGGGTAAAATGAATTAAAATAAGCGTGCATCCAATTTCTATCAGAGCGTCCCAACCCAACTTCCGCCAGTTGACCCTCGCACCAAGCCCTGATGACGCTAAAGATGTGTAGCACCACCGGCTGATTGATTCTTTCTGCTCAGTTTTCTTCGCAACAGCCCTATCCGACGCTAAGAGATTAATCATTCTGCCATGGATCATTGCTAAACTCATATCTACTTGTTGGGGCTCTGGAACTAGTTCCGATGCTTGGGCCATGGCTACTCGTCTTTCTGTTTCCAAGAAGTCTCAGATCATAGACGAGGCAAAGACTTATTTGCAAGTATGGTTAAAGCTAATTGAGAGGAAGGCGGCACTTGGTGAGGTATTAGACATGAAGCAGATAGTTAGCCAGCGCCGATTCCGGTGTCATGTAGTCACACAAGCTATCTCGGGAGTATGAAAAACGGTATCAACGTCCTACCTCAGAGAGGAAGTCAATAATATACCCGCAACTTGGGCACAATGGAAAGTTTACACCCGCATGATTGCCTTTAGAACAGTGAAAGCCAAGCAGTGCATCGTTTAATTGATGACTTGGAGTTAAGTTTGTATTCAAATTCCAATGCTCTCTGGCAATCGCCGACATTGCCATGCTGTTAAACCATAGCGCGGACCAGGAGCAGGCCGCAAACGACCAAAATCGCAAGCTCTGGGAAGAAGAGCCAAGTCTGGGTCTATCTATGAGAGTAATCAGTTCTTCTGGGCTCTAACCGTATCTGCGGCATTTAGTAAGTGACATTTCTACTCGACTTTTGTAGTTGAGCTCAACCCTAAGCTGGTTAAGCTAATGCACCCACGCCAACTGGATGGAATGTTCAGACTGCGTTATCGCGAAGGGCTCGATAGTAGACCCGAATCAGACTGGAGAGCCGCCGTCGTACTCATAGCAATGACGGGATTAGTATGGTGATATCGGTGCTGCGCTTCGACGGGAACCTCGTGCGCGGACGGGCTGTTGGGACTGCTTCGCTCGACTTCCTGCATCTCCGCGTTACTATCTTCATCGCTGCTGTCGATCACGGACTCGGCGGCTGCCCAATCAGGGTCACATTGATCGCACCATTGCTCGCGTTGTTTTACTTGCCGGTCCTGCTCTGGCATTGCTGACGGGTGTATCCATCGATCGGCCCATTCAAATAACCATCTAATACCACGCGACGACACCGATGGTCCTCGAACATATAGCGTCGGACCAACTCTAACCCAGCTTGCTCACTGGGCGTATTCTGGTCAAACCAGGCTTGGATCTCCTCGAACCCTCCGGCTAGATGATCATGGCTTCACTGGGCAAATGATCCCGTCCCGCCCAGCCACTTTCCTGTGCGTAATCTAACAATGACCGGGGAACCCAATGTGAATGATGCATCGAATATCCGGGATGTCCACTCCCATGCCCAATGCACTGGTGGCCGCAATTACCCCGTTTGCCGCACTGCGGAACAGCTCGAAAATGCCCAACTTCTCATCCTGGTTGCAGTAAAATGTGGTACATCCTAATATCTCTGCAGCCTAGGTCACAATGGGCTTGGTGCTGCCGTACACAATGACTCGACCGGGCCGGGCACGCTGAACCTGTTCACGAATACACTGCTGGACGCCGGGATCCTTCAATCACTGGCTCTGGGAACGATATTTCCACGCAACTATGGGACGGTACACCCGATATGCGATATTATGGCGGCTGGTCCGCGCGCGGTACATACTCACCACGTTTCGCTCCACCTCCATGCGCTGAAATAACCGGCTCTCATCACATGGGGGCAACGGGGCGGTCAAAAACACCATCTGCGCACCAAACCGGTGCATTTGACCTAACTGCTGCAAACGCGGCCGGAATTTCTCCGACGTGTTCAACATAACAATCCGGTCCAACCGCAGATAATCCCTCTGCCGGTTTAAAAACCACTCGAATGCATCCGTGAATATCGCCTCGGGCGTCACAAACACAATGGCCGCTTGGTTGGATGGCGATGACTCTCCCATTCGACGCATGAAATCCCGGCGGCTTCGCATCGGCGCTGTAAATCAGATCGCAATGCGATCAACGGAACCACCGCGATCGTTAACCCACCTCGTTGCCCGACCCACGCGGGCAACATGAACAACATACTCTTGCCCCCGCCTGTCGGCATCCCCGTCACCACCCGGGAATCGCCCCGTTGGATGGCATCAATGGCTGCGCCCTGGACGCCCCGGAACTGCATCGTGGGGTCGCCGGTCATCCGCTGCAATGCCTCGGTCATATTGATTGTCTCGACTAATGACGGCGCTGATCACGCATCTGCATATCGTTGTTCTTCCCCGTGGCCGGGATCGCTTGCCCAACACACTACTCGGGATGTCGTTGGCGTCAAACCTTAAAAAATCATGCCAATGCACGCTGCTGGTCCGGAATCCCGCTTGAGGACCCGCCGTGGTCACTTGCTGTTGGGTCATCATACGACCGTATGCCATCTCGGCGACATAGGTAGTGTGCGCGGCTTGCAAATCGGCAATATGGCGCACCCACTGCTCGTCGTCCATTTCGTCCTCGTTCTCCTCGTCATGGCTAATGATCTCGGTCCCATCCTCGCGGACGTTGTGCGGGAATACTTTGACACTGCCGAAATACCTCCGACTGATGGAGATGGTAATCTCGCGGTACGCGGACAACGACAATCGTTCGTGTAAACGCATCTTGCTTTCTCGGACCATCACATCCGTCACCTGCGCGGGCGTCCACTGCCGTCCAATGTCGGCATCGACCCCCCACATCTTGGTGGCTTATGCGTCGGCAACGGCGTCTAAACGGCACACCTCTTCATGGTATGCCTGCAATATCTCGACAAATGGCAATACCAACCACAAATACCATACGACCAACTCGCCTACTTCGCGGGGCACGTACCGATGAATGACCTTAGCATCCCTGTTGGCGCAAAGCCCCTTATGGTATCGGGTGACAAATGCCACCAATCAATCTTCGATAAACATGTTTCGGTGCTCACCGGCGGCGCTGTAGCGGTGACGGATACTCAACAGCTCGTGGCCTCGCGGGGGCTGACCGCTAGTAATGTGGACCAGCACGGCCAACTTTTCCTTGAACTCGTTGACGAACCCGAACAACCGGCCGAACAACCGCTGCCATGGTTGCTCCTCCTGCACCCGGTCCACCATCCACCGCGTCCTTTTAACGGGCCACGGCGTACGCTCGTCCAGCAAAAGCTCCACACGTCCTTGGGCTGGTTGAAATCGTCGGCCATACGGTCCCATGGGATAACGGGGATCTGGTCGGGTTGGCACCGCAAAATCTGGTTGATCATCAATTGCCGTGCGCTGGCCGTCAACCCATAGATGAACCCGCGGAATGCCCCCATCGTGAACCGCATCGTTTTATGCGACAACTCGTCCCCGTTGCCCCAACCAATATATCCGGCGGCGGGGGTATTCATGTGGATTTTCATCCCATACCGGTGTGAATCCATCATCCACTTCATCAGCCCGGCGGTGCCATGAACCATAAACCCGGTGACCATAATGCGAATCCATTCGCGCCATGTCCCGCTTGGTGCCTTCCCGTGCCTGCTGGGTGAATACAACGGGTGGTGGGGAACTGTTGGGTAAACTGGACGGATAATCCGGGGTACAGTCAACTCCCGCTTATGGCACACCCCACCATCCAACAGAATTTGCGTGCCATAAGTGAATTGTGCTTATTGTGATCGGATGACTAATTTGGTTATATCGATCGACATACATTAATTCCTAATTAGGAAGTCATTTTCGTCTGATAGTTTTAGGAAGTTATCCAACGACATAACTGTATGTGTATCGCTACCCATATCCGCAGGAAACCGGTTAATTAAGCTCTGGTATAGAGGCATTGATTCAAGCAGTTCTGGCGTTGGCATACTTTGCGTCTGATCAGTGCTTCGACTAACGATAGTGCTCTTAATAAAGCAGTTCTGTATAGTCTGATCAAGAACATCATTTCGCCAGGCCTGGGTAAGCCAGCGGAGGGTATATTTGAGGCTCATTTTCTTGTTCGGATCAAGGTTCCGGTCAAGGATATTAATCATCCATATCATCCATTTCCTCCGATAATGGTGCTTTAGATTCTGGATGATTCCTTGATCTAGTGGCTGATAGACCGACGTCGCATTTGCCGGGAAAAAATCACCTTGATATTAGACGGTGGCGGCGTATATTCAAGCGCGCATAGATGCGCACTAAAATTGTCTAGCAATAGCAGAACGCATCGTTGCTTGCCAATATTCTTATAAAATGCGCGAAGCCACTCTCCCATAATACCACTGCGCATCCATGCTTTCTTATTCCAGCGCCAGGCACATCCAATTGCTCGGATATTTACCCCCCGAAGAGCGCGTGGTGTCTCTGCTGTACCAATCAGCCATAGAGGCATTCGGTCCGAACCAGTAGCATTCGTCGAAATATAGTGATTCGGGCCTTATCTCTCTTTTGACCAGCATAACCATATGTGGATAGGCCACCGTTCGGCATACGGCGCCAGTAAAGCCCAGTTTCGTCCATAATATATATATCCTCCGGTTGATATTGATCGCAGATCGCCTGAATAGGTTTTATCTCGTCGTGTATCGAGGTTGGGGCCGACGCAGATTCACCTCACCGTACAAGGTATGATAACGGAGGGAATGACGTTGCTTAAACCGAGTAAGCCACCCGTCAGAGAAAAAGGCCACTGGATGTTCAGCATATTCGGGGATTTTCTTCCAATACTCGATAGCTTTAGGCCGAAGTAGCGGGCCTGTTATGGGAAAGCCGGCATCCTGGTGTCGTTGCTGCCATTCAAAGAGAGCTTGGTCTAATATAGGCTAATGCGATGTCGATGAGCGCATATTTAGACCTGCTGGGCCAGCATCAAGGTGCTAGTATTTGGATGAAAGGATCTTTGAGACAGTGGCCCGATCAATAAGGCGACCAAACTGGGACCGAAACCACTCAACGCAGGCTGGCTGAGAAGGTGTAGGGTGTGTTTCGGATGCATAGAGGCGTAGAGCCTGTTTCTGAGCGTCAGATATGCCCTTCCTAGCTCGCCTTATGAGGCATCTTGGCCGAAAGGGTGACTGAATTTTGCATTGTGATTGGTCGGTCTATATGACTAAGCAGATATAGGAGAGAAAAAATCGTGTGCTATAACCGAGATGTGCTACAAGTGGTCTATATATATGGGAAAAGGCGGAAAAGTGGGTCCGTCCACGAATATTCAAGTCCAACAAAAACGACTGGTGGACGACGGCAAACCGGTACACCGGACTATTCCAATCATGCCTGGTGACTCGATCTCTTGACCTCGAGGGTTTGCAGGGTTTGTCGTCTTCTTTGGCCCTGCATGAAGCAGGCCGGGGATTTCCTGCCAGGTCTAGGCCTGTTCGTTCCCTTTGTGCTTTAGGCCTTTATAGGCCTTCTTCCTTTCCTGTCTTCTTCTTCTTCTCTTAGTCGTCTTCGTCTTCCTGTTCTAGATAGACCAATTGACTCAGTCTCCCTCTTCTCTCTTCGCTTCCTGTGCCAGCAGTGCCGTGGGCACTGTCAATGCCGAACTTGGGTGCGGGCGAAAAACATCAGAATGCGGCGCCAGGGGTCGACATGTCGCTTTAACTCCTCGTCTGCCTTTATGTATGGCTGCAACAGCTTCGATGGGATCTGCTCTATGTCGGTACGGGCGGCTTCAATCCGGAATAAATGGATGTCCCGTCCGTTCAAGTTGGGTGATGTTCTGGCTTTTGCCAGCAACACGTAACACAGCATCCCAAATCACCCGTGCGGTACCCTCATCCCCCTCCGCATCTTCCATCGGGCTTTCAATGCATATCCGTAATCCCTTGGGCTTCCGTCCGCGTAAATATACCGCCCATCCCGTCCGGTCCAACCATGGATTGGTTTCGTCGATGGTACCGTGCTGGATCTCGCGTTCCAGCTGTATTTTCCGTGAAAACACCTCTCGCAATTGGTCCACGGCTTCGGCGGCCTGCGTGGCCAGGGGCGGTGGTGCTTCGGGCTCGTACAGAATATGGATGTAATGCGACCTTAATCCACGTGGGAAAACTCGCTGGCACACAACTGCCTTGACCCCTCCTCTTGTTTCTGCTTTCCCTGCGGCAATTTCGGATGGTCGTGGCTTGCTCCCATGGCCGTACGCCGAAAACCGATGCTTCTTCGACCAGTGAACTCGCAAACTATCGCGACTGCGGTAAATTTGCCTACAAAACTGGCACTGTAACCCATCTTGGTAAATTGGTAACGCCAGAATGGGCCGATCCACGGCCGTGGGGAGCGACCTAATCTCTTCCTCGACGCAGTTCCATTTATCGGTTTGGCGGATGATTTCCACTACCTGTTCTGCAACACATCTGCTGATACGGTGCTGGCCCTGAATGTTGGTTAAATGGTGGACTATCTCTCCGGGCTTCACGCCACACTCGCACTGGCGACAAATAGCGACTCCCCACTGCTGGTTGCCTATGAAATACTGGTCGGCAATGGTGGGTTCTCCGGGCCCACTCATGCTGAATGTGGATATATACTTGACAATGTGAAGGGTCCACTGAATGGATACTGGGAAACCATACCACTGGGAACTGCTTGGTTGTTGACGAAATTGAAACCGGGAATTCATCGCAACCCCAAAATGCCTGGCGGGGATTTCAACCGAATCGAACTAATAATACTTGAGTGTTGAATCGCGTCGTGATGCGTGATGGGTTTCATGATCGACAGAAGCCGTTGCAATCATGATGGCTGAAGACGAGCTAATACCGTCGGGACCAAGATCTGTGACACCATACTCGCGGTTTCGGCATAGGATGACGGGGTCGGAGAGGACAACCTCGTGCTAATAAACGTCGCTCTGGAGGTCGCATAGCCCTCCGAGCCCATCAAAAATCATGCTAAATCACATCATCAAGGGCCAATACATAGCGCTACACAACACCGCGCTACTAGAGCAAGTAAACGCGAATCTACGCTCAGCGAAGGAGAAGATAGTGAAGAAGCGTACTCGGTCGACTAAGTTGATACCATGCGAAGAGTTTTTGACCGGTGAAGAGAGTCTAGAGGTATTTACGCAGCTGGATTCACCAGCAGAAGGACCTACGGTAGATTCCCATACGCAGGGCGAATTGCTTAACCAGGCAGACTAACCGGCGAAGATGGCTCTGCCTAGGTGTAGTGGGTGCAGGGAGATTAGCCGGAGGATTAATACATGTAAGAATCACTATATTTAGCTAATTCATGAGGTGTTGGTTGAGATCTGCTGATTTGAAATGTGCTAATGGGTATATACGATCTGGTCAGCTGGGTGATCCGGTCGGCTGGGAACTACCTTAGGGTAAAGTAGTAGCCTGTTAGATAAGGAATAAGGCAACCGTAGGTTGGCTCTGAAACTTTTTCTTGCAGACCGCTCAAAAATCTCCTTATTTACAAGGTATTTAACGTACATTTTCCCAGAGGACTTCCTGCCTAACCGGACACACAGGACAGACCGATTCCGCTCAGACGGGTCCTCGTGTAACATGAGGGAGGGGTAACACAAGGTCGTGTATTCGGGCCGGCTTCCTCGTTGGTTCCCTATCGAAAAGGTCGCCAATCCCTGGCCGACCCGTCGTTGTCAAAGGGAAGCTTGAGGGGGTCGTTGTGAAGGGCTCAGACCGAACTTGATTCAATTGGTTGTGGCCGACAATGTGTCTATCGAAAGCTTGAGGAAAAGTAAACACATGAGCCTCCTGGGACGCTAAGTATAGAGGCATTCACGAGACACACGTGATCAACAGCGAGATATCTAGATCATCCACGCGGCCATCGAGCTTGTCACCCAGAGAGTAACATGCCAGCAGTTTTTCACTTGGGACCTTGCGAAACATTATATCCATATCCGGAACCCGCCTGGGGACCAGCAACCCGAAGAGCCATCTGCACCCGTCGATGTGACTACCCGCATTGCGCAGTTTTTAGACCAGTTACAGCTAAACGGCCGGAGTGACGCTCATACGACCATCTAGGCGGCGAGATCGACGAGGCCAATCCATGGTTACGTCAAACCCAGTGGGCCGAATATCTCCTGGGGATCAATCGGGGCCTGCTATGTGACTGTATCGCGGCCCCGACTGAGGAGGCCAATGGTCTTGAAGCCGTGGCCCGCCGGATCTGGGTTGCAATGGGAGAGGTGGCCCAGATCAGCCAGCAGATCACCAAGGCCACTGGGAATGCGATCCGCAGTGAAGCTGTGCGCACCGAAAAGGACCGGAGCCCCGTCCAACCACTACAGGCATAAATGGACACGGCGAGCATCCGGAAGCATGTCGAGCCATGGCAGCGTGTTTTGATGTTTTTCGTGCGGACGCAAGCACCACATAAGTGGGATAGCCCCCAAGATACACTTGAACTCAGAATCCAGATCTTCGATCCCCCGACCCCCCCTTCGATATACTTACACCTTTTACTCCGTAGTTCGATTGCTGATCAGATGAGATAACTTTGCCCAGCAAAATCATCTCTGGTGTTGAGTTTAATGGCCTAGATTTAGTATTAATTAGATCGGCGATCAGCAGTCTAGTGTGTCGCGCGGGCTGACAAGGTATCGATAACCCAGATTCAGTACCATATAGATTGGTGATCAGCCGTGTGATGTGTCATGCGGGCTGGCCATAAAATAAAACTTTAATTGCAAGTGCTTAGATTTATAAATTCTACTCATCTTAGAAGGCATAGTAATAAGGTCCAATAAATAGATTCTGTGGGTTGATCAGGCTGTTCAGTCGTTCACACGCTGAACCCTAAATATGCAATAACTATGAGGCGCGGTTGATGCTCCAAGGATCGGCACTTGATCGGTATCGATAATCAGCTAAGGCAGCCTAATTGTTGAGGACCTACTTGTCAGGTAGATAGCCAGTTGGTCAGGTAGGGTATGAGGCCGAATCAGTAGATCAGATTGACACGAGAACCGATTAGGACCAAACTAGATACCGCATGTGTGCAATCCTTTTAACCCGTCCTTTTCAGCGAGGGTTCTGTGTCATAACTGCAGGGACCCGGTATTTGATCTATCACAAAATTCCCAACAGGAAACTGGTGATGAATCTTGGCAGGCAGAACTGATTTCAATAGTAATATATTTGCACTATATTTCTTCGATGTTGAGACCTGCGTGCCGGTGCTCGGATAGTATGGGAAGGATAAAAGCATATATGGACAGATCAACCGATTTAATTGGGTGGGACCCGTAAAAGTCGAAAAATGATCCTCTAAGGGCACTTTATGATTTGCTGTGACGGCAGGCTCAGAGACCCCACAATCCATATGTGAAATTGAGTTATTGATCTGCGGCCCAATCCGTTTAGGCCATCTCTGATTTGCAGCTAGGGTTTACTAGTGATACACCTCATTTCCCACTTCCACAAGAAAGAAATAAATTCAGTCAGCTATTATTACTTCTTATCCTTTGTATCACCAAACTGCATATATTTGAGTAGCTCGCATAGCAAATGTACACATGAACGCCACTAGAATTTAGTGATAATAGGAGGAATTCATTACAATAGCCCCTTACGTGGTGCCCTTGCATTGATATCGTGAAGTTGGCTAGTTAATAAAATCAACTAGGCTGAAGTCGGAATCCAACACCAATCTATGGTATGTGACTTAACCCTTATAGGGTCTATATTTTCCTTCAAAAGGAAAATGACAAGCAATATTAGGAGTAGCTCCTTGCATAGCTTTTGTATGGTCCTCAGCGGATATAAGAAGGCCATGGCGCTCATCTCGTTCTCTTCCTTCCGTCAGCCTCGTTTACCTCCAACACACTCAGACAATACCTACCTCTAATCCTCAAGGTACACAACTTTAGCCCGCAGATTTTTCGAAACCTTTGTTAACTAGCTCTACTCGATCCTACAGCACGATGAAACTTCCCCTTATGGCTTTGGTCGCGTACGGCGCTTTTATCGCCAGCGCTTCTGCATCCTACATCGTTAAGAGGGATGACTCCATTTCATGCGATGTGAATAAGTGCATTGCTTTCTACTCAACTGGTAGTGCACAGTGCTCCTCTGGCTACAAGAGAACTCATCTTGACGTTGATGGTTACTCGCCTGGCTCCTACTGTGAGAGAAGCTGTAAAGACAGCGAACGGAAGTCTTGCGCGGCAAGGAAATGTACGGACTGGGAGAACGAGTGCAACAACACTCCCCAAGGGAAAGGTGTTTGCAAAGAAGCTATCGATTGGTGCGATGGTCCAGTAGCGATGAGCCAGCTTATCTGCACGGATAAGATCATGGGACAGCCTGTGAAGTATGAGAAAGACGCGTGTCTTCCAAAGGATAAGTCCCTGGATTCTCGTTCTTACCACAAGGCCAAGCCAGGACCAGGGGGCCGGTTCATCGCTGTTGTCAAGGACGAAAAAAGAAGAACGGTTACGTTCAGTACGTTTGCGAGCCAGTCCACTACTCCGACGGCAATAGCATGGCGAAAGACCTCGCGGCGAAATACAGCACCTGCGAGTCTGTTTTCGACGAAAACGACAATGACCAAGGCCGGGACTTCATCAGAGTGGATTGCAGCAATATCCCAGAGGCTAAGTGGCCGCAGGTGAAAAGCCTTCTCAGAGATAGCTGCAAGAAGGCTAACCCTTGGAATGGCAAGAGCGCCCATTTTCAACAGAACGACTTTAATTAGTCTGTGTCGAGGATAGGAGGATAGTAGCAGTTACTTATAGCTGCCACCTATTGGTTTCCTTCGTCCTCAGCCTTTCTCTATGTTTTGCATGTAAATTACGGGGCTCTAAGACAACAATTTCAAGTCACTCTCGAGTCTCCTATGGGTCCTCTAAGACAAGGAGAAATTGGGCCTATCTACATACAACTCTGGACCAAATCTGCAGATGTGTGTATTTAACATACCTCCGCCTGCCTCTCATTTTACCTACAATCAACGAATTCTGTCTGTGCCCCGCAGCTAAGACCTGCCACCTTCGGTTACCCGAGAGCAGAAGATGATTATTGTTATTCGAATTTTAATCCCCCCTGCCAAGGGCACTGAGAGCATTGGTACGCCATTCTGATTTTTTTACTGGAATGAGACATCGACGTTTTTACCCATAGACTGTGGATACAAACTGATACCTGATCTGTAACTTTCGCTGCTGACTTCAACGCTATGAAAGCACAATGTCCGGATAGATCTGGCATTTGCTCGAAGAAAGTCGGTCAGATATTTTTGAGTCATAGACATTGAACATGGATCCAGCCTATGAATGCCCAGTGCGACGTTAGCCAAAGACTCGACCGCTATTTCGCTCCAGAGGAGCCATAGCTTCGGGGCAGGCTTTAGCAGATCGGCAAGAGATGTCGTCAAATAATGCATACCTCGCACCCGTCGAGGTCCAGAATGACAAAGCGCGTAAGCCAACCTCCCCGGTGGATTCGATTCTGACATGATGTAGCCGAAATGACGGAGCGCTGGAGGCTCTGCTCCGCCTGCCGAAAACGGGGACGATGAATCCAGACAAAACACGTGATTATGCGAGGATACGTCCATCTCCAGTGATATAACGGAGAGATATCACTGAAGACCCTCAGCCGAACTGTTCGGTCTACCTACCGGTGCAGTCGGCCTCAATGCGTCGCAGACGAGCCCCTTCTAGCACTGGACGTAATATCCGTCGGTCAGCCCGTCTAGCCGACTTCGCCCGTCGCCGCGTCTGAACAGAACATGATCACAAGGTGGCTGATTTTGTAGGTGTGGGCGGCTGATAGTTGGATCCAATGTGAAAGATGAGACCATAGATCATGCCTAATAAAGTGCGGCATGCACGCTGCCCTGGCAAATGATAAATGGCAACTCAATCGAGCCACATCTGTGATCCAATCATTAGGCATATAAGATGTGATTCCAGTAAAATAATCCGCTCAATGATTTATCGAGCTTTGTTGACGATAGGTAATATGTTTAGACAGGTCACGGGTCAGAGTTTTTGAAATATAATGGTATCTAGGGAAATTCAATTATACCAAGCAGAACCAGACTTGGGTGCCTAGGTGCACATAGAATGTTAACATATAGAGTGATGGCTTGTGTTACGGTCAAGAGAAAGATGCTAGATCAAACTGTACCATTCAACGAAGAAACCAAAGCTAGGGAAAAGAAGAAGAGAAAGAGGTGGTGACTGTTACAAATGTTGTTATGCAGAGGAAGCTTGATTCTTATCATTTCAGAGGGATACAGAGAGGTCATATATACACCGTGAAGTCCAAGTTGATTTTCAATCAACTTGGAACTTCGTATAGAAGAATTATTTCTGATGCTACGGCTTCATTCCTGAGCAGCTACAGCCTCATATCACAACATTCCCCCTCAGGATTGCCTTGCTAGCGAGGCGATACTGAATATATGCACACGGTCAGGCCTCGGTAAAACCACTCAAACCTTCAAAGAGGAGAAATAGTGGAAGGAACGCCATCGCGATTACACATTCTCTATGAGTCTTTTATGTCAATTCCTAAGAGTGTGCAAAACTCCATAAACAGAGAGGGACCCAGAGGCTTAGCGAGTCTATTAGCTGCTTGTTCTTTGGTTGAAACGTATTCGAGACAAATTTCGCCTTTATTCAGAACTGCTCTCTAATAGAGGAATTTCACGTTGAAATGCTTCGTCCGTTTGTGAAACTCAGGGTTGCGAGAGAGAGCAATAGCAGATTGGTTGTCAGCTATTAAAGCAGAAAGTTATCGACAAAGACGCAGACAACACAGTTAGGCTTATAGAAGACGCAATTGTCGGACTAGGCTATACTAAAGCCGTAAGCTACTAGGACGCGGTAGACGCACCAGTACCAAATCCGTAGTGCCTGCTTCAGTCCGTATAAGGAGCGTCGAAGACAGCAAACGTATCCGTCTTCTTTAAAGCCCTCTAGAAGCTCTATATAGATAGACGAATCGACATTACTATAGAGGAAGTGTTAAGATATATCCTGGCATGAGGTTATTCCCAAGTGTTGGTGCCTCAGGCTTCCCGGACCTGATAAGCCGTCAGGCTTTCTGTGGAGGTTCGCTGGGGCTTCGGCATCAGTACGTGTACGAACTCCTGCAGGGAACACCCTTGACAGAGGTTACACAAGCCTCGTGTTTCACCCCGCTCCCATTTCCCTACCAAGGATACATCTCCTTCTTGTTTGAGTGATGAGACTGTATATAAATTGACCCATGTTGAAGAGGTTTCACGATCTTCAAGAAACAGTCTTTGATCCCTTCCGAACAATTGACTTGGTCCCTTTCTCCCACCTGATTGACAGGCCTCTATCCTGACTTATAGAGTATATCCTTACACAGGAAGGCTAGCAGGAAGGCTAGCAGGAAGGCTAGCAGGGAGCTATCCTTCTAGAAGAAAGTGATAAGCACTAGGAAGCTCACGATCGTACACCTTAGGGTGTAGATACACCACTAATCACCCCGGAACCTAACGGAGGAGGCTACCTACTGGTAGACTATAATCCTCCGAATAATAAGCTAAAAGCACGTATCTGTGTGCGAGGAGACCTCGAAACAATCTCCTCTGAAGACAAGGGCAGTAAGGCTTATCTTTGCCTTAGTTGCAGCATTTAACCTTGACCTACACCAGCGTGATGCAGTCACTGCGTTCCTGAACAGCCCACTACCAACCGAAACCTACACAAAGATGCCTGAAGGATTTGAACAGCTAGGGATGCGCTGGAAGCTTAATCGTGCGCTATACGGCCTGCGTATATCACCGAAGCTTTAGCAGCAGGAAGTATCAAGGGTTCTTACAAAGCTTAGGCTTACACCGGTGCCTAAAGACCCCTGCGTCTTAGTCACACACAACATTATTGTCTTCTTCTATGTTGACGACTTCATTATCGCTAGCTACCCGTCACCGGCAATACGAGAGAAAGCTAGACAGCTTAAGAAGGATCTAGAGGCACACTAGGAGCTTACGGATAATAGAGAAGCAGAATAGTTCTTGAACATTCGAATTGTACGCGATCGACAACAGCACAAGCTTTGGCTTTAGTAAGACGCCTATATCAGCAGTATAGCTGCTCGATACTATTTGATCGATCGTGCGCCTGTCTATACAACTCTCCCTGTGGAAGAAATAAAGCCTTTCGATGGCACAGCAACACCGGCTAAGATCAAGGTATACCAGGGGAAGGTAGGTTCGGTCCAATATCCTACAACAATTACTAGACCAGATGCAGCAAAGGCAGCCGCAAAGCTCTCGCAGTTCCTTCGAAACCCCGGCCCACAGCACCAACGAGCTGTTGATAGAGTGATCTGCTATCTCTACATCACGCGATACCTGGCACTGCAGTGGTGGATGAGGTTCCTCGAACGAATCGCATTTAAACCAAGCCATACGATCACCCTTCGATGCGATAATCAGCAGACTGTCACGTTATTGACCTTTGAGCACGCCAAAATCGACACGAAGCTTCGTCACGTCGATAAAATGGGCACTGGTTAAGGCAAGAGGTCAGCAAAGGTCGAATCAGCATCAAATGGGTTCCCACGGCACGAATGGCCGCAGATGGTCTCACAAAGCTTCTACCGCGGCAGAAGCATGACGAATTCGTGAAAATGATGTGAATGGAGGATATAGAGCACCTCATTGAAAGCTAAATGAGAGAAGAAAAGCGTGCTGCTGCAAGGAATCAGCGCTCAGCTCAGTTTGAATTCAACATGAAGGAGATTGGCGAAGATATTCAACACCCGCTAACCGTTGAGGGGGTGTGACGGAACAGAAGCAGTAGTGGATCACGGCCTCTGGGATCCACTGCTGCTTCTGGTCCGTCAATTTGTGGATAACCTCATGTCAGGTGTATCGTAACACCGGATAAGCGATCGAGGGCTAGCGATACACCTCATCTTGTGAAGGGCTGAAGCAAGACTTAATTCAGTCTAACTAGGCCTACATGCTGTTTACAAAAAGCCTAAGGAGGGGAAGTTTATCCTGCGCGTTCTCCACGTCAACATACCAAGGTCCCGTGATACACGTGACCCACATTGGGCACTGGCCCGTGACACATCTAATAGTCTCGCGCGTAAATCTCCGTTATCTGGTACTTCTAATCTGCCTTTATACAGGAGTAATCCGCCCAGGGTTATCTATTTATCGTCACTATTTCTTGCTAGCTCACGGAATTCATTAAGACTCGTGTGTACTTGATTCGTTCCGATAACGCGCTCGATCACGGAGGAAGGTTTATTCGAGATCGAGGCGACCTATGCTATAATTATATGGGTCTCGTCTGGCTTAGACTCCTCGTAGACCTTTGGACTATCGTCTGAATATACGCCGAACTCTAATACTTCTCTTAGGAGTGTTGATTCTTCTTTGATTTTAATGAACTAACTGCTGGGGGTTGAGTGGGGTTAAAATACCCTCGAGATGTGACCCGGAAGATACATGTCTGAGGTTGCGAAAGGTGGCGACAAGTACGCGTAATCCCAATACCGAATACCAGATCCTCGGAAACCTCAAGAGGTACTGTTTAAGTCAATACAGTGCGGATCACCATTTTCCTGACACCAAACCACCAGAGGCATAGTCAGTCCACGTGACCATACGTCGAGATACTGTGAAGTCTCCTCTCATCACCGACCCTATTCACAGAATCTTTCCATCCGCAACAATGGTCTCGCATCTTGCTAAGAGCGCCGTTGGGGGTCAGACCCTGGCGGGCGTTAAGCCCAAGGCCGGCGCCTCGCCCAAAGCCCTTATCGCGCTTGAGAAGCGCACAGGGTCCAAAATCGTCATGGTGACGAATTTGGAGATCTTTGTGATTATTCCGAGTCTTTTGGTGGAGGAGTTGCAGAAGAAGTGTGCTAGTAGTACGAGTGTGACGCAGGCTGCTGGTGCGCCAAAGGGGGCGATGGAGGTTTTGGTACAGGAAGATCAGCGGAAGGTGATTGATGCGGCGTTGGCCAGTCGGGGGTTGAAGAGTCAGTGGGCGGAGGTAGTGCATAGGACGATGACGAAGAAGAAGAAGAAGAAGAAGAAGAAGAAGAGCTAGTCTGCAGAATCTTTGGCTCGCTTGAGTGTGGCAAGGGATATACATTGATTGTCAGGTTTGATTGCTATCTTGTCATTTGGCCTTTCCACTCAGCAGTTGTGTGTTATCCCCATGGCGAGCATTTTCACTGTCATATGTTGCGGAGTCCAGATGTCGAATTCTATTCTACAGGCACCATCTAGAGTTTACTCATGTAGTATCAATCGACGGTAGTCAAACAAATTCATGAAAAATGGTATAGAAGAGGTTTGGAAGGAGTCTAGGTCCCTGATCTCTTCTATAACGAGGAGAAAGAAAGAAATAGTACCAAGATATAATTACACAGCGCTCCAGAAACTCAACATCCTCAACAGGACAGAGTACTTTATCCCAGGCCAAGTGGAACATGATCTATGAAAAAGAACGACTCATTCTATCAAAGTGCGAAGACAATCGAGGTCCGATCAAGAAGTGGAACTTCACTGTTTCCGTTCATGCCCACCTGTGCAAGGCGCTTTTTAGAGGTTCAGGTCACGCGCGTGCACCTTCTTGTCACTGACGAGCCACTTCATGGTCTCACGGAGCATGCTGAGGAACTGGTCGGTGGATAGGGAGCTCAGGTAGGAAGACCAGTCGCCGGAATTATAGGAGTTAGACCCAGAGGAGGACCCGGAGCTAGAGCCCGTGGTGGAGGAACCAAAGCTGGAGGAGGCCGAGGAGGAAGAGGACGAGCCCGAGCTGCTGGAGGCAGGAGCGGAGCTGGCGGCAGACTGGCCTCCCGCGCTGGCGGTGACGGTCACGGAGTCATCAACGCTAGGGGTCTGGATATTGGGCGAGTCAGTAAACTGAGCCGGAATAGTCGCAGTGGAGTAATCGGTGACAGTGCAGGCTGTGGTAGGCTCACCCCCAGATCCGCTGGGCTTAGAGGAGTGAAGACGGCCCGAATCAGCAGCACCGTGATCTGGGCGATGACTGTGCGACGGACGTGGCAGGCGGGTGGAGTACATGTGATGAGGCGGGATGGATGAAGGGCTCCAGATGGGGGTGGCACTAACGGGGGAAGCGCTGGAGATCACTCCGACGGACGCCACGGGGGAAGCAGACAAGGGAGCGGCGGTAGCGGTAGCAGCAGAGGCGGCGGAGGTGGTCGAACTCGGGGAAGACCTGCCGCCGGTGTACAGAACTGGGCCGGGGATGATGTAGGAACTCAGGGACTGGTAGATGCTGACCAGGATGCCAGGGTCGGTGTCCTTGTACAGGGAGGTACCGAGGGTACCAGAAGGAGAGTCACTGCCGCCACCGGTGACCTTCAGGTTGAAACACTGGGGGTAGTTCTGAGCGCTGTCCTTGTTGAAGGCAGAGTGCAGAGCGATGATCTCGTGGCGGAGCACGTAGTTGCCAGCCTTGATGGTGCTGGGGATAGTGATCGTCCAACTGTTGTTGTTGCTCCTCAGGTTGTCGGAGGCCCAGGTGCCAGGACTGATGAGACCAGCCTCGTTGATCTTGAAGAACTTCAGGGTGGTCTTGTCGACGGAAGAGCAGTCACCATTGCAGTTGGCCAGGTAGGTGATAACGGGGCCGTGGTGGCTCGAAGCCCACTCGCTCCACTGCAGCTCGACGCTGCCACCAGCCTTGACAGGAGCCGAGGTGGCACCGGGCCTGGCATTCTTGTGGCAGATGATGTCCGCAGAGGAGTACGAAGAACCGTCAACGTAGCCCAGGTCGGTGGCAGTGTCAGACCAGGCAATAGTCGCGGGAGGGCTGCTCATGTAGGGGTACTGGCTAATCAGATATCCACCATAGTAGGTTCCGTCGACAACGGCGCCAGTCACGTAACCGTGGCCAGCAACCAGAGCGGCCGAGGAGAGGATAACACCGGCAATCTTGGAGAGAGGCATAGCTTCAGTCGTTTGGTTTGGAACGAATGCACAGCGTATCTGAGTTGTATCCGCGAGGAAAGGAAGAGGCGAAGATAAGGAATGACAACGGGGATTTCAGTCAATGAAATCAACCCAAGGGAAGCGAATGGGAAGGTCCTAGACCTTGAGAAAGAAAGAATGGATTGTTGAGACTGGTGATATAAAGAAAAGATCCAGATGGTCATGATCGCGCAACTTTATATGCTGCTCGTCAGTCGAGGCTCGCCAGTATCAGCGCTCTTTTGGGATCCGAGAGCGAGCCACATCAACCACATCAGCAGCTCCAACTTCGCCAGGCCAGCTAGTTCCTTCGCTGGTTGAGACCCCTGAATTCAAGCACGTCTTCCTTATGATGGAGGATTTCCACCAGCGTGAATGGCCGGCTATAGATGGAGAATCTCTCACTACCAAAGGGGCAGCACTCCACAGTTCCAGATAGATGAACTGTCTTGGAAACCCTCCCTCTCCCAGTGTAGCGGGTCGTCGCGAGACAACAGGTACCCACACGGTTGATTAGGCTATAGTCTGTACATCTGTTTCGGGGGTTCTACAATGGATCATGGGTCATGACTTGCATCACCTACCGAATGATATGTCCAAGCTCCTGCGTGGTTGTTTTGGTGTGCTGGAAAGTGAGTGGTTTTTGAGGATATTGATTTCAGATCCAGAATGGGAAAGGCTTGGTAGGGAGCCCCGTCACCACACTAAGGAGGCTGAGACAGCATCGTATTCGGCTTAATGGAAAATTGACTTTCTATTCGACCTTGACCGTGACAACCCAGACATGGACTTTATCGTCATCGCGCAGCTCAGGTGTGGACCCTGGGCAGGCCGTACTGGGTTAGTAATCTTAGGAACGAGCCTGGGCCTTCACAGCTCACGAACGAACCTGTATTAAGGTGAACCAGCGCCGTTGTAATTGGCCTACGATTAGTGATTTTTAGTGGCAATTGTCCCGGGGGAGGGGGGTGGGTCCAGTGAGATTGGAATAAGATGCGATATGCATTTTGCGCTCGTTCAATCTCACCATGCAGGCGGCACAGTGAGCAATCCCGATCTGTGTGGAGCTCACATTGTGATCGCCAACTTGCGGCCGAATCGCCGTGGCTCGTCGCAATCCATGGACAGGGAATTTCCCCTGAAGGATGGAGGCAGATGTGGTGTGGAATTGCACGAGTGGAGTCTCTTCTATGTCGCCGAAAAATGGCACCTGCACCGTCAGTAGCTCTTGTGGGGGAATCCGATTTTGCCAGCACGGCCACGGGGTCGGTTCCAAATAAAATCATACTCCCTATCAAAACTTACTTCTTAGATACCAACCATATTACTCAACTTAATACTAGAAGCACCTAATTTGGTGATAATAGAGACGACTATCAAAACTAGGATGGCAGGGCCACAAATTTGCTACTCCCAGACTTATCGTACAGATTGTGAGCAGGTCTTTTATACTAGGTAAATGAAGGAGCTCCGCAGCCAAGACCAGACCGCAATGTTTGTCATAAACTCGTTATCGATCTGGACTGTGGATCTTTCTTATTCAATCCGTCCACGATTCATTGGAAGATCTCAGCCCACCCGGCGTGCCGAGCCCGCCGAAGGTTTCACAATAATTATCCGATTACGCGCCGAAGATGCTACCCCTTGTGGTTAATTCTGTGCGGCTTTGGGCTCCGCAGATTGGACTGTAATCTGAAGTTGGCGGGTTTGGGTTTCTCTCATTGGATTAGATCGAATAGAGAATTTCTTATACACTAGGCATTTTTTTAATATATAGAGAGTGAATTGATTAAATATAACTCCGTACAGTTAATAGAAGAGTAGAATCCTTATCTTAATATTCTAAGCAATACCCCCTGCCCCCCAACCCCCCGACTTGCATAATATACTGCCGGTCCCAAAACCTCGACCGAATCTCCATAATATTGATAATTCTACAAAATAACTAGCTCACGCACCCCCATAGGCCCTAGTATGTGTATACCACCCCTGTTATTCAATGATTGCTTCAACCCTGTTAGGCATAGTCTCTAAAGAGGTGCTCTAGGTGCCTTATATCAATATTTTGCCATGCAATTGGAGCAGCTTCGACCAAATTCGCTTAGTCTCCTCATTGTTCTTCATATGCAGGAGATCCGGCCGAATTTTATAGATTTCTGCCTTCAATAGGGCTCATAGGTTTTCAATTGGGTTAAGGTCAGGCGAATAAGGCGTCCAAACCATCACCTCGATCTCTAAATCTGCTAAAGCATCGCGCACAACGTACGCAGTATGCGTAGGTGCGTTATCGTTAGGCTACGAGATGGACCCGCAAGAACCGCGAACCGCCCCGCCTCGCCCCTCCGAAGGGGCGGTTCTTGGTACCTACTATATAGAACCTCCCCTCAAGGTTGCGGGTAGAACCTGAGGTTCTACAAACATGAACGACAAACATTGACGATCTTGTAATATGCATATTTTATGAAGAAGAGAGTTGTATTTTTTTGGTATCCTACTTTCAAGCTTATGATGATTATGTGCTGTACCTTTCCATAGCCATAATGCACCATTTTTGTTTCTGCTAATTGTATACAAAATTCTCTACCCCCTTGGACGCTTTGGGACACGCCCAGATGAGCACCGCTGAGTGCTACATTCCTCCTGTAAGCAGCGATTTTCAAGCAATGGCACCTCACGATCTTTATCCAACTTGATCAGATCACTCTCAGTGGCCCTTCTCTTCCCTAATGCCTTTGCACCGGGCATCTGGATAGCTTCGGAATTATCTGTTGTAGACGGACTCTCCTCGTCGTCACTGGTTGCATCAGACCCCTCTTCCTGCTTTTCAATGCGTCCTTTCTCTCACTCTCCACTTGCTACTCTTGGATAGAAATGTACTAATTAATCAGTGTAAGCTGCTCTATGTCTGGGTCAAATCTTGGATGGTCTGTTGCTTAAGCGACCCTCGTCGGTAGTGACAGATGTCGCGAGCGGAGTTGAACATGCGTTCGAACGGCCAGGACTCACAGGTGTTGGTGAGATTTAATTTCCCCTGTAGCGATGGAGGGAGGCAGAGGGAATGGTGGCAGCTCTGGGCGCGTATTCGGAAATTATTCTGAAACCTTTGGTGGGCTCGGCACGCCATGCTCTACGACAGTAATCTGGACTCTGTACGGTGTTCTATCAACTCGATGGCCGGTACCTTTTTTGTAATATTATAAATCTTCCCCTTTCCCCTTCCACGAGTTCCTGCTGGTAGGGAACACTCGTTCGTCTGGGTTTCGTTCATCTTTTCGTCGACTGCTGCCCTTCTTGATCACCTTGCATGTTCCTCTTAGAGCTGACTGTTTCGGCTCTGCGTTGACCGCATAGACCTTACAACTTTCGCTTTAACTTCTTTTTCATCTTCATCTTGCCTGTATACCTTTTTGTTTTCCTTCGTTTTCTCTTTTTCCGGCTTGCCTCCCATCTGCCGCGGGAACGTGCGAACCAGTCGACCCGATTGGCCTGGCCTGCATTTCTGAAGTCCTGGACGATACCACTGTTTCAACAAGCAACGGAAAATCTGCGCCTTGCCGATCTGCTTATCGGGTCCAGATTCCACTGATCCTCTGTTGATTTGCCCATCCTCTTTTTCGTCATTGACTGGTTCGCTGCCTACAGGCCTGCCTACTACCTGCGTCATAGTCATTCCCTGCCAACCTTCCTATTGATATCAGCACAAAGGCAGCGACACATTTGACGGGGGATACCTCTATCCTCAATTCTATCAACGATCATCTCTTGGATCCCTTGTGCCATTCTCTACGGCGGTGGGCCACAGTTTGTCAACCTGGCTCTGATTTCATTTCATCCCTCTTCAACGTCACCACACCCGACCATTGCATTTCCCGCAACCAACCTTGACTCCCTACCACCTTCTCCAACATTCAAAATTGAATACAGGACTCACTTAGCATAGCGTTGTTCAGAATACAAGATCTTCGATCAGAGTCTTGCGCACCACTCTACCACGGCTTCCCACTGTCAGAACTATCCTCAAGCAGGACTAGAATCTCCACCAACCACCTCCAACAAGGATAGCCCACACGGCTAGATAGGTGTCCTGAGGGCCATTTCAATGGCGACACCTGTCCTGCAACTTGCGGCACGAGGCTACGGATCTAACGAAACATACGTCTACGAGTACTCGAGAGGACTGGGGGGTGTCGATGTCCCGCGCGATGTGATCATCACCCGCATCATCTACTCTTCGGTGATTGTTCTCGCCTTCTGTGTGTTCTGTGGCCGGATTGCCCAGATCAGCCATGCATATCTCCGCCACATCACATCATGTACTGCAAACCGTCTGCAGCAGATGTTTTGGCAGCGGGAGACGTCAAAAGTGTGGTCCAACATAAAGAAACACGTTTTGTATTCCCCACTGGGGAAGAAGAGGCATAATCGAGAGATTCAACTCTCCTCGGCGGTTGGAATCGGCACGCTACCCTCCCGATTTCAGACCATCTTGATCACCTTGTACTTTGCAAGTCAAGTTGTGTACTGTCTTTATCTAGACTATGCTGTTAACAAAAAAGCTGCGTTAATCGCAGAGCTGCGCGGGCGCTCAGGGACGCTGGCCATCTTGAACATGGTCCCACTTTTTCTGCTGGCAGCGCGAAATAACCCTTTGATCTCGATTCTGCATGTCAGTTTTGATACCTACAATCTTCTCCACCGGTGGCTGGGCCGCATCATTGTGGTGGAGTCTGTCGTCCACACTGCCGCTTGGGCAGTTAATGCTGTTGACGAGCAAGATATTGGAGATATGCTGTCACGCCTGCGAGACACGCCATTCTTCACTTGGGGATTGGTAGGTACGGTGGCCATGGTTTTCCTCAGCCTGCACTCTCCTTCGCCAATCCGCCATGCATTCTACGAAACATTCCTCCATCTGCATCAACTCGCCGCGTTTCTAGCCTTCCTCGGTGTATGGTTCCACCTCCACCTGGACAGTCTCCCACAGCGCAGCTGGGCCAGCTGTATCGCCGTCATCTGGATCCTCGAGCGCAGCACACGTCTCATCCGCCTCGCATATCTCAACCTCTCCATCAAGCACGGCTCAACTCATATGACCGTCCAAGCCCTACCAGGAGAAGCATGCCAGGTAACCTTCCAACTACCCAAAAGCGTACGCATCTCACCCGGATGCCATGTCTACACCTACATCCCCTGCATCTCATGGTGGATGTCTCACCCATTCTCCATAGCCTGGGCCGAAGCCAGCTGTCCCAATCCGCACTCTCCACGCTACTGCCACTCCAAATCCACCGACTCAGTCCCCAGTCTATCCTCCTTAGAAAAGCAATCCGACGATCTAGACACCTACTTCGAGCCTACCCACCGCCCAACAAAAGTCTCCCTCATCGTCAGCGCCCGCCAAGGCATGACCCGCCGCCTCTATAACCTCGCCCGCAGCAAACCAAACCAAATCCTCCACACACCGGGCTTCATCGAAGGCCCCTACGGCTCCCAACCAGCCAACGCCTCCAGCTATGGCACAGCCGTGTTATTCTCCGCCGGCGCTGGAATAACCCACCACCTCATGTACGCGCGGGACCTCATCGAGAGCGCCGCGAAAGCCTACGCCGCAACCCGCCGCGTCTACCTCATCTGGTCCGTTCGCTCGACAGACCAGCTCGCCTGGGTAAGCCAATGGATGGACCAAATCCTCCGACTCCCCGGTCGACGCGAGATCCTCATCGTGAAGGTATTCCTCTCGAAGCCCCGGCGCGCAGCGGATATCGTTTCCCCCTCTGCGACGGTGCAGATGCATTCTGGTCGGTGTCGTCCCGATGTGGTTCTTGATGGGCTTATGCCGAAAAGTGTGGGGGCGACGCTAGTTTCTGTTTGTGGGCCCGGTGCGTTTGCGGATGAGGTTAGGGCTGCGGCAAGGTGGAGGATTGGGAAAGGTGCTGTGGTGGATTTTGTGGAGGAGGCCTTTACTTGGTAGGCAGAGAATTTTCTTTCTTTGCGTTTAACTCCTTTTGGGGAGTTTACTCGTTTTTAGCATGTCGTTGCGGTGTTTTGGTTGCTTTTAGGTGAGAGGGTCAGTGTGGTTGTCGCGCGACGGAGGGTGAGAATTACCCGCTCTCACCCACCTTCTCGCCCTCTCTATTGCTCACTCACTGGGCACCCAGCTCAAAGGGACCCAAAAAAAGTTCACAGGGACCCAAAAAGTTCTGACTAATTTTGGGTCCCGCTCAGGTGCCCAATCTCACCGGGACCCAAACCTCTAGATTATATAATATTTTTTAATGTAACATTTCTTCCCACGACTTTTATTTACCCCTTTTCGAGGTCGTTACAAGTGTCAACTCCACAAAATGTCGGCGTCTTTACTCTCGCCATCGCTATTCGAGGATTCCGATTCTGATCCTACGCAATCCACTACTAGTGCTGCATCAGACATTAATCGAATTCTTTACAATCTTCCATCTGTAAGTAATCTATTAAATATGTACTTAACTTATGCTAAACTTATCTTTAATACTAGCGACAAAGATCAAATTCAGAGACTTCGGTTTACCAGGATTGTATCAATACATACGAATTGTCTGATATCGATTCTGATGAGAACGATAAGGAAAATACTAGCTCCTTAGATTCTTAAGCTTCCACGCACTTTTGCCAAACAGGCATAGAAGTCGACGGAGTCAAAGTAAGCGGTAGCTCTAGAGATACTGTGATCGCCTACGAAATCCAGGAGCACCTTATTCTTCCAGAGTATCCTGATACAAATAAAGGTAGTATTTTACATATCATCCACGCCTCAAAAAATCCATTACAGAATATAGAGGACACTACCACTCACGTTAACCAAATTACTTCACAACTTATGTCATCGGTATATGTAGTATATTTCCAGTATATGTCTAACATATCCCTTATATATATAAAACTAATTGTATAGGTTCAATTTTCGACTAAGCGCCTCAAATCGGCTAAGAAAATCTTCACGAAACTCCTCCAGAAAGACTCTAAAGACAGAGAATCAAGATCATAGCATAGATCCTTTCAATGTACAGGGATTCAACATTGCTACCAAGCTCATCCTGATATTATTACCCTGTCTGAAAGCTATAACCGTGTGAAACCAACGCTTTTCCGTGAACTTCAGTCTCTTGCTGCAAAGCCTGTGTATCACACTATTGCGCAGGAGATCCAGGAGCGAACTAGAGAGTAAGATTTATCCCTCCCTAGTTTTAACCTATATTAAGCTTATACTAAACATAGGTTTTACTTCGGATTTCTTGCAATATAGGATACAGAAGGACTATATATTTATGGACCTGGTGAGCGGACATATCGAGGTCAAAAGCTAATGGTGTGGCTTCGAGACGGAGTAAGTCTATATCATTATTATATACTAAACATATATTAACTGTGAGTAGTTCACCTTTATTAGGTGTCCGAACGCGCAGGTCGGATCCCAGCGTTGGCACTACTGTTAGCACGTATCAAGAAGTGCTTTAAGGATAGACCCTGCGTTTCTAAAGCTTCTTTGCGATAAGGATAGCTTACGAGATATTAGATATAGAACTAAAGATTGTTACTTTGTGGAGCATCGTTCAGCTAGACGTCGCCACTGTGGTATTTTTTACTCTGGAAATGCTATAGATATACTAAACATATACTAACCCTATTCTAGACTTAATTTATGCAGATAGGGTCGGTCAACTAATTTATAGTGCTTGTTCTGTGAAAATTGACCTTTATATCCCCTGCATATAGGATCGTTTTCCTTTTCTCCTTCTCGTTTGTCGAGGATCTCATTTATATACGCCGCCATCGCCTACAAAGCTACTATATAATATTGGCCAAGAAATTGTTGACGCAATTAACACGTAGGATATCCTAGGATTAACTGCAAGAAAATTGATGGTCTCGCCTACTTTTACGAAGATTATACGTTAACATAGTGATTCTGCGCTTCGATATATCCACAAGAGCTTACATATTGAGGATCGGGTAACTACTTTGATTTATAAGCAGAGACTACTATATTACCCAGAAGGGACAAACCTTGCTGGGGTATAGCGTGAATACTAATTTAATCTTACTAAACACGTAGATAATCAATAGATTCGTGAAGTCTTTTCTTTGACGAGAATCGGGAGCATTACCTTATTATATGCTGCACATACGAACAAGCTAAGCTTTTCCAGAATATACGATATTTAGAAATAGATCTTGCCTTCAAATAGTCTAAGGCACAACTAAGGTTTTCACAATTTCAGGGTGGAATAAACAGGCAAAGAGTAAGATTATATTCGGTGTTTTATATATGCGTACTGTCGGATTTACGAGGTCAGCATAAATCCTTCGGCGTGCACAAGCAAGCGAGTGTGCACGGTTGGTCAAATCAGTATACGATTGGCGAAGAATCGTATAGGTCAGGTCAGGTCGTACGATTCGGCTCAGAATCGGAAGTTAACTTATGATAGAAGAATGCTCCAACTTCATCACAATCATTAAACTTGATTCAACTAGCTATGGAAAACAGGCAATATTTATAACTTCATGAAATCAAGGCAATACGTCAGACTAGAATCTCATAGAAATCAGAAGAAATAGAGTGTTGAAGCTCTTTCGTCATGTGTGCAATCTGTTGATGTCAATCGTTGAAGATCGTCGTCACGTGGACGTTCCGTCGCATTCTGTCAAGTTCGATAGCATGGGCTTATGCACCCACTCATGTCGACACGTACTATATACTAACCCTATTTTAACTAGAGTTGAACACTTATGTCTATGCTTTTATGAATCTCGAAACTCGAGTTGCTTATCGAATTCTTTTTGAGAAAATCTTTAAGATTCTTGGGGATGTGGGACGGAAACTAATTAGATAGGTATATCAGCTTGGAAGGGATGATTCTTGTGAGGGAATTCGGACAGTTACTATTAATATATATAAAAAGCAAGCACCTGGTACGCTTTTTATATGCTTAACATATACTTTATATATACTTAAATTATGCTAACTTCCTTTTTTATTTAGGGTTTGGAGATTACCTTGCTGGCCTAGATCCCCGTTGGATATGGTCAGAACATCTGCAAAACATACTGATCCTATGCCAAACTCACGTGAAGAGAGCTTTTCGAAAAAGGTTTCCTGGTCACGAAGCTACTTCGTCTATTGATATGATCTGGAATGCCAATTTGAAGGCAGAGGTTATTCGAATTATGGATGAAGTTGCAGAAAAGTGGCCAGAGACTGAAAAATGGTTCTAGAACAAGAAGGTTAATTAGATTCTTACTAGAATAACCCTAGAGGTATCTAAGATTCCTATTGAATAGTAGATAAATACACCACACTATACTAGAATTAGTGAAAGCAGTCACTTCTACGATAACGAGGCAGTAGGCCGAAAGCAGGCTTTGTTAACAGCAATTTTACGGTATTCTACCTGATTTCTCATAAGCAGAGTATATCACTAATCTATTTACTATAGATACAAAAAATATGTATAAGAGATAATCTAAAAGAATAAACTTGCAGAAGAGCAAGGTCTTTTCCTAACTTAGCGATCTCGGAACCCTGTGTGTCGCTAAACAAGTTCGTAAAAAGGGTTTGTATATATGATTAATATATATGTAACATATACTAACCTCACATCAGACAAGCGCCACAAAAAATCAGCTAGTCGTCGTATTAATAAGCTATACTAGCCTTGGAACCTAATTAATCCCTACGATACACTTAACCCGACAATGCAACCACCTGAGCTTCCAGATATCTCGGATATAGTTTCTATATCTGCTTCGGAGGTTACTGACGTAAGCTTAATATATGGTTAATCTATATCTGCACTGCTTTCTACCCCTCGAGGTAGTTTAGTTCTTAATAGATTGTCTAGAATAGCGCCGCAGGATAGTATCTCTCAGCAATTAGGTTATACTTAGGGACTCGATGATGAAGAGGCACGGCTACAGTAAGAAGTTGCGGAACTTAGGAGAAAGCAAAGGATTTTGGCCCTTCAAAGGGAAAAGCAAAAGTTACTACGGAGTATAGAGGCAGGTGAACCTTAGCATAAGTTTAGTATATCTTTAATCTACTTCATAGTATTTAATTTATATATATTGTATAAAATAACCAACAGATACTCTATATAGATTGAACTACTCCTAGCTACTAGGAAGACTCGAAAGTATTAGAGGAGGAGTCTGACTCCTAGGCTTGTCCACCTCTATTGCTATCTCCATCATCACCGTCTCCGCTATCACCACTATCTCCACCATCGCTATCTCCGCTATCAGCACCGTGTCCGCTATTGCTATCACCGCTATCTCTATTGCCACCTCCTCCGGTAGCGGCAGCAGCGCTAAAGCCTACGAAGGGGATCGGATTGCCAGGAACGGAAGGACCGCGCTATATACTATTAGCATATACTAAGCATATCTTTTCTATATATATAATATAGACTTACCCGGCGGCTACGATGACCGGAGTGCGGGGTTGCTAGGGCTTGCTAGCGGTAGAAACGAGTGCCGTACTGTACGGCAAACTGTGCATCGGTAGCTCTATACAGATTGTTAGCATGCTTTCGGCATATAATGTGCATATATCCAAAGTGGAGGAACTTGATGGAAAACATAGTGTATCCAGAGTACTTACGCGATGCGCTCCAGTGCGGAGGCCCAGTGTCCAACCATCCCATTATCAGGGCCGCGTCCAGGCTTATGCAGGTAGCTAGCATCCCGCCAGCCACCCTCCAGGACCCAACGCCTGATTGCGTTCTGGCCCGCAATGATCTCCGGCTGAGTCTTGGCTCGGCGGCTGGGGTTGACGACTATATCGTAGTCATGCTGTTAGCATAGGTTCAACATATCCAATAAATAAACACTTACCGGCTCCGGAATACTCATTGCGGATGTGACGCCGCAGAGCAGGTCCCTCCGGGAAGACTAGACCGCACATCTGGGACGGAGGGCTGATAACGATATCACAGCTGTTCCTCGTAGTGTCAGCATAAGATCAGCATATACTTAGTATATCCAGACATCACATACACACCTGTGTTCTCCTTGTTGAGAACAACAGCTGGGTTTGGCGGGGGGTGGCCGCGATATCTGCTGCCTTGATATCGTATCGCAGATTGCCTGCAGCGATCGCTGTGGTGTACGCAGTTGGCTTCCAGCCAGGGTTATTGTTGGGAATGGGTCCTTCATATAGTCAGTATATCAGTAGCATATGTATCTTGGAAACATACCATAGGCGTAACCCAGGAGAGGGTCAGGGTTTGGCGCGTTCAAGATAGTGTTGTTGTCGAATTCAGCCCGGGTTGGACCCAGGCCAGGGAAGATTCCGAGATTTGCCATGTTGATGAACTGGAGATATTTAGCATATACAGAACGTATGCAAAGACGCGTCAGGGAGTAGGATAAACAGATGTTTTACCTTTAGTAAACAAGGTGGGTGGTGAGGGAAGAAGAAGAAGGTGGTGGTGGTGTAGTGTTTGTGTTGAAGATATATCTCTCATTTCTTTGTTGACACTTTTGACTTATGACCGCACAGAAACCATATTTTTCTTTCAAAACATGTAATTTACTATAACAAAGACTGTCTCCTTTATATTACTATGAATAATTAAAAGAAAGAGTCTTTAAGAGTGTTGTATAAAATGTTATATAGAGTTGTATAGAGCTGTACAGAGTTATAGTATATTTTAATGGGGTAGGGTTTAACTTAAAGTTGAACCCCTACATAATTATTAATAAATTACATAAAAGTAGGTATAAAAGCTTATGGGGACCCTAAATATTTTGAGTACCCGTGAGATTAGGCACCTGAGGGGGACCCAAGATTAGTCAGAAATCTTTTGGGTCCCCGTCAACTTTTTTTGGGTCTCCCTGAGCTGGAACCCGGCTCACTCACTCTCACCCTGGTCGGGCGACTAACTCCGTAGGGTGAGCGCGCAATCGACGGGGGTGAGAAGTGGGGGCCTCCCTTTCTATGGGAAAACAAGAAAGGCTCCAGGTCAGCCATTGGAGGTTACCATCGCGCCGATGGTCCTGTTTTCGTCGTTTTAGGTAATAAGGACTGGCGCCGAACTAGCAGCCATTATACGAAGCAAAGTCGGCGTTGTCGGAGGTCTGGACGCTGAGCTATACGGTAGTGACTATGGTCATACAGTCACTGACTATCCGTGCCCTTAGCTAACTAAGCTGTGACCCACCCATGAGCGGGAGCGAATGAGTGCGCCATACGTTCTTCATAACCACGCGTTCTTCATAGACTTTCGAATACACTGCTCAATTAGCTATTTCACCTCCCAGACATGCCTAAATTTGCCGATTTCGATGAGGTTCGCATGGCCAAGGCCTTCGCTGCACCTATAAGCCAGAAAAAGCTCAATATCGCGAAAATTGCGCACGAATTCGACGTAAATTGCGCTACCTTTGCTAGTCGCATCAAAAAGGCTAAATCGCCTGTTAACCCCAAGGAATCGCGGAAATATAGCCTTCGCGTATATCAGGAGAGAGCTTTAATCAAATGGATCGAAGAAATGCGGGGCTGGAACCTTCCTTCTGCCCCAGCGATCATACAATCGTGGGCAAATCGCGCGATCGCCCGATCCGCTCAGCCGGATCGTCAAATTAGCAAAATGTGGGCGTATCGCTTTATAGAACGTCTTCCAGATCACCGGACGCTTGCTCCTGTGAAGCAGAAGACTAAGTAATTGAAACGAATCCAAGCTGAAGATGCTGGCTTGCTTTAGCATTAGTACGACCAGCTTGATCAGCTACTCCATGGCGTACCCTCGCGTCTTGTAAACAACTTCGATGAATGCGGCTTTCAACCTGGTCAAGCGCAATTGAGGAACATAATCGGCTCTCGTAAATCTTGCCCTGATCTAGCTGAAACAGAGGGCGAAACTATCTCTGCGGTTGAATGTGATGGCGATCTATCGCCACTACGCAAGGAAGCAGGAGAGAGGAACAATCTAGTTCGAATACTTTGAGAACTATCTCTGCAGAAGAAGAAAAGAAACAAAGAAGGGGAAGGCCTAAATATGCCGAAGCTGAACAATCAACCTGGCCCTGGAACCATCCTCTAGGAGAATCCCGACTAGGGGATTCCCTCGAGGGAGATCCCTATCGGATCTCCATCAGAATGTATTGCTGATGGCTGGTTACTGGATCCGCTCTTTATCTTCAAAAGTAGCGGATCGAACTTCCAGGAATCCTGGTTCGATGGCAGCGAAGCCCTATCACTGAATACAGGCGCTGCGATATCCCCGAATGGCTGGATTTCTGATGAATTAGCAGTAGCTTGGCTAGGCTATTTCATTACTGCTACTGCTGGCGATCGATTAAAATCTGGCGAAAAACGCTACCTAATCTTCGACGGGCACGGCGCGCATCTTACCCTCTAATTTCTGCAGAAATGCGAAGATAATGCGATTATACCTAGACCTCGCCCAAACCCGCGGGTAGACGGTTGGACTCGACCTGTACCCGTTTCTTGGTGAGTTTTGGGTCGAGGAAAATGGACCCGAAGGTCGGGTACGGGTTGAGTGAACCCACGGGTTACCCACGGGTTGGTAAACAATTCAAACATAAAGAACCTTGTGATATGTATATATTATGCATTTCTGGGCTGTATTTATAGGTATGTGGCTTATAGGCAGTGTATTCTTGCAGAAATAAGGTCGAGGATAAGTATGAATGTCTTCAATTCTAGAACTAAACTAATACACTATGAACTGATCATCATTATGCCGCGGGCGCTTCCTAGATCTTCCTGAGACACGCTGCTGTGTGTCCGGTAGAGGAATACCTTCCTCCTCGTTACTATCTCTATGGCCTTCAGTGTCTGGTTCAGATGCAACACTCTTTCTTCTCTTTCTGGGAGCACCTTTCGAGGGACCTTGCGTTGCTGATTGCGCTTGAACAAGGACTAAATCCTCCTGTGTATCCTCCGTATTACTCTCCTCATCCTCACTAATCCGGTCGACAGTACCCTCTACTTGTTGGGCATCTTTCTCTTCCTGATCCGCTTCTGTCTCCCCTTTAGAGAGATACTCTATCCAAAAAGCAATATCGTCCTCCTTGACTTCAAATTGCGTCGCACGCCTGTACAATATACGCTCCTGAATTGTTGTAGCATTTAGCGAGCCTCGACGATAGTGACAGATATCCCGAGTAGTGTTAAATAGCCGCTCAACGCCGGCGCTAGTTGCAGGAATGGAAAGCACATCGCGTGCGAGCTTTGCAAGCGCAGGGATTGTGATCTGGTTCTCCTAGAACGCCCGTATTGGATGACTAGAAATAGTATGTTTATTAGTACATGTCCGGTGATTGATAGAATAAGGATACTTACCACCATCGAGATATCTTGCAAGCTCGTCCTTCTGGCCAGCTTGGATAGTCTGATGTAGGCTAATTATCCGATCAAGGTCTATGCCTCCACTCTGCGTAGAACATCCTTCACCGTTCCCTTTCTGTTCCTCTGATAGACATTGCTTATATGGTTCAAAGTAGTCCGCAAAGCTTTGTCAATATCTTGTGAGCCACTCAGGGCCCTAATATTTAATCCGGAAGAACTGGAGCTTGTGTTTTGGTGCAAGTAGTGTACTAATAGCAAAGACATCACCAGGAATGTCATCCGTCTCACTGTAGTATCGTCTTCCGCACGACCCCAGAAAATCCCAAACCCACCCCACCCTAACCCCACATGGGATTGGGTTTGGGATATGACTCTTGAAACCCAGATGGGGGATGGGGTTTCTATCTAGGACCCTAGGTGGGATTTGGGGGACCATATTGGGGTTACATACTTTACAAACAAGCCAAGTCCCTAGGAGTGCATAAGTTATGCACTTTTGCCTATAATATAGAAGTATTTCGTTCACAAACTTCAGATTCAAATATCTCGGTTTCTTCGTCGGAAGTCATTATTGAATCAAACGTAACTTCATTCTTCAGTAGCGCTCACTGATTCTTCGATTTCTCCCTGAAACCCGGAGCTAGGTGCTATTCGCTAGTAGTGGCACCTCAGCGTTTTCATGATCGTCTACATATATAAGATTACCAGACTCATCATCCTGCTCCTCAGTATCACTGATTGGCTCGACCTCTATCTCCTCAGGCTTCTCATCCTTCTTTTCCTTCGCTGCTTCAAGCTCATCTAGAGAGAAGAACTTTTAAGCTCCTTTACTTGCTGCTCCTCGATATTAAACCTTAATGTACTGACAGCGCCCACGGCACTGCTGACACAGGAAGCGAAGAGAGAAGAGAGAGTCTGAGTCAATTGGTCTATCTAGGAACATGAAGACGAAGACGACTAAGAGAAGAAGAAGCAGAAGGGAACAGAACATGGTCTATAAGGCCTTGAAGCACAAAGGAAAGGAACAAGGTCTGGTCCTGACAGGAAAACCCCGGCCTGCTTCATGCAGGGCCAAAGAAGACGACAAACCCTGCAAACCCTATCGAGGTTAAAGGGATCGAGTCATCACTATTTAAACAGCTCAACCAATAGAATTGTACCCCGCTAAGCAGCGTTGTGCTACTCACGTCATTAGTTGCATCATTCAACTTCTTTTGTTTAAAATGGTCCCTGATCAATCGAGTACGGCCGGCGACCGCGTTGATCTGGTGGAACGCCCGCCAAATACACGACGCTCTTCTGCTTGGGCGACATGGTCTGGTACGACGTCCATTGGGCAGAATTGACAATGGTGTCGTTGTATTGGTTATGAGAATCACTTGAGGCGAAATTCGAGGCACAGTTGGCTATGGTATTGTTGCCTGTCGTGTAAGTTGGTTGCTCATTTCGATGGAGCCACTCCGAAGATGTATCCAGAACCGAGTTGTTTACATAGTAGAAGCTGGAGCCTTCGTCAAGGTAATACCCTATTTATAGAGTTAGATATATGGATCCATTCCTCGGGAGGTTCATATTTACCGAATCCTTGGGTGGACTTGATGTAGTTATCGTCGAGGGTCGTATTCGGACTTGCCGACAACGTATATATACCCCCATCGTCTGAATGACGCGTCCCGACGTTGTATATGAGGTTTGCACTGATTCTCCCACCCTGCATCGTGGTCGGCGTATTGTAGACGGGTTGGTAGTTGTAGAGGCCGCGCAGCTGGTACTCCGGACTGCCCCCCGCATCGTTAGAACCCCATCCATAACCGTAGCAGATGCCGCTATATGGAACGTTGACTACATCATTGTGCACAATGTATGTGTCTTTGGCATAGCTGGCAAAGATGGGAACAGCCGAGTCAATTGTGTATGCCAGGTCTGTAAAGATATTCTCAAGAACTCTTGTGTTCTGGTTGAGCATCCGCGGGTCTGATGGGTGGTGTGCGTTTGCTTGAATACCTCCGATGGTAATCGCATTGGCACCCGTCTGGTGGAGAAGCATGCCACTAATCTCGACATCGGATGCCCCGAGGCCGACGCCAGTTGAATGTGCATTGGGATCATTTCCTATCCCAAATCCACCCATCAAGGCAACGATGCTGCCGTTTTGAAACAAGATATTCCGAGCCGCGCTCACTTGGATTGAACCAGGCACTTGCCACCAGAACGGCCGAGATGAATCAAAATTAGTGTAGGTCTTGTTTATACCAATATAACCACCTGTCTGTTGGTCGACGTAGCCTACATCTGTGGACATGTAGTCTACCTCCGTCAGCTTGGCGTTTATATGGAAGGGAATTTGTGGACTTACTCCAGGTAGTATGCATGTAGTTGAAGCCTCTGAAGGTGAGATCATGGACAGGTTGGTCATATGTGCCACCTACCAAGAGTAGAGTCTCCAACTTGGCCAGAACGAGATACATGTCATTAGGGTCGAGGCCGGATGGTGGCATATAGTACATGGTATGACTCGCTGGATCCAAGTACCATTCGTTTGGATCCGTAAGGAGAGATAATGCGTTCTCCACATACAGACCATGGTCGACATATGGGTTATTAAAAGTGTCATACCCAATGAGGTTATTATTCCAAGCCGGTTGCGCCATGACAATGGTGTTATTTGATGCCCCTGTCACAGGGTTGTAGCGAGACGTAAAGGAGTTATGAGCATGGAATTCGGCATGTTCCAATCCGGACATGGTCAATATGTACTTGGCCGAGTCATTCACGACTTGTAAACCAGTGGCAGTCTCCTTGACCCATGAGCGTTGTACCTGTGCCCGAGCTCGCTGCGCGTGAGCTTGGTCGGCGTAGAAGTGGCGCGTGGTAAAGGCTGGAGCTTGAGCTTCATAGATGCCTTTACGGACACTGGAGGCCTTCCAATTGGTGATTGGAACCCTGCGGCCAGGTATTAGTGGCGCTCAAACACTATTCTTATAACATTTTGCGAGGATAGTTCCTTACCCCCGGAAATATTCGCCCCTTTGGTCATATCTTGTGCCTGCCAGATAACGCGATGGCCATTCTGGCCCGAGTCCTTGCTAGTGAACTTCAACGGCTCATTGAGATAGTAGGTACCTGGGCCCACGTAAACGTAAAGATCAGAATTCATGCCCTTTGTTGACCTCCGGGCAGCTGCCTGAGCCCTTTCAAAGGTACGAAAGGGGGCCGTGGCCGAGCCAGATCCAGAGTCGTTGCCATTCACGGCTACGTAATAATGGCCCCACACTGGTACGAGCAGCAAGGCCTGAAGGAGTAATGTAGTTGAAAACATGACTTGTCTAGGTCCCTTGTCTAGAAAGCTGTGTACCCCAAATACTGCAAGCGCTCGATTGGGGTGGAGCGAGATGTTTATTTAAGGTCTTTCCCAAGTGCTTTTTGCCTGGCATATCTAAAGGAATCTCACCTTAATTTCCCGAACTTATTTGCCTAAAAGGCATATATTCGGTTGTTAGGCATCTCTAGCCATTTATGTAAACCCTGTTTCACCTTGCTGCCGCTCAGGTTTGGGTAGTAGGGGATTGCCACGGCGATCGCAGCATGATATCTTGGATGGTGATGTTCCGCGAATGGTACGATGTACACCATGACACGCACTTTCAGAAGCGCTCAACTATTGTCTGTAAGTCGCACAGAATAATCATATACTACGTATTTACGTAGTTCTCTTGTATCAATGAATGGATAACCTGGCAATTCAATTAGTTACGGTACAATTCGCAGTGAAGCTATACCAGATACCCGCATGATCAAGTGCACACATATAATGACAAATCTTGTACCGAGAGAGAGATGATAACAAAGGGATCATCCATGACCTGAACTCACCCGCCTCCCATTTGACTAATTCCAGTACGAGGAGTTCCAATGTTGACAAGCTACGTAATGGACCCCAGCCAGCACGACTATGGCAACACGAGCGAATTCTACTGTAGCACATAATAGGCAATCAAAAACTTAGTATTATTCGCCAACGTATAATTAGCTCTATCAATGAGCGCCTGAATGCGGCCGAATGTCGCTCCTGTGGGCGCGCTACTGTCCCACCGAGATGAAGATACACCGCAATGAACATCTGGAACCAGAGAATGCTCAGGAAATTCGGGTAAATCCCGTTCGCGAAGAAGCGGGGAGAGCTGCAATTTCCTGATCGAATTGCTTCGTTCATCTCCCGCAATTATCCCCGCCCCCGCGATCCCGCGTGGTCTGACCGGGAACTGGCCCCATGGGGGACAACCGCCCCTGTGGCCTAGCAGAGCCACGCGTCGGGATTCACGAGCGCCGGTTGGCCAGAAATCCTTCAGTTCCGAGATGTCTCAAACCAAACGGAACTTAATCTCGACCCCTGTCGCAATTTCTAAGCGCAACCCTCTGGACTCAGGGCCTAACTTGAGTCTTTGTCCGTTCTGACGGTGAGCCTGGCCCTCCTCCCCATCGGAAAATTGGGGTAGGATCCAAGGAACATTGCTGCAGAAGGACTCTCCCACCGTACACCGTACCGGCGCGAGGACGAGACTCTGGAGTAGTAGCCAGTTCGTAACTTGTAGCTTGCGTTCAAACTCTAGGGACCAATCAGCGACCGTCCATTCCGTGCTCAAATCTAATAGCTTTAACCCCTCGACCGTCTGGAAGGCACTGCTGACGGTACGGAAAGATACCAGAGGTAGAATAAGCCGAGAGTCCCTGTCGCGTTGCTACGCGCACACGGCCATTTAAGAGTTTGCCAATCCCAACGTCTTTCTTTCCGAGTGGAAGGCCAACACAGACTGCACAGTTAGTGCATTTGCTTGATCTCTTGGCTAGCAGACCATCTATCACTCTGACACTTCACGGCAGCGGGCGACACGTGCGACACACTCTGAACTCTTCACCCGCGAATCATGGAGACGGAAAAGAGCCCAGTTCCCAACGTCATTGTCGACGAGTTGGCCCAACAGGCAAAGCTCGCTAATGACGTGGAGCACCAGTCGACGGTCTGGCAAGCCATCAAGGGAAACTTCTGGGCCATCTTTTGGTCGCTGATGGTCTCCATGTGCGTAGTCATGGAGGGATACGACACAATCCTTCTAGGCAACTTCTACGCCTACCCCCAATTCGCGAAAAAGTTCGGCACCTTCATCCCTAGTGATAATAGCTACCAGCTCACTGCCGCATGGCAAGCGGGGCTCTCAAACGGGTCCGGCGTAGGTGCCTTTTTTGGCGCGATCATGAACGGTGCTCTCGTCGACAGGTTCGGCCAGAAGCCAGTGCTGCTGTCGTCTCTCGTCTCCCTCAGCGGTTTTCTCTTCATCGTCTTCTTCGCAACAAACAAGCCCACCCTCCTAGTGGGAGAAATTCTCTGCGGCTTCCCATGGGGCGTGTTCGCTACCACAGGCCCCGCGTATGCCTCGGAAGTCTTGCCTATGGCCCTCCGACCCTATCTCACTAGCTGGACGAACATGTGTTTTATTATCGGGCAACTCATAGCCGCCGGCGTGCTAGCTGGCCTTGTCGGTGTTGACAGTGAATGGTCATACAGAGTGCCGTTTGCATTGCAATGGGTTTGGCCAGCATTTTTGATCCCGATTCTCTTCTTCGCGCCTGAATCCCCGTGGCATCTCGTGCGCAAGGGTCGGCTGGACGACGCTCGGAAGTCATTGGAACGCCTGCAGAACCCCCGTGCGACGGTGAGCGTGGACGCCACGCTCGCGCTGATGGTGCTCACCAACAAGGACGAGCAGGAGGAACTCCAGGTTGAGACCTCGTACTGGCAGTTGTTCCGGGGGGTTGACCGTCGTCGGACGGAAATTGCTTGCATCAGCTTTGCCGGCCAGATTACGTCCGGACTTGTCTTCGCCTACAACTCCGTCTACTTCTTCCAGCAGGTAGGCTTGTCCACAAAACAGACCTATGACCTTAATGTTGGGGGCAACGCACTCGCGCTCTTGGGCACGATTGTTAGTTGGGTGGCTGTGATGCCGTACCTTGGCCGCCGGACTATCTACCTCTGGGGTATGTTGACCATGTCGATCATCCTGTACATTATTGGTATCCTCAATGTGTGGACGACGCATAGCTCTGTCGGTTTGGCTCAGGCTGTGCTCACTTTGATCTGGACCTTTGTTTTCCAACTTTCTGTCGGCCAGCTAGGCTGGTCCCTCCCCGCCGAGGTTGGCTCAACGCGCTTGCGCCAGAAGACAGTCGTAGTCGCGCGAGATACCTACTACATCACGAGCGTCATATCCTCTGTTCTCAACCCGTACTTACTCAACCCTACTGCGTGGAACGTCAAGGGTTATACGGGATTCGTATATGGGACTACTTCCCTCCTAACCTTTATTTGGGCGTTTTTCCGCCTCCCTGAGACGCGAAACCGGACCTTCGAGGAGTTGAACCAGCTCTTCTCCAAGAAAATCCCTGCTCGGCATTTCCAGGAGTACGAAGTCAATGTGTTTGAGACTGAGTCTAGCGACAAGCAAACCGTGCTTCACATAGGATAAAGCTGTCCGACGAGCGTTTCTGTTAGGGTGGAGGAGGATCGATCATATAAAGCTGCTGCTGCAGTCACCAGCCTTGTGCTGGCGGTGACGTTGGGTTCCGCAGACCGATCATTGGAAAAGCAGCTGCGGGACATTTGAGATTATGAAGAACTACTGGTGGAGATATTGATCTCATAGGACCGATAATTTCCTGCTCTTTTCTCACATCACATATCGTATACTTAGCTTCACTGAATTAATGTTGTCGTTGTACAGTGCTTGATTCATGACTTTTATAGAATTATTACCTGCTGTAAGGTTTTGCACAGCAACACATACTGTTCTCCACAGTGAAGACAAGGCATTTTATCCCATGAGCCAGCCCTGTCACGATGAAAGATGTTGATCTCCCTAACATGCAATGTCAACAGTTGTACAGTAACGGGGGCATATCTAGGGATTAGTATAGCGTGGGGAGGTGGTCATGTTACAACCCACAGACAGCCGCTCTCCTAAGTGCTGAGCTCTCACTATTCCACCGGTGAGACTTGAGAATGACCCGGGCTGTGCTGGAGACTCCTCCTGCAGTCGTGAATGTGACAAATTAAACCATTCGAAGCCTGCCTCCAGAGCCACAGGGCTCGAATTGGCATAGGTGGTTGTCGATGGACGCAGGAGAGCCAATCGGAATTGTTAAAAGCCGATTTAACCGTACCCAGAGCGGGTAAATAATCAGGGCCTTCGACATTGATGCTACTTTCTTGACCGGGCCTCGGATATTTGGAGGGTTTTATAAGACTTCTCCTTCCTACACTCTTCACGATAAGATCCACTCCAAGCGCTGAATTTCCCCCCTGCAAAGTCTCAAGTGTTGCTGGCGGTACGCTCCTTCAACTTCACGCGCATAGCGAACGGCGCTTAGATATTCATCATGCACGATGAAGCTCTTCATTCGGGAGCGCCGGGCACCAGTGGTGAGAAAGATCTGACCAACTACCTCCCGAGAACACAGCGCATAAACCTGCCTCAGTTCGGAGAAAGTTCTAATGATGTGTTTTGCCTCTATAGCTCTTCTTGTCGACGGGAAAACATTCACGATTAATGGAAATACTGTCTCCTACCAGTTCCACGTAGATGGTGACACTGGAGATCTGCGAACAGATCATTTCGGAGGTCCTATTACTGGGCCGATCCCAGCGGACCCAAAGCCTCTTATCAACGGCGTCCCAACAGAGCTGCCAGATCGTGTTCGTCGCGAGCTCCCTGACCAAGGGAGGGGGACTTCCGAATTCCCGCGATTCGGATTCGACAGCCAGAAGGCTATACGGTGTCGGAGTTGAAGTATCAAGCCCACACTATAGTGAGAGGCAAACCGGGCCTCCCTGGCCTACCTGCGACATTTGGTGGCGAGGAGGATGTGACAACGATTATCATACATCTATACGATGATAAAAGCCAGGTAGCAGCCGATCTAACCTACTCTATTTTTCCCAAATATGATGCCGTTGTGCGAAGCGTCAGTGTTATGAACCAGGGCACAGGAAATATTACAGTTGAGGTGTTGGCCAGTTTGAGCGTGGACTTTGCGGTCCAGGACCTCGATATGATTACTCTCTCCGGAGACCACATGAGAGAAGCACACCGGGAAAGGAGGAAGGTTGAAAGAGGGCTGCACGGGTAAGTGATCGACCTTCAACAAGGATGAGGAGCCAACGTATACTGATGCTCTTTCAACATCCACAGCTTCCAAAACAGTACTGGTTTCTCATCTCACCTTTACAATCCATTCCTTGCGATAGCCCATCCATCTACCACCGAATCGCAGGGTTCTGCTTGGGGTTTCTCTCTAGTCTACACTGGGTCGAGTGCTGTAAATGTGGAAAAGAGCTCCCAGGGCCTAACGCGCGTAATACTTGGTTTGAACCCAGCACAGCTATCATGGCCATTAGCCTCTGGGGAGAGTCTGTCCTCTCCAGAATGTGTTTCTGTTTACTCTAACCAAGGCCTTGGAGGCATGTCTCGTGCTCTTCATGGTCTATACCGCAACCATCTGATGAGGAGCAAGTTTGTCAGGCAGAATCGACCTGTCCTGCTCAATAGTTGGGAAGGTCTCTACTTTGATATCAATCACAGCAATCTCTATGAGATAGCTAAAGAGTCCGCAGCATTGGGAGTAAAGTTGTTTGTCATGGATGACGGGTGGTTTGGAAAGGACTACCCGCGTATTTCAGACGAAGCTGGCCTAGGAGATTGGGTGCCTAATCCGCACCGACTTCCTCATGGCCTCGATTCCTTGGTAAATGATATCACCGCTCTGAAAGGAACAAACTCAGCGAATCTATGGTTTGGTATCTGGGTTGAACCCGAGATGGTGAATCCAAAATCAAACCTCTACTGTGCACACCCAGACTGGGTCCTCTCCGCAGGGACCTACCCACGCACCGAGCTACGGAACCAGCTTATCTTAAATCTCGGCCTGCCAGAGGTTCAAGATTATATTATCGCATGCCTTTCAAATATCCTGACCAGCGCGAATATCTCCTACGTGAAATGGGACCATAACAGGTCAATGACAGAGATACAAACCCCCAGTGCTGCTCATGCGTATATTCTCGGGTTATACCGAGTCCTTGATACGATAACAACTCGTTTCCCCGACGTCCTTTTCGAGGGATGTGCTGCTGGTGGCGGCCGCTTTGATCCTGGAATTCTACAGTTCTTCCCGCAAATCTGGACCTCAGACAATACAGATGCTGTTGACCGCATCTCCATTCAGCTTGGAATGTCTCTGGCATATCCTGCTAGCTCTATGGGCGCCCATATTTCAGCGGTACCCAATCACCAGAACAATCGCACTACGCCCCTAGAATTCCGCGCACATGTTGCCATGATGGGGGGATCATTTGGCCTTGAACTTGACCCGAAGAAATTACTGCCAGAAGAAAAAGCTTCTCTCCCTGGGCTTATTGCCCTAGCGGAGAGGATAAGCCCTGTCGTGGTCAACGGGGATATGTGGCGACTTTCACTACCCCACGAGTCAAACTGGCCGGCAGTGCAATTTATTTCGGAGGATGCGTCTCAGGCGGTACTTTTTTACTTCCAACTCCAACAACATGTGAACGAAATCACTCCGAGGGTAAAACTACAGGGATTGGCATCAAATCGCATGTACCAGATCGAGGGCGGAGGGCGATACTCGGGCATGGTGTTAATGAATCATGGTCTGAATTATTATTTCGGATCTGATTATGGTAGTAAAGTGGTGATTTTGACAAAGGAGCCATTATGATTGATATCTTTTGGTGGCGGAATTTCGTTGCAATCTCTGATTTCTTTCTTTACTTACCCTCGCCTTTTCTTTGCTGGATTTTGGTTTGCTACATTGTACAATCATTTTGTTTTTTTCTTAAAATCCTCAATAGATGTGAGATGTCCGTCAAACCTGGGTGCATATGTGAAAATGATTGTTTCATAGCTCCTTGAATTACTTATCTGTTGCTTCATCTTGAAAGGATATATACACTTCTAGCCAGTAAACCTTTGCAATATTCTGATTGTTTCGGGATAGATGGTTTTGTTTCGTCCGGAGAGACGAGATTTTGCATTTAGGTCAAAGTCCGATAATTCCAACGGGGTTTGAAGGCCTGCGAAAGGTAATAGCGGAAGTATTCCCCCCCTTTTTTAGTTCGTCAGAAAGATAAAACATGGTACACCACCCATAGGATGAGCCAGAAATCTAAGACTTTTTCGACCAATAAATGGCAATGAATCCCGATGGTGTGGTGCTGTAGGCTTAGAACAGGTGGATACTGCGGGAGGAAAGCTTCACGAACGAGGAACATATCCAAAATTTGCGCTCGGGGGTCTGCAAAATCGAGTATAGGACGTTGGCCCTTAACCCCCGAGACAGTAGTTGGTGGTCATGTGTCGTTCGAATGCCATATTTTCCAACCTGAATCTACTACGGTCGGACACGCACTCAAGACAAAAAGGGCCTTCTGGCCCACTGCAAGTACGCCTCAGTTCTCGATGGCGCTCGTCCTACCTAGGTCTTCCTTTAAACACACATCCACCAGGTGACGTATGCCTGACGGCTTTCTCCCAGCAAATTTTCACATTCAGAATCCAAATCTGCCCGGGCTTTGCGCCCAGAAGCGTCCCCGACCGCCCCAACCACCTAACTAATCACGCCTAGAACGGCTATTGGTTATGATATTATACACGCATTATTAGAGCAAGCTACATTGGTCAAATATCTTCACCACCATATTATACACGCATAACAAGCTAAACACTGAAATGCCCCCTGGATATAGACAAGAAAACTGGAAAAACAGGATAGAGACATGATGACTCGATCCCTTTGACCTCGAGGGCTTGCAGGGTTTGTCGTCTTCTTTGGCCCTGCATGAAGCAGGCCGGTGATTTCCTGCCAGGTCTAGGCCTGTTCCTTTCCTTTGTGCTTCAGGGCCTTATAGACCCTGTTCTGTTCCCTTCTGCTTCTTCTTCTCTTAGTCGTCTTCGTCTTCATGTTCTAGATAGACCAATTGACTCAGTCTCCCTCCCTCCCTCTCTCTCTCTCTTCGCTTCCTGTGCCAGCAGTGCCGTGGGCGCTGTCACTTACATAAGACTCGGCTCCAGAGGACTGTATCAAGATTGGAGCTCATTTTCATAATCTCACTTGAAGGTTGACGGCGAAGAATCGAGAGGACAGGGTGATTCTGTTTCCTTAAGTAAGCTTTGGTGGCGGGAAAAAGTCGCGGTTCTCCATGTGGCTGTTCGAAATAGCTTTCTTAGAGGTGGGACTGTTGCGTGAGAGCCCCGTGCTCGGCCCACGATATTCCGTGCTGGACAGCTGACGGAAGCAGCAGTGGATCCCGGAGAGCGGAGATAGTATTAACTTAGACCCCATATATTTCATTATTATGCCCACATAAATTGCCAGATAGGGGCTTTATAGCAATACAGACTTGTCGATATCCAATTGGTGCGCACCATGATTTACTAAGCAGTATTTCCGTCTACAGCGCACACACAGATCGCCTGGCCTTCCATTCCCTCTAAAAGAACATCGCCGTTTCGAGGGAGAGCCAGGCTCTCTCCGCGACAGTCTCTTTCAAGAATTCCTTTGCAATGGTACGTCATAGTTCACGAGGCCCCCAGTCCTACTCCTGGGGGACAGACTGTCTTGGGCTTCTCGATCTATCCACCGGAATATATATGGAATTCCCTCACTGATACCCAACGGGACGCATTCATGTCCATGGTGTCCGCGTCGCTTGTCACGGGCGACGGACAGCGCAAACGCCCACATATACAGTAGATCTCACCACGGAGGAGGATGCCGACGACGGTAGGGTCCGGTCTCTTGTTTTGCCTGTCCTCCCCCGCTTCCCTGGCCTCGACCGTGCTGCCATTATAGCCGTTTTCGAGCACACCTTCCGCCCAAAGAAGGACCTCATAAAACTGCGGAGCCCCGAGTTTAAAGACTCGGCACTAGATGGCAAATCTTTGACTTAAGATCTACTTCATCTGGCCTGCAGTTCCGCAAGGTGATCTCAATCAAGGATTGGGGGAACGACGCATCCCTCTGGGCCCATTGCTTCAGCAGTTACGTCGCCATCTGGTGTGAATTCTTCGCTGCCAAGCACCCGTTATGCATCATTGGAATGGTTCTCTTCCACCGCCGTATTTGTGACCTTGCCAAGGCCTATAAATGGCAGGATTGTATCCTACAAATGGGCCTGGACCACCATCAGATAGTCGTCGATAAAGGCTACCTCACCGTTTCTCTTAGTGACTGGGAAATTGGGAACGCCCCCGAAAGCTCCTACCTACGCCCGGACAACGTGCTCCCAGCGAAGACGGCGCTGACTACCCCAACCACTCGGTCAACGCGCTCCACCGCTGCCCCAAATGACGATACTGTCCATTGTGAAAAGTTAAACTCTTCTGCCGGCTGCCACTGGCGGACATGTCACCGCAGACACGTCTGCTCTAAGTGCGGCAACGACCATTCCATGATAAGCTGCAGAGTGAAACCAGCGAGTTAGGACTATGCCAGGCTTAGCCTTGATATAGTTCAATCGCTATCACCGCCAACTACCTGGCCAGCCCCGCGTCCTAATACTTCCATTCAGTTTATGGTCTTCGACTCTTCGCTTCCGCCTCTGCGTGATTCCGCTTACCCCTTCATCACCTCGGCGTGGAAAGCTCTCCTAGAACGCTATCCTGGCGATCTTGGGACTATTTGCAGCAGCATCCTTACATTCGGCTGCCGCCTCGGTTGTACGACCCGGCCGACAGACCGTCGAACTCCCAATCACTGCATTGAGGAACCCTCTCTCATTACCCAGAAGCTCCCTGATGACCTATTTAGTCGTCAGGTGCAACTATCGACCGTTCCCGTTGTTGTTTCTCCGCTAGGGCTAGTGCCTAAACACGACGGGGGCTGGCGCCGGATCCATGATCTTTCCTACCATCCGGGTCGCAGTGTCAACGAGTCCATCCCCGACTCCGCCTCTGCTATACAATATATCTCCATAGATAACATCTTCGACCTTATACGCACGTCTCCACGACGATGCTACATCATCAAACGCGACATCAAGGATGCCTTCCGCAATATTCCCGTCGCCCCCGCTGACCGGCCCCTCCTAGCCTTCAGGTGGGATAACAAGACATACATGGAGTGCCGCCTTCCATTTGGTCTTACAACTGCACCCTTCATCTTCAACCTGTTTGCTGAGGGCCTCAACAGGCTCTTAACTGCCTACTTGCCTTTGGCCTCTATCGTTCATTACCTTGATGATTTCATCGCTATTTTCCCTTCTTCCGTAGGAGGTCTCTGCAAAGCCCTTGCCGCTTTCAATTCCGTATATATTCCTCTTACGGATGCGTTAGGCATCCCACGGAATGACTCGAAAGACACCGCGGGTACCTTTCAGTGTCCTTGGGGTCGAAATCGACATGACACTTTTGCAGGCCCGCATGCCCCGCGATAAGCTAGCACGCGCATCTTCCGAAGCCGCATCGCTTCTACAGCTAGATCGTGTCTCGCATAAAGCTTTGCAACGTGTAGTAGGTTTCCTCCAACACTGCTCAATGGTTATCCGTCTCGAAGAGCCCGCCTTCAGTCGCTCTACAACGACCTCGCATCCGTCCCGCCTCACCAGCGCTCCCTTCGCCGCCTATCCCATGATAGCCGCAGGGATCTTGCCTGGTGGAGGGACACTCTCTCGTTATTTAACGGCATCCATTTTTTTTGAGAAGAGCCGCCCCCTAGTTGCCCTCTACACAGACGCGTGCGACTCAGGTCTGGGCCTCTTCATCTTCTATGCGCCCTCATGGGACTCCGCCAGGGACTAGATGTCTGCAGCGCCTCACCTGCCTTCCACCAATGCGGCTATTGTGGACGCCTCCGCCTGCGGCGACGTGGCCCACCTTAACATCAAGGAGGTCTCCGCAATCCTGCAGGCCTTCCTCCTCCACAGCCCCTATTGGGCTCATCATCGTGTCCTCGCTTCACAGACAGCGCCGTCGCATTTCATGGCCTGTCCAAGCAGGCACTCCGGGGGCCGGCTCATCGCCAACTGCCAATGCTTTTCAGCATAGCAGCCGCCCTTGACATCGAAGTCCAGCCACACTGGCTACCTTCATCGCAGAAACTGCTAGCTGATGCACTATCCCGTTCCGATTATGGAAACATTGCTGACGTTTGCCCACAGTGGACGAGCTGCTTTCCCTTGCTCCGCTAGCCTGGTTCTCTCGACAGCCTATTTTCGTGAACGCTGGCCATGCAAAGGTGGTTTGGAATGACCTCGCAGAGGGCACCAGAAGAGGATATCGCTCTGCATAACACTCGTATGCCCGTACCTGCGCTCTTATGGGAGTGCAGCCACAGCCTCCGCGATATGCACTTGGCTAACGGAACACCTGCTGGGCGCGGGTAGCTTCCCACCTGTGAAGCCCGATTCAGCTATGTCTGAGCTGTCGGCTCTCCGGGCGTATCATATCGACAACGGTCTGCCTGATACAATTTTTGACCTCCACGCAAAGCATTTTCGTCGCATGGTCGATCGCGCTCGCCGGCTACAACCACCCCACCGAAAGCGGGTTCGCAACCCACAATTTCACGCGCCTCAGTTATAACCCTTTCGAGGAATATCTCACACCCCCCTGCCCAATCGCTAAGGCTCTCAGAGGCCCAGAAAAATGACCTTAAAATTTTGCCGCGGCCGCCCGTGTCGCCTTCGCCGGGTTCCTTCCGGTCGGGGAATTTACATACTTATCTGCCGACCTTAGAAACACTCAAGTCTTCGCTGCTGCCAAGTTAACCCGTGGGGATATCAGGTTCTCCCCCACCATGGACCACGTCCTCCTCACGTTAGAAGCAAGACCAACCGAAACCACGAAGGTGTCAATAGTGTCCTTGTAGCGACAAACGATGCTGCCTGCCCCATCGAAGGCCTCTCTAAGTTTTTCATTACTTCAGAACAAGATTGAGCAGGTTCAATGGCATAGAAAGTTTAGTTGATGCACGCTCCAACAGCTGCTTCAGTCGACTCAGGTTGGAGCGTGGCGGAGATTGGTCGTGGAAGGTCAGGGAATTCGACCAGGTCACGGTTATTTTGCGTCGCTAACCTTGATCAAAGGCGATAGCAGAACACTACTACGTTTGAAAATGGGAAACCCCCTTTCTTTGGGATCAAAAACTGAAATGCAGATGATTTTGCGGTGACTGTTTAACTAGCAGCTTTCACTAGATTTTGCAAGGTCCGTTTAAAACACCTCACTTGTGATTGAAAATTCAAGTGCGGTTTCACCGGCAGCCGTTCTCTTCCATTGACCTTTGCGTTGAAGCTCCAATGGTCGTTTGTATCAAGATGAGCAATGCAACCGAGGGCAGGAAATAAGACGGTGGTCAATTAACGATCAATTAACTAAGCATCAGCCGTCGCAGAAGATCTTGGTCTTCAACCGCTACGCGCTGGATCTCTGAAATTGGATTCAAGCAACTCATCAATATGATGGTTGAATAGGCAAAACCTCCGGCACCCCTGGCACTCCCAGAATATCAAGATCCTCTAGCACGAGATTCAGTCACGGTTAGTGTCCGCAGGGCGTTTTGCCACAGCGAGCACTTCCAAATAGGAGGCCACTGCGGTAGTTGTATCTCTACAGTGACCCACTTCACCAGGCAATGAACACAATGAGCCAATGGAATCCCCCCACTGGAAGCTGGGACTAAATCGCTGAATCCACCTCTGCAGCGGTTGTGCCTTCCGCGTAACACTATTGGCTGGCCCCACTTCTTTTCTAATGCCGAGTTAGGCTTAGGATGACCGTTATAGGAGGTCTTCGACTCGAAGAACAATCTCTCATCACGTACCTCTTCTTGTCTGCCTTCTGTTCTCTGGTCGGTCTCACAGGACTATTTTCCTCTCAAGAGGATTCTCTCAAAAAAATTTCTCCTCTCGAAAAAAGGGTTTTGTTTCGAAGTTTCCAAGAAAGGATATTTATTTTCCGAGACGATCTACCCGAAAAAAATTTTTGTTCACATCTTCATAGTACCCTACTGAAAAGAAACTCTACGCAGTCTCAAGATAGGCATAAGAGTTGCTTCTCAATTGCCAACTCTCCCGGGAGTTTTCTCTCGGGGCGGCATGGCCCATATCTGCAGTAGCCTCTTGTTTGGGGCTACACATGTCCATATCTAATCTAAATGGGTGCTCATGATCGCTTACGCTTCACAAAAGGTTACTCAATGCTGGCAGCGGACAACTCCATGATGATTGGCAGAACGGTTTGGAGCCCTCGTAGATTGAGGAAGAGCGTCTTCCGTCTTGTGTGGCTCACCGTTCATAGTAGACGTATATAGAACGGTACAAGGCCAGTCATGTAATAGATCTGTGGAATCTACCGGAAAACCGAACAATGGGCTGTCAAGCACGGTTCCCAGTTTGCGCAGGCAAAGTACGAAATAGTCCATTTCACGGGAGACCCCAAAAAGAATTGCACACATGATCTGCGTCTACCACACGCTACTATTAAGGCCTCCGCGTCATGCCGCTATCTGGGGATCCAAGTGGACACCAAGCTTCGTTGGGACTACCACCGCGAGAAGGTAAAAACGGGAGCGACGAAGCGACTCTCGGCTGTATCAGCACTGGCCTCGTCAACATGGGGCACGCGGGCCATCAATCCCCGGCATGTATACCGCGCAATGATCGTACCCCAGATGCTTTATGGATGCTGGCGTGGCACATCTTTGGAAAGAGCTACGCAACAAGAGGAGGCGCAATGATAAGGACTATCCAGAGGATCCAGAGACGGGCAGCTCAGATCATTCCAGGAGGCTTCCGGACAACGGCCGGTGCAGCAGTGGACGTCGGATTTCATCTACCCCCGGTACAACTGCAACTCGAGCAAAACGCGGTGGAAGCCACAATGGGCATTAGAACAACACCACTATACGACGATATGGCCTCAACCGAGGCTGGCAGGGACGAGCCTGGAAGGCCCCTCCAAAGACGCAGCGAACAGAGCGCCTTCGACCGTCTCTCGAGGATATTAGAGACTAAGCACGGCGTGCGGCTCGAACTACTGGAGAAACGTATACCGCATGTAGTACCACCATGGTGGACCCCACCATTTACCCACATCAACGAATCCGCCGAGGAAGCAGTCAAAGGACACGACACCAGAAATACTACGCATCTACACCGATGGGAGTTGCATCAACGGCCACGTCGGAGCGGCTGCTGTAATACCCGCACCGCAGGTTAACGGACTCTATACGAACCGAACTCAATACATGGGGACATCCTGCACTTTGACGGTGTACGCGGCAGAGCTTAAAGGATTAGTCCTAGAATTGCAGATAATACTCGATACACTACCAGCATGCGTTCCCCCGAACAAGCGCGCCGTTATATTCACCGACAACCAAGCTGCCATCCAAGCCATCCTGAACCCCAAACACACGTCTGGACAATACATTCTGGCCGAGGCGGTACGAGCGCTTGACGAGCGCCGAAGACAAGGATGGGAGATGCAGTTTCGATGGATCTCGGCACATGTCGGAGTGCCTGGAAACGAGGCTGCCGATCAAGCCGCGAAAGAGGCCGCCGAGTCTGTTCCGAACGCAAGAGCGAACGCTGAACCGCCGCCAGAACCCGACTCTTTATGGACACTCATAGCAACCGCCAAGTCTACCATTCGCCGAGCGATGAAAAACGAGTGGGAACAGGCTTGGGAGAAATGCAAACCTTGAGAAGTCAATGAAACAGCTACGACGACAGCGCGCTCTATGGAAGGAACAAATGGCTTATGCACTAGAAGCTGGTCGGACGAAGCTTGATGAGTACTACTCTCAAACTGATTATATTTAAGGGGCACATCTACGCAGTCAGGACGATGCTGGCACTAGTGAATAAGTTCAAATTCTTCCTTGCAAAAGATTGGGATCCGAAATGGCGCGATACCTATCGTAAATCCTTCCAACAGGCTCTCATTCCATATCAAGAGCAACTTTCAAGTCTCAACCAGTCTTCAGATACGTCTCACTCAGCAGCTCCGCTGAGCTCGAAGCTTGATAAGATGTAGATGAAAGTGTGGCACAACCAAATGCAGCTACTGACGAAATGACCCAATACCTTGATAGCGGTACGTTTAAACTAAGACTTCGCTAAAATATACTAGCTGGTTGATAGATACTATTTTATTACGCCTCTTGCGTTCTGGAGAGAGCACCAAACTCGCTTTCCAGCAATCGCTGCGCTTGCGTGGGATGCACCTTCCCAGCAACAGGTGCAGGCGTTGAACGGCTCTTTAATACTGCTCGTGATGTCTGTCATTATCTTCGAGGAAGAATAAAATCGCAGATGATTGAAGGGTGTATGATGTTTCTTTGCACTTCAAGATTTGATATGGAAGAGAAGGAGGCGAAGCTTCTTGGGAAGTTCTTTACTCATGAGGAAATGGAAGCTGCGAAGGAGGAGAAGGATGAGAATATTTCACCCGCCCATTAGGGAAAGCTCGGAACCAATGCACCGCTAATTTGCCCCCAAAGGCGAGGGTCTTTCCAAGATCCTCATGAGCATCTGCCCCCATATGACAGCCTAACCACACCACATCTCTCGCTCTCAATATCCCGGTCGCAGTCTACCAGGTACTGGTATATGCCAGTTTGAAAGTCCAAACAAACTTATCCGAAGCTTGTAAAGCACTCGACACCGACAAGGAAAGTGTTCCGTCGCTATTCCACGTAACTGGAACCGCAGTACCATCCATGCTTCCTCCTAAAATAGTCACCGTATCACCAGGCAAGTACGGGATGATATCTGGTGTCGTAATTGTACCGGAAGGCGTTGTAAGGTAGTGGATGTAAAAGGCATTTTGAGTTGTGGTGTAGCGCCAGTTGTTCAGGCCTGGAGTTACGGACCAGTATCGTGTTTTGAAAATGCTTTCTGCATGGGCGTGGATCCATTTGCCGGCATCCTGGAGGCCTTGTTGCATGATGGCGGGGATCGAACCATCGTTCTTTGGTCCGATGTCGAGGAGGAAATTGCCATTTTTGCTGACGGTGTCGACTAAAGTCTGAACGATGTCCTTTCCGGTTAGATAGCGCGAGTCAGGGGTCCGGTAGTTGTATCCAAAAGAGAAAGGATCCATGCCACGGTTGGTTTCCCACTTGCGGGGAACAGTTCCACCATTGGTGCGATATCTAGGGAGACTTTAGATTGACAGTTTCGATATGTGGAGGCTGGACTTACTCTGGCGTATCAAAGTCACCTGCAATACCGCAGCGAGAATTGAAGGTCACTTGGCGGCCTTGATCGCGGGCCCAGTTGATCCACTTCGAGGCAAAAATGGTTGCGTTGTTAGCGCTGCCGGCAATATCACACCACATAATTTCCGTATCGTAGTTATATGCAAGCACATTTTGTTGAGGAAGTTGAATGTCCTGGATGAAATCGCTGACGTTGACAAAACCAGTGTAGGTTTCCACAGCTCCCGTGTATGGATTAGTAGGTGGTCCTAGAAAAATATTGGCATTTAACCTTGACAGGGTAGTAGCTTTGGAAGAGAGGAGCTACCTCCAGGGAAACCGCCACCACTTCTATATGCATAAGTCTTATATAGTGGACTAGGTGTATTAGTATAAATAATGGGGAGGGATGTTGGAGGAAACATACTTGTACCACTCAGGAAGTGAAAAATATGTACCGCGGCGAATTTGCGGTTGATATTTTTTTGCAGCTTGGAAAAGCTCCCCAATAAAATCTCTCTTTGGGCCATAATGGACGGAAGATCGCTGGCTGATGCTAGCTGGGAAATCGAAAAGGGCGAAACCATCATGATGCTCTATATAGCATTAGTTCTTTTCATTTTGGCAGTATACGAAAGCAACATACTGGTTACAGGAACCATGTACTGCGCACCTGCCGCAGCAATGAGATTAACCCAACTTTCGGCATTGAAGTTGGTGGCGGTAAAGTTAGAAATAAAGTCGTCATATGTGAAGTTCTTGCCATAGGTTGCGTTGTGATATTGATATGTCTGAGTTTTAAAAGTCGGGTCGTTCATTCTTTTCCAATACCTAAGACAATTAGTATATTTCTAAAGTTGTTGCGCGTGCCTTACCATTCGGCATAGTCTTCATTGGGAGCAACACTTCCATAGGCTGGAGCTGAATATAGGCCCCAGTGAATGAAGATTCCAAACTTAGCTTCGTTGAACCAATCCGGACTCCTGTGCAGCGATAAACTATTTGCGTCTGCTGTATAGTCGCCGAATCCACAACTTCCAGAAACGGTCTCGGTAGAGGTTATTGGGGGCCCATATGCAGTTCCCCAAGTGGCAGTGACAACGCCGCTGCAGGATGTACCAGCCGCCACTCCCGCCTTGTTTTTAACTCCAATCTGAACGATTGCGGACTGACCAGGATGAAGACGGGTGAGGGTACCAGCTTTTACTAAATCGAAGCTGCTTGAAACTGCAGTGATGTTGAGTGTATCGGCCATAGTAAGAGAGTTATGCTGGTGATTATTGGTAACAGTCATCTCAATGACTTGCACGTAGTTACTCCCTTCGAACCACTTGGAGGTCAAGGCTGCTCCTGAAATTACAAGTGCAGGTGGATAGCCATCTGGAATATGTTAACAAATGTGAAAGGAATGGGAGAAGCTATACTTGCGTGCTGATCGAGAATGCAATGTGTTATTTATGGCCATTGAGCGGACTGCTGAGGCCATTGCCCCGAGCACCACCAAAATTGAGATGATCAGCATGTTGGTGTATGTCAAAATGGAAATCCGGCGAGTGACAACCTCCCAGTGTTTAGTGATTGCGAGGTTGAATACATTGAGTGCTGGCAAGGACCAGGGTATTTATGCTTTATCAAAAGTCATTCTCGTATTCCGCAAGTCAACAGCCGCACAAAAAAGGGCGTCGGTAGTATTCTTGGGAATAAAATGCGGGGTATAGTTCACCCCGGAAAATTGCAATTCGCCGCTCCTGTTCCTGCAGTTGACCGGAACGCCGGAACTAAGTGGGGCGTACCTAATGCTTCTTCCAGAACGCGAGACTCACAAAGATACCTTCCGCACAAATATCCGACGGCTATTTCTTCATTGGCTGTCTGCATTGTCCACATCACATCGCCTCAACCTCTTAAACATTGGCATTGAGCATTGACTTTTCCGTATAACTTCTTCAATTGCCTGTTTAGCTCCAAGAGACTATCTATAACAGAATGAGAATGTACTAAGCAGCTCGCTTGGGGAAACCCTTCTCTCGAAACTACACCAATTCGGTGCATAATCGTAGATCAATGGGATAAGGTCCCGAACCCCGTAAATACACAGCAACGCCAGACGTAGAGATACACGTACAACTAACTCGTCTTCGTCTACGCTATCGCGCGCAAAACACTATTACGAGATTATACACCCTACCACGGGAACATCCGTATAGAGCGCCCTACTTCGGGCTTAAAGTTGATGAATAATCTCAGATTGTATGCTCCGTTCCCACCAACAGAGGCGCTGAAAACGTGTCAAACTTGTTGGGAGGACCTAAAGAAGAGGCACGCTGTATGATTAATAATACTACGCGGACCAAGACAGTGGATACTGTCGTAGACTTCGCCAAATCATCACAACGGTTTTGTTACAGAACAGACAAGAGGCAACATGAGATCGGAGGGAAGGCTAATCAGGAAGGCGGTAAGGTGGGTTCTGCCAAGTGTATTTAAGAAGGATCTTTCGATCCCCTCCACTTCTTCTTTCTTTTTTCCAGTTTCTGTTGCATCGTTGAATGGTACAGCAAATTCTTTTGGTTCAGCTTTGACCGTAACAGGTTTCAAAGCCGTGAGCCATGAAGGCAGCATGAGAACAAACTATGGCTAACAGGCCGCGAAAAACCTCGGCGAGGCATTAAGTTCGCTTAGGAGCGTGGTATATAGTACCTTTAGACAGAAACATATTTTGTTGTCGAATCCTGCATATCGTTCGCGAAGTTGTTAAGGCCAAAATACGAATCCGTACCTACATAGCCTAGTGGGCTGTGGTTTATAATTCAACTCGCGAGAAGTCAGAATAAATGGATTCATCATCGTCGTCTGTGGACTGCTGCTTAAAGTGGATCAACGGACTAATTCGCCAGTGAAATGATCATCTTCCCCGCTCACGCTCACGCAGCTACTCTTGAATGAAGCCGGTTGAATCAGATTCCGTATGCGGTTCAAGGTGTTAGGAAAGCCGATCTACTTGCAAGATTTGCACATCCCGCACAGTACAGCACTCGCTAGTTGTTACCTCTTCCTAACTTGTTCAATACTCTATCATGCTGACTTGCCTTTCATGTATATCTCCTAACCTTTCGAGGACTGACGTTCGTGTCTCCAGATTTTTTGGAATCTACCCATCAGCCAAATGCATTCACAGGTTAAGACAGCACACCCATCGGCCGAGGATAGAGACTACCACACGATTAAGTAGTCACGGTCTACTCTGCATAGAGTGATTGAATCAAGCACATCACTGAACGAGCCCTGTAGAATGGAACCTTTCCTACCCTTTGCAAGACCCCTGTCAATGGCCTGTTCTCCAAGCTGGTAACAGCCAAGTAGCAGTACATTGGATCGGCTTCTTAGGCACTGTCTCGTCCAGCATGGAATTTTCAATTTATGCATCTGCTAGGCAAGCTCAGCATCAGAATCTGGATTGGCTCAGAGGCGACGACTCTGACCTAGAGCCTGGAGTTGAAGTCTTTGCGAGAAAGCCTACTGCCGAATCATGCAGTGTAACCATCCTGAATAGGAGCGATATTGACATATTTGGTGAGACGCCCGACAGTGAGTGGAGGTTGACCTCCTGGCACGACTTTGAAGAACTCACACGCCTCGTCTGTGGCAACCAGGGATACTCGAGTCACAGTCACAACAGCATACCATGGCGGTTTCAGTGGCGACAATTCAAATGCAGTGTTGCGGGGTGTAAAGGTCGCTTTCGATATTTCAAAGGCCTTCGGCGTCATCTGTCCGGCCACATGGCTGGAAAACCTCACTCTTGCTGAATTCCGGGGGCGCAGCTTCTCGCGTCGCGATACCCTCAAAGCTCATTATGCCACGCATGGACGACAGGGGGGCCGCAATCGGTACGTCGCTACTCTTGATCGGACTAGCTCTGCATACGACCCTTGTTTCCGTGGACAGCTGACGTCCGATGGCTTGCCGGTCGAAGAGGTAAAAACAGGCTTGTCCGATATTTGAACTAGGTTGCCTTCAGAAGCAAACGGCTGAGAGCAGGAGGTATGAAGATTTTTTTTTGGTGACGCGTTACGTCAATACCGAGCGCTAGCGGCGATCGGCGGAAGTTCGGAGACACCTGTGCATCCAGGAGACGTGACGCGATCCCTCTCTACCCGGGCAAACCTGGTTTTTGCAATCATATTGTGCAATAGATAACACGACACGGGAAGTGAAGACTGAACTGAACACCGAATGGGTAAAACCATGTGAGGGGGCTGATCAAGCAAAAAATCCAAGTAGCTTTCGCCAATGACGATGCGTGGAGGATTCGGACGCGTGACCCGAATGGAAGAGGCAACCAATATGCCAAAACCTAATGCGTTCGGTTGAAACGCCAATGTTACTGGAATAAGCGTTGTTTCAGTCAGCATCGACCACCACACGATTTCAAAATGTTCCAGATAGATTTTTATTTTTCTTCGGTCTCAATTGGGGTTGTTCAGGCCAAAGAAAGTTGTTTAACAAGGCAAAGGATTTTGCAAAAACGCAGTCCTGCATATTCCCGGGCACCTGCGGCCATTTCGAAGTGTTGATGTTAAATAATATATAATGCGCTCAAGTTGCGAAGGGTAAGATATACTAGCGCACTCAGGGTAAAACGGATGAAAGTATCGTGCACCCACGAATCCGCGTATTATCCAACACAAGAAAAGAAACATGCGAGCCATTCAAAATATCGGAGCCAATATCATTCGCGGTGCGAAAATATAATGGATCCTACCTTAGTAAAGTATCTGTTGTGGTCCCTAATGCTGGAAGGAATCACGACCGCAAATTAACACCAAGGAGTCCAAAATTGGCGGAATCGCAAAATGTACTGCCTGGATGTGATAGCCTGCACCACAAGCATGTAATAGTCGTTGAACGTAAATGTAACTCCGATGTTGCGAGTGCGGCCATTGAGTCGCCGCTGCGATGACAACAAAAAGCTCGGTTGGAGGAGTGTTTGCGACCATTGAGAGTCGTCGTTTATCAACTGTTGACACACAGTTTTCAGCATGCATGAACGAACTCATAAAGGCGATCCTGGCCACTCCATCTTAGCCTGCCTGCAGTCAAAACCGCAATGCACACCCATGAAAGTAAGGCCGATAAAGTATGAGGTGCTAAACATACTTTGACGTTGGCATGTTGCAAAGAACAGGTTGAGCGGCGCCTATAAATACCATCGGCCGCGCAAAGACTAGCTGTGCATCTTGTCATCCGTCCGTCTCTCTGACATGACGTGCGCAGACCGCAGCCTGCCTCTAAAAAGGTTAATACACCGTGACATTTGGTCCTTTTGCACCTAATGATGTTTATCTACGATTTGCTGATCCAGCCGCAGCTCCTCCTTCACCAGGTCGTCTGACGATCAGGAAAATTGCGTATGGGTACGTTACTCGCCACTCTGCTTGCTTGATGTGAAGCTGATACTGAGGGTGACACAGGCTTGCTGGCCCGTATCCACACATCGACGACATGCTCCAACCGCGCTAATTCCACTGTGTAACTTTATCTAGCCCCCTAAACTACCTTGTTTAAATCTCACAACCCATCCGACTGGCAACTAATTCGGATGAACATAGCCACGCACAAATACGGCCCTGTCTTTATTATTGAGTTGTGAGTCCAGAATCATTAAGGACACTGGTGACTGCCAGACTAACATTTTCCCCTGGCCGGCGAGATGAGGGAGAACGTCGGGTTTTCAATTGGTACTAGTCTCCCTTTCCTTCCGCAACAGCCTTGAGCCGGGTACAACAGTCCCGCCCCCGTTACGACAGCCGCGTTCGGTGTCCCATGCGGTCTGCCATTCGCAGCCTAAACCTTGGGTATCGCTATCTTCCTATTATATTCGCCTCATTCCCGATGCTGTTGACTTAGCTCTAGGAATGTCCTTTGCCTATTCGACCGTCCGACCCCTCATCAAACCGAAGTTGCTCCGTGTGTCCCAGATCCTTAGTACGATGCAGGCTTCAGGCCAAAAAGTCGACATGGCTATCATTCGATGAGAATATGACGGTATGAGTTCTGGCTGATTGAATGTGAGCGAGATTTAAATTCTTGCTGATAAGAAATAGTTCAGGCCACTCCCTCAAGGGAAGACTAACGACCAATACACTGCCACCGTTTGTGGAAATCATCATATGATTATGAGCTTCGGAAGCACATCGAAGTTCTGCGGTTCAAAACTTCAACGCAGCAGCGGTAGCCCGGCTGAACGAGACGCGGCCGAGTACTCAGCTTGGTTCCTGAACGATGTATTCCTAACCAACGTCCCAACCAGGCATCACTATCCCAAAAATAAAGTCATAGCGCGATCGACAATCGCGACAGATCGCATTCTGGACATTAGAAAGCTACTCACACCGGCAACCTGGCAGTTGAGATGCCTGGTATCGCTACCGGCTTTGCTGGCACGCTGATGACACGACGCGTTTCTCGACACCTACAACTTTGAGCAGCCGCAGCTCAGCACTATTGAATATCTCGTCGCATACAGCAAAATTCCTCATCGAGGAAAGGAGCCTACAGCGCGGCCACTGGTCTTGCAGCGTATCAGCTGCGATAAGAAAACACCACCAGGGCTTTAGTCTTCCAATCTTTCACCTTGCTCGGTCGCATTCCCGTCCGCGGGTGCCCTATAAAATATCACTTTTTATCTTGAAAGTCGAAGGATCAGGGTGGATTATGCTTTGGTGAAGAATTAAGCTTCAATGCTGACCTAGTTATTAGTTACACCAGCGGGTTGATCAGTGTTGTCACATCGGTAAGTCTGGTAACCCGTGCTGTGTTTAGTTTAGAGACCCTGCCAAGTGACACCATATCAGTTTCTCGGTAATTCAAAGGTCCAACCGAGAGCGTACCTTCACCCATGCTGATCCGGCACCTTTCGATTCCTCTCGGCATCTGACTCGGTGCTTGTGGAGTGACCCAATCTGTCGCTTCGTCCGGCTTCCACTGCAGGGAACGCTGGAGGTTCTTCGCTCCTGCGCACAAGTTGTTGATTGAGTCTTAAGTTTCTTATCCGTCAGGATTTCTGAGATCCTGACTGTACATTTTGTGTACGGCTTGTCATGGCTTCCCCTGGTGCCTTAACCGGGTTGCCAAAGAGAGTGAGTATTTTTTACAGGGGCCTATTATCCGCGCGATTACTGGTCAGAGCTCATGGATGTTAGATACCAGGGATCGCTTTGGTGTCATCTATTCTGCGGTGAGTTTCTCAACTGTCTGCGTAGTTGCCCTTATCAGACCATTATGAGAAACTCTTGTGCCGTTCGTAGACCGCCGACAGTACTATCAATGAGACAAATACCGATGTATCATGCTTGTGGAAGTCCGACATGGAGTTGTAGCTTCTATCTCGGTGGGACATACGCATGTGGAAGCTCACAGTCGAAGACATAGGAACCGCGCACATATTCGTGCAGTATCCATTTACTGTCGTGATTTGAGGCTGGTACAGATCAGGAACCAGACCGCAACATTTCGCAAATCCTCTTCTGAAGCATGAAGTTGCTTGGAAATCAACTTGATTCATTTATGAAACATAAATATTGTCTCACCTTTGGAAATCATACAAATCAAGCTTTGTTTAATAAACTACCATAGTCAACAGTCAAACTTCAACGAAAGGGACCGGTGTACTGTAACTATACTCTGCACTGATAATAATCCTTTGTGGCCCACTAGAGTGAATCATAGGCCATACATGAGTAGTTGCTGTCTATCTAGTGCCGTACAAGCTTCATGAAGTTAATTGATATGAAGTTAAGACATGCCATGGATCTGCGAGTGAAAATGAATTGTGCATGCAGGTGGAGTCTTGTGTCTAATTGACAAAGAAAGATGTGGCGCCGGTTCACCGCCCGGTGATTCACTATCTTAACTTTTCATGATAGGTTCTATTCAGGACTTGCGTGAGAGTCCCTTGCGTCGGGCCCACGATATTCCGTGCTAGACATCGCACACAAATATCGCCTGGCCTTCCCCTCCCTCGAAAAGAACATCGCCGTTTCGAGGGAGAGCCGGGCTCTCTCTGCGACGGTTTCTTCCCGCCCACCGCGGAACCCGCCTGCAGCCCTCACAGCGCTGTAGCCGTCCGTCAAGGAGGCCTACATCGCCAGGGTTCAGACCGCAGGTGCCCCCGTTTGGGCCAAAATACCTCGTTCGTCTCCATTTGTGCCAGTGTAGCAATGTTTGGAATAGAAGCAGTCTAAATACACCTGGCAGAATCATCCTCACCGCCTTCTTGATTGGATCATTGTCTACTTCGTAACAAGTAAATGGACACTCTAATTGGGCTGTACAGTGGATAAATGGATCCAACGGGACCATTGTCCATATCCCCATGGGATAGTGTATGGATCTTAAGCAAAGCCAGCACTAACCACCCAGCTAACATCATCATTGAACGACGCGGGGTTGTCGAACTTATGGACGCCTCCATTGCTCGCAGCATAGAGCACATTATTGTAGTGACGGAAATAGCGGGTGGGATAGCTCCATGATCGAATCGAGTTGCCTTTGCCGTTCAGACCAGGTTGTGGGCAGAACGTGGCGGCCTCGTGGAGCGCCTTCGTACCGTCGTTGGACCTGAGAACAAATACGAAATTGTCGTGTATGAGGAAGCTGCTAGGAGTATCAACGGACTCGAAGGAGAAGCACTCGCTATTAGCAAGACCAGTGCGAACTATCCAGCTAGCCTGCTTCTTAAGGGCCCCCGGACTAGACGATGAGACAACCTGGGTGTTCACAGTGGAGCCAGTGTGGGTAACGTAACGCGTTGTGCAGCATGCTGTAGTGGCGCGCAGCGAAATTGACGAGCCTACAGTCAATTCTGGGCCACCAGTCAGCGGCGCGATAGTGTACTTAGCAGCTACAATATTAGCTTGCACGGCATTTTCCGTCTCATCGGACGGGTAGCCGGAAGTCATAACGCCCTCGTAGAACGTGCCCTGGGAACCGTGGCTGTTATCACCACCGATACCGAGAATGATAGCACCTTCTTTACTCATAGGATTGTATCCTCGAGCGTTAGGGCGTGTACCATTGTAGAAGGTCGATAGCGGGCCAGAAGCCGCATTCCCACCACGGATTGCCCATTTATTGGCCCCTCCCTTGACGGCTGCGCTAACAAACCGGTAGATGATAGATGGGTCCCCTGCGTTATTTTTTGCGTTGAAGCCAGAGAAAAGACCATTCTCAAGGTCTGCCATAATCCATGGGCCGCTGCCAGCGCCGGTACCATAGGCCGTAAGGTCTCCAAAATAGATAGCCTCCATATGGCCGTTGCCTGTATCATTACCGCTGACTTCGGCGTTGCCATAGTCGAAGCAACAACGATTATTATAATGAGTGCCATCAAAGACTGCATACAGGCCCTCTGCTTCATCACCGGTAGCTGTATCCTTAGCCGCATTGTTCCTGTAGCCTGTGCCAGGAGAGATAAAGACGCCGTAGGCTTTCTCGCCATTCAGTGTCACAGGGGCACCGATAGCGCTCGCCAGATTGTCGTACCCATGTGAGTCTGGGCCAATAAAGTAACCTGGAGAGGCCTGGCTAAGGTGATTTCCGTGGCCGGACTGGTCATAAATGATTGTGATGAGGCATGTCGTCCCAGCACAGAAGGTGTCTTGATGAGCGGCATTGGCAACGCCGCCGGCGTGAAGTGGCGCAATGTCATTTGTAGCACCGTCTGATCCACGTTTGACTTGATACAATGGACCAGCATAGGAGTTATAAAGTGCACGAGTGGTACCGTGGGCGGCAACACAGGGCGTGCCGCCGGAGGAGTAGATATCACAGGGTCCAGCAGACACATGGGAACTCCTGGCCACAAGGCTGAGAGCAATAGCCCAAGCATAGTTACGGTTAAGTTGTGGAAACATGTTGACAGTCCTATGACAGCACGTTGATGAGCGTTGTGATCGTGGCCAAGAGATAGCTAAACTTCGCTGCAATAGAAGAAAGTATGTGGCAGGTTAGAATGACATGCTCAGTCGTGTCGACCCCTTTATAGTTTTGGGGGTGCTGTTCATGTTTCCCATTTCCCAGAGCGAGCAAATTACCCGCTATTGACATAGTACAAAATTCTTCTCCGTTAGCATTTAGGTATAGTTTTATTAGTGGCTCGAGAATGGGGGCAAACTCCGGTATCCAGTCGTCCATCTGAGACATGCATTTAGCCTTGGAATTAACCGACTTGGAAACAAACCAACACTGAAATAATTTTCACCATGTTGGGCTATACGTCGATAATAGACAACCTCATCTATACCATCGACGTATCTTCCTAAAGAACGAAAGAACATCTGATCAAGATCTACAAGTAAATGACGAACCCCAGACAATAAGACTACTTTCAAGATCTTGCACTAACTTATACGCAGAAGTAAAAACAGAAAGACCGAAGCTTCTCACATTAAAGTATCAGCTGCCTTGGACCAAAACGGAATCAACTTAAGCTGGCAGGCGCATAGGTACTTTAAATGAGGGCCACCAGTAGGGTAAATTTCCTCGGGCTTGCTGCCGCACAGAGGGAGACCCCGCAAGGCGTCATGATTTTGTAAGCACTAGGGAGCGTTGGGGGGGGGGTGGGGGGTCATATGGGTAGCTCCATGTCTATAGAATGGCACTAGGAACCTGAAGGATTTCGGCGCGCATCTCTCGGGGGTTTTGCGGGGTAAAGCAGTGCTAACGAACGATCCTATCCTGTGCCACCGGAGTTCTTCCGTTTTTCCCGATACGGAGACTGACCTAACCAGTCCCAAATGCGAAGCTTGAGTTCAGATACTGCTCTGCATATACCCTCTACTATTACATAGCAACCCGATCAGTCTGAATAGGGCAAGATGACGACAGCGGCGCTACTTCCAGGTTGTAAAATGAGTTGTAACGGGAACGGGCAGGCGTCAAAGCCAAGGTCTTGGGATAGGAGTGTAATGACCGAGCTGTGTATATGTTGGGCCTGCTGTTACCGGCCTCAAGTACCTGAAGGCCGCAACGGGCTGAGGGGCAACTGAAAGCCAACCATTCTGCACCTCGAGCAGCACCCCGCCTGTGGAGTCACGTGCGTTTCGGTATACTCAGGCGTGCTCCAGAAGGGCCTTGAGGATAACATCACAAATGGAGCGCCTTATCGCCCAAGGCCATATTCTCTTGAATCTTCAGACCAGACTCTCAATCCAGGCGTCTTGCCTCGGAAAGGTACAGCTTCATCTCCGTTGGTTGCCTGACTCCCGCTGGCAACGATCACGCGTCAACAACGTGGCACGGCATGATAACTAACCTGTTGGTCCTCTACAGGCTGCACTACAGGAGGCAATGACTACAGCTACTGCCAGAGCTCTTGAGGGGCAGAAAATATCTAGCCCAATAGCAGCCTTCCTTGACAATCACCGACGCCAGAACACCGGCCTCACGCCCCGCCAGCTAGGAGCTCTCGCTGCCCTTCGCAATGACCTGGATATTGTGGTCCAACAACACTTTTAATGCCTACATCAGCGGCGTGCCCTTGACCAATGTCCCTATTACCCCTGCCCCTTCTCTTACCCCTCCTCCCTTCCCTCGTCACCTCCCCGTCCTCGTCCCCCCTACGGTTTTGCCTAGCCCATATACGCATCTACTGTATTTCGGGTGTTACTATTCAGCAGTGTGTGGGGTAGCTAGATATATAGCCGCATCGTACTCTTCTGACACGAATCTTCCGGCAAAGCTCCTCAACCGTGCTGCACGAAGAAAACACTAAGACGCCCAACCCCTGAAGCTACAAGTGAGGGATGTGTCGGTATGGTGATCCTGAATTGGAGTCAATCGAACACGGAGTGCTGTCTCATGACTGGCCGCAATTTCAGTGCAGATTGCTCCGCATTCAATAAACGAAGGAGCCGAAGATCCTCGGCCCGTACACGCTCATTTCTCCCACAAACTTGATAGCTGAATGATCCATGTTGAGCTAAGGTGGCTTGCCTCAACTTGGGTTACCATCCGCCACTTTGCAAAAGTGAGGTTCTGGACTAGTTGCTATCTCGGTTTGGTCAAACCTTACCCAAGATAAGTCTCAGTTCTAAGCACACGATGGGTTAATTTTTCAGATCTACGGGGCACGACAAGGAATGTTCCTTGATCTTGTTTGATTCTTTGAAACTGTTCTTCTCTTCACGCATTTGCATTACCCTTAAAGCGCCTCACTGTCAACCTCGTCCTCAAGAAGAGTGAGCGATGGGCGCGGTGATACCGGACCGTCGTTCGCGTGGTGATTGGAGTGGTGACCAGCCTGTCAACGGTAGCTGTGATTTTACGGGTTATTACTCGTGGTTTCGTCTTGCGACTCCTTGGCAGTGACGATTATTGCTTGATTCTGGCTGGGTGTATATACACTCTTCCTCCATGAAAAACAATCGGAACTTGCTCCTGATTCTTATTACTAGCTCTTTGCGATTGGCCTCTCGGCGTCTGTCATAATTGGTACAACCCAAAGGCCTTGGGTTTCCAATAACTGGAGTGCTGGCTTTCTCGAAGCACATATGCATTCGCTGTTCTTTATTTTAGTTGACCCACGTGGAGGATTATCCGCGCCAGCGATCTAATGAGCTTCTTGAAACTAGAATCCTGCACTTATGGCCACGAAAACCTCCATTCTTCTGCTCTATCGCCGCCTGGCTAAGACGACCAATTTCTTCCACCTTTCCACAACCGCATAATTGGTACAGGTAAACCTGGCCGGCCTCGTGTTCACTCTGATGTGCATCTTCCAATGCCGACCAATACCGGAGATATTCAACTTGTCCCAAGACAGCAAGTTGTGCATTGATGGTTACGTTATATCTGGTCTCTGCTCCTGTGAATATTCTCACAGATTTGATCATTTTATTTTTGCCTATGCCTCTTTTGACCGGCCTCGCCCTTCCGCCAAAACAGAGGATCATTCTGATAGCAAGTTTTGCTTTAGGGGGTTTCGTAACTGTTGTTGATGTGATGCAGATTGCCTATTTGCAAGAAGCATCTACCGCTCGCCTTGAAGCCTTGAGCGGCGCTGAAGGACTGCATTACGCGCAAGAAAGTATTTTCTGGTACGCCGCACCACCATGCATGTGGTCAACTGTTGAGGTGAACGTCGGGATCATTTGTGCATGTAGTCCGGTACTCAAACCGCTTTTGGTCCGCCTTGCCCCAAGATTCTTCGGTTCCCTCGACTCCAAAGCAGCAGGAAATACAAACTCGGACAGCAGCATGGTATGCAGCCAATGGAAATCCGCGACGAAATTATCAAACAAAATCCAACGCCCTCTTTCAAATTCGTTTTGACCTCTTAACATCCCAAAGCTCGGTTTCGGGGCAAGGGGAGGCTCATAATATCGGGTTGCAGGAGCTGGGCTCACCCCCAAATCCTCAGCCAGCTCCTGGTTTCTTTCTACCCACCAACGAAGTTCATGTCTCCAGCCAAATGCCAACACAAAAGTTCATGCCATATATTGGTCCCACGAGACATTCAAAGCCCCTGACGGCTCTATTGGACCGTGAATCACTCTTGCCACTGTTGGCAGTCACTATCCTATTTTTCCCCTGGAGTTTTGCATACGGAATGCTCGGGACACTCAATACCAAGTTCCAAGCACTTGTCAATATGACTACTGGCCAAACGGTCGCCCTTCATTGCGTCTATTTTATGGCTTACTTCTGTGGGCCTCCCGCTTTCTCATATTACCTACCTCCTTACCAAATTTGGTTTCAAAATCACCATCATTACCGGATTATGTATATTTGCAATCGGGTCTCTGGTCTTCTGGCCATCTGCGATTTTGGGATCGTTCTGGGGATTATTGTCTCCAACTATATTGCCACCCTGGGACTTTCTACTCTTCAGATTTCAGCGAATCCGTTCATCATCCTCTGTGGACTCTCCCAGCGCCCAGAAGGTCGCCAGAATCTCGCCCAGGCGCTCCGGGGCGTGGGCAGCGTGGCAGCGCTCCTCCTTTCAAATCTCATTCTGTTCCAGAAGACGCGCATCAGCAGCCCAGTTGACGCACAGTGGACATACCTGGCCGTTGCAATGTTCTCTATCGCCTTGGCAGGATTCTTCTACTACTATCCGTTGCCAGAGGTGACAATGAATGAGCTCGAGAATACCTGGGGCCTAACAGCCGCACCTCCCAGTATACAATCGGCGGCCTATCTATTTCAGTGCCTGCCTTTACTATGATTGCCGCTGCTGCTGCACAATGTGTATCGTTGGGAGCTCGGGAAACTATATCCCCAATGACCTCTGCTTTGATATCACAATGGCTGGAGCATGTCAGCAACAGTCAAGTATTTTGCTACTCGTAGCGACAGATGGCCTTGTCATTCTAGGCCGTGTCATGGCTGGAGTGATCTTCCTTACGACTCCTGTTAAGCCCGAGCAGCTTCTCGGTTTTTCGACTATCGGCGCCTCCGTCACTTGGATTGTGTCAATTGTTCTCAATACGAAATCATTTCTGGCGCCATTTTACCTCAACTACATCTTTCTAGCTGCGATTTTCCCGACTATATTTGGTATGGCACTTCGCTGTCAGGGCGGTCGTATTCACCTATGTTCCGCCTCCCAGATCTCATTAATGGTCGGTGGTGCGATCTTCCCTGCTGTCCAAGATGGGATCGAGAATGCTACTTCGATCCAAAAGTCACTTATCTTGCCAGCTGCTCTTTTTTATTCCGCGCTCATCCTGCCGCTCTTCACCCTCTGGGATCCTGTGCGAAGTGTACTTCGGCGTGGATCTTCCATGCGACCATCACGCATGGGAATACTGGTGCAGTCCAGTGATGAAGAAGTAATTCGTCATCCTGATATACGAGTTGAGCATGCGGTCATCATCGAAAATCAACTGGCATGAAGCGTTTTCCGGTCGATTGTGCGCGGAGATCTCGAGAAATGAGTCAAATTGAACACTTTTTAGAAATTTTCTACTCTCCTTTCAACCCTTTCGGTCTCTGTAAGAATTGATGGCTTTAAAACTACCCCTGTGATTAAGTATGTACGCAGGGTAAAGATTTAGTAGCTGTACAAAGCATGATAAGTCATATGAATCCAAGCGTAGTGAAATGAGTACTAAAGCTAGAATAAAAAGTCCAGGATACGTAGAGATATCCCTTAAAGTACCTACCGGTACAGCCCCTTTCCGCCATGTGGACGGCGTCTCTCACTCGTCTTTGTGATCGCAGCTCCGAAAGTCCTATTCGTAACTGTTGTAAGGCAAAAGGAAGCTTCTTTTTATTTCCAGAGGCATATAAAGAGGCTATATATAAAGCATGAAGTCCAAGTTTATTTCCAATCTACTTGGAACTTCGTATGATGGTGCGGGAATTATTTCCGGTGTTGCGGTTTCATTCCTGAGCAGCAACGGTCCCAAATCACACCATTCCCCTTTAGGAACGTCTTGCTAGCGAGGCGATACTAAATATATGCACCTCAGTCAGGCCTCGGTAAAACCACACTCAAAACCTCAAAGAGGAGAGATAAATATAAGTGACTGGGATGCAGACTTCATTGTGACCAAGTAACATTTACCACATGGGCACCAACCCACGCAGGCACATAATCAGAGACAGCATACCATGGTGCCTTTTCCATTCCTGACCAAATAAGCTTGCCATTAACCTTCAATCCTTCGAAGCTGACAAATTCAATTTGTGAATCCTTGTCAAAACCTGACAAGATAGACAGATTGCTGTCCGAGCCGTTGTATTCAACATTTCGCACCGTAATGTTAGACAAAGTTCCACCAGCATAAGAGTCATACTTGGGATTGTATGCCACTTTAAAGCTGAACAGCATACCTAGGCGGAAACTTTCGACATTAATATTGCTAAAGAGCACGTTTTTCACAATATTGCCGTTGCTAGTACTCATGGCCATACAGCCTTGATAGTAGATTTGCGGCTCGTGCTGGTCGAGAATGTCGATGTTGTCGAACGTCACGTCAGACATGGTCTCGTTTCCTCCAAAGCCGCCAACATTGAGGGGATGTGCCACATCTGCCCACACGGCCGAGTCCCGAACGGTGATATTCTGGCTATTGCCACTGTAGCCTGACGACGACAGATAGAAAGCCAAACAATCATCCGCAGTTCGCATGAATAGCTTCTCGTAAATGATGTTGTGGCTGCACCATGTGTCGATGCCATCGCCCCACTGGCCGGAGCTGATGACCCGGAGGTTGCGGACCAAAACATTACGGCTAGAGCCGACACCAACGGATGCGTGGAGGGGGCTGAGAACGGTGGGGCCGTCGACGACGATGTTGTTGGAAAAACTCACATTCACGGCATTAAGGGTGCTCCCGTAGATAATACCATGTCCTATTAGACGAGCCTCCTCGGCGTGGAGGAATACGAACGATCCCTGGATGACGGCGCCGGGAGCGAGATACACAGTCTCTCCGGATGATATTTTGTATGTCTCGTTGAGTTTATGGTAACCGGGGCTAAACGAGGTGACGGTTTTGTTTTTCTCATGATGAGGAGCGCCAGTGTCCATCTTGTTAAGGAAAAGGTGGAGGACTTGGAAGACATCACCGTTAACTTCCACAACCAAGTTCGTAGGCTTCGAAATTGTAAGCAAAATGGTGCGCCCGTCGAGCTTCCACGGAATGTTATAAGACAACGGGCGGATTCTAACGGAGTCGACAGAGGGGAAAGTGTCCCGGCTGGGTTCAATACTGATGTTGACGATACCGTCAAAGTCGAATGTTCCCACGCTTGAGTTGTGATATATTGCTGCACCAGTCGTCACATTGGCCACCATGACCCGGGTCCAGTAGAGCTCGACTGGTTGCCATTGCGTGTCATTGTCTGTGCGAACATTCACGATGTAGTTATTAGACTGAGCAATAGGGCTGGGGACCGAAGGCACCAATAGGCTTCTTGGCTTCTGGGACTCAGCTGCCGTGGCGTTGGCGGTGATTGGAATAAAGCTGACAAGACTAAGTGCAGCAACGGCGGCTCGACCTAAAGACTTCAAAGACCTGGCCATTTTTTCCACTGGAACTAGAAGCTCACGGATATTTTCCTTATCTGAAATACTTCGGATGTGAGAAGGGAGCTATCTGACTATAAAATAGGAAATCGAATATCCCTACTACTCGAGCAATGTTCCAAACCAAAAGTGACCTGCGGGGGAAGTACCGGACCGGTACCTGCTACGTTACAGGCGCGATCGTCTCCGTGTGTTTGCCCGGTAACACACGGGGGAAGTCCCGGGGTCTGCCCCGGCAGGCTTCTTCCCCAGGTAAGGTCGATCTATCTCCGTGCATTTGGCCGATTTTCCTGAGACTAGAAAGACTGTTCGTGTTATAAAGCAAAAGAAAGCTTAATTAATTTCATTCCAGAGGGATCCAAAGAAGTCATTTATATAGCATAATCTCATTTCAGAGTGTGATGGCGAAGAATCAATGGGACGTAGGGACGGAGGTTTGGTTCCCTTACGTAAGAGTTTAGTAGCATGAGAGAGTCGCGTTTCTCCAGGCGGCTGTTCGAGATAGCTTTTTCGGGGTCACCGTTTTACAACCCCTGAAAAGGCCTCCATTGATTCAAGCACAGTGAACTCCGTAACGGAAGGGGAAATCCTCGGGTATTTGGGCAGATGGTCGCAAGAGCGGGGAAAACACGAGGCTTGTGTAACCTCTACAAGGGCCTTCCTTGCAGGAGTTCGTACACATACTAGCAGCGAAGCCCCAGTGAACCTCCACCGAAAGCTTAGCGGATTGCCAGGGTCCTAGTAGCCTGAGTTACTGGAATTTGTGGATAACTCATGTCAGGTATATCGTAACAGAAACTGGCCAGTCATTTGATTATTCAAACAACTACCATTTGATTATATCTTTCCACCGTTGAATACCGTTTACTAATACTTAATTAAATCCCAGGCAAGTATCCTAGCTACAACGATTATGAAGACAAAAATGGCACGTTAACCGCCCTGGTAAAACTGCGGTCACCATATAGGTCCCCGGCTAGTTTTTACGGACGGTGTGTGCGATAAGACCTTTCTGAAAAAATCGTCGAAAAAGAAAAACATGTCAATGTAGAATGCGCATTGTAGAAATTGAGTCTGTGCAAATGCTGAATTTAGATCATGCGCATTGCTATGCGCAATCGCAACCAAAAAATAATCCGATGTGGCCAGAAATATAACTGGGGAGGTCCCTGGAGTCTTACCCTACATATATAGTGGTACCCAAAAAGTCTGTGACCACCCTTCCTCACCGCTACTTTCTGCCACTTCAAAAGGTCTATGTTGAGCACGATTACATAGCGCAACGGATGTACTTTTTGCCTTTGTAATGATGACTCGATCCCTTTGACCTCGATAGGACTTGCAGGGTTTGTCATCTTCTTTGGCCCTGCATGAAGCAGGCCGGGGTTTTCCTGTCAGGACCAGGCCTTGTTCCTTTCCTTTGTGCTTCAGGGCCTTATAGACCCTGTTCTGTTCCCTTCTGCTTCTTCTTCCTTTCTTAGTCGTCTTCGTCTTCCTGTTCCGATAGACCAATTGACTCAGTCTCCCTTCTCTCTTCGCTTCCTGTGCCAGCAGTGCCGTGAGCACTGTCAGTAAATGGCGATGAAATGCACATTGAACTGTGCAAAAAATTCTGCTTTGCAAAGTGGTGTTAGGAAGAAGCCAACTCTTTGTATGGTGTAGCCGTATTAGTCTCAAATCTGTTCAAGAATGATCTGAGGATCATCGGATAATGTGAAGCTTCTCTGGCTACTTTATTCTAGACCTTATAGCGGAAATTGCTGTCCTGACGGAAGCAGAGCAAACGTTGGCGGCGTCAAGTATTTAACATCGCATGTCGCTGTACTCCCAAAGCACGGCATAGATACACGGAGCTTGGCTAATATGATAACTCATAGGACGAGAGCCGATCCCACAAACTTTGCAACAGTCACGATAAACGAATAACTGAGTAGGTCGAGTGACTCCGGCGACCTGTCGGACGGGAGCCTTCAACATGTGTCCATTTGTCCATCTGTCCCCACCCCGAACACGAGGGCAACCAGTGTCACTAGAAAGGCTTCAAGCAGCAATCCCCCGAGCGTTGCTGTCCGCTTATGGGATTAACATGATCTGATGCGTTACCCAAAAGGTTCTGTCTTGACAGCGCCCACGGCACTGCTGGCACAGGAAGCGAAGAGAGAGAGAGAGAGAGAGAGGGAGACTGAGTCAATTGGTCTATCTAGAACATGAAGACGAAGACGACTAAGAGAAGAAGAAGCAGAAGGGAACAGAACAGGGTCTATAAGGCCCTGAAGCACAAAGGAAAGGAACAAGGCCTAGACCTGGCAGGAAATCACCGGCCTGCTTCATGCAGGGCCAAAGAAGACGACAAACCCTGCAAACCCTCGAGGTCAAAGGGATCGAGTCATCAGTAAGCGCTCTTTCTCCAGGTTTAAAGGCTCAACTCTTGTGCGAGACGTGTTTGGCTGACAAGATGAACAAGGAACCGTTCCCAGATCACATAGATTCGATTTCAATCACACCGTCTGTACAGCGCTAGAGGACTTCAAATCAGTTTACCCCTCTCAGGGCAGGGGCTAAACTAGTACATATTGGGGATCTATCCGAAAATACTTGTCAATATAGCGTGTATCGTGCTTTACAGAATCGCCAGGCTGGATTCGCTCTATCGCTAATACAGACGACACTTCATTACGCCACCTCAAATATCATCGTCTGTATGGTACTGGAGATATCTAGCCGTTCAAAACAATGAGCTTGATAAGGACTTGTTATGCGATGGCGAATTAATTAATGCTCAATACAGACTGAACAGGCTACTGGTCAGCAAGACTTATTTTCAACCCTCCCCTGATATGGTTGTTAAAGGTTGAAGGGCCACCTGAGAAAGGGGTAAGGCGGTCGGCCTTCGTCTTGTCCTTTACGTCGTCCACTATCCAAACCTATCTCACTTATCTCACCATGCCCATGGCTTCTACAACATCTATTAGTGGCTCAAACTCTAGACTTCAAGATCACTGCACAGTTTCAACTCCCCAATGGTACGTCTTGAAGTAGCCATGCGAGGAGAATCGGTACTAATTGCATGTTCCTGATTTCTATAGAGCATTCATGAAACACACCGAGCCTGCCTACGGGATTTGCAGATGGCCAATCCTCGTCATGACCAGAATCGTATCGTGGCAGATAAGGTTGGATTACTCAGAGACGCATACAACTGGGTCCTCGACCATGCTGATTTCAAACGATGGCACTATGAGCAACGCAGTCAACTGCTATGGGTCAAGGGGATACTGGGAAGGGTAGAAATACCAGGAGTTAGCTGAAATTTAGACTAAATGATTATTTACTTGCATTTTGAATTTCCTACCTAGAATGGAAGAGTGACTGACGTCTAACTGTAGGGAATTGAACCGCCCAGACAACGGTTATACGTAACACATATTTGGGATTTTATTACTAGTGTCCTCTCAGAAGTACAATAGGAACCTTATTCTTGGTCGGAACCATTAGCTGGTCAACAGGGGTTGGGGAACTGTTCACCTGGGCCTTGCCAGAAGTGCGATAGGAGAGAAATACCACTTGTCGGACTGCTAACTAGGTCTTGGCGCGGCTCCTGTTGTTCAGGTTCTCTACTTTAGATATTTGTTTCTGCGCCCCGCATTTTCGTCCCATTCTTACGTTCAGGCCATGCGAACCATGTCAGATCCCCTGCATGCGTCAGATGTCAGGCGTAGAGTCGGCTGTGAGCGACAGTATTGCCGAGGAGAAAGCGGCTGGCTTTGTTTGCGATAGGATATCCGTCGCTGTCCCGCTACTTGGCGTCCCTGGAGGATCCAAACGGGGGACACTCGATACACTGATATCCTCTACATATATGGCTGTCCACGTTTAAATTTGAGATCTCTCACGATGCTGCCCAGAAATTAACTCGATTTTTGTCGATCTCAAGTCGATGACGCAGTACAATATAGACGTCAAGCGGACGGCACAGTGATTTTTCTCGCCGTAGAACTCTACTCAATTTCCAAGGGGAGCTAGCAGCCACTACCCAGCAAGGACATACTATCATTGTGATAGTGATCGCCAGTCGGAGGCCATTCATCAAGTCCATTAGATGTCTAGATGCAAAACCTTGCTTTGAGTTTCTCTCTTGTCGACGACGTGGGTCCATGAACCTGGCTTGAATTATCCGACCGTTTGATTGCCGTTTTACCCCAGGCCTCATTTGTAAGACATTGCCGTCTTCGAAAAGCCTCTGGCACAGAAAAAAGGGCTCCACCAGCTTCGCGCCGTGTGAGCCTCTGCTTTTCCGTCGGAGGCGAGGGATCATAATACATTCCAAGTCCCCTAATTCTGAAGCTTCCACAATTCTCGACAATGGGGGAAGTTGTGTCATTTTACGGCACAGCCCACCTAGAAACGGTGTACCCTTTCTGCTGGATTACAAGGGACTGAATACAGAACTCCAAGTCACAGTCTTGGAAGTAACTACGTCCTTTTTTCTGGGCACCAATCTAGAAATATACCCGGGATAAGAATGCTGACAGGTGCCGTATCTACGATTTACACCTTCCCCCTTGCCCAAGCACTCATAGTAACAGTCCAAAATCAGATGAAAACGGCGCAATGCGATCCTCGCCGTTTTCTCAGCAATCCGGGGACTGATGCACTTCGGCAAATGGCATTCCGTACTGCATTTCCAGTGACGGAACTCATATCAAAAGTTCAACCAGGTTTTATTCGGTGTTGTAACCGTATATTTTGCTTTTTCGTGATTAATTTCTTTTTCTTAGCTGTTTTCTTTCTTCCTAAAAGGAGCTGTAAGTGGTGTAAGGACAAAGGAGGCACGGAAGGGGTCCAGTATTATTCATCCTTACCAACTTCTTGTGGAAATATCGTCCAAATATATAGGGCTGAAAGGAGGGCTACGAAGAGTCTATCTCCGTCTGATAACTCGACTTTAGGCATTATGAGTCAGAATCCCCCCCAGTGGTCCGCTTATCCCCAGTGCCCTCATGGTATTCCGGGCGATGAGACAGCACTGTTCAACTACAGCACCATGTTCCCATACCATTTCATAGATGGCTTCCCGCTCATAGCAGCCACGCCTTCCGCCACGTCAACTCTGGATTGCCTCAGCCAGGCGACCGGGTGGATAATTCTAAGCTTTCAATTCCCCGAGCCACTAATGCTAGTATTTCCGCCAACAAGCCCGTGCCAGACACGCAAGTAACAATTGTCGCGCACAGAAGGCCAAATGCACCGGACGCGAACCGTGCCAGCGATGTGATGATACTGGCGTGAGATGTGTTTACGGCATTCGGAAAAGAGAGGAGTTCAATATCGCCATCACCGACACCATCCAGCAGCTAGAACCGCGGAGCTTCGTTAGGTTGCCCTGGTCGAGATGTTGAAACGGCCCTGGCGAGAGCCGACGCGGGAGCCATGCAAATTCCCTCCACCCGACTTTGCGCTTATTCTAGGTCTTCTCGTTTACCCTGGCTTACGCTGGCCCCGCTGCTCATACGTGGCCGTGCTTTCAAAGCTTAGCCCGATATTGCTACCGCTGTAGAACCAGTGAGCTGTCAGTGATTCTTTGTATCCGGTCCAGAGAGCAGCTCTTTCAGCGTGATACCACCCTCTCCGATCAAGCGAGAACGGCTAGTCGGCGCGGTGTCCGAGGCCGAGTTCATTCAGGCACATATCCACCGGGATCTCCGGGAGGGGCTAGCTGAAGAGGTAGAACAGGGACTACTGATCACCATCCAGAAGCATGCTACTGAAGTATCGCCATGGTTAGAGCTCATGCAGTGGCCGAAATACCTTCAAGGCCACAGCTTTTCTGAAGTAGCAAGTCTGGGTATCCTACCTGATTCTTCTTGCAAGCCACTGCTTGTCGTGTTCGTGCAGAGTATGGAACGATTACTCAAACGTGCATATCATACCATCCAGGACCTGCAAATTAACGAGTCTGACCAAATCCGAATCGACAGCTTTGTCTCGCGTCCGCGCATTTGGGAATGGCCGATCATAGTGGATCTAAAACCATCCACATACACCCGGTACCAGCAGGTATGACAACGACTGATTTGTTTCGCCTACCGCAGTAGTCGGCCAGATCGGGAGATCATCCTGCGCCACCAGGTAATGACCATTCAACTTCCCAAATTAGACCAGATGGAGGATCTTGGTATGCAACCACTGGCAGAGCCATCACCAGCAGTCCAGCATCCAACTTGGCGCAACGTCTCCGCGAGGCCAATCATCAATTATCCGTCGGGTATTTACTCGGAAATTTTATCTAACACCCGACAAGTGCCTGGCTTCGCGCATGCAAGAGTTATTTGATTTTGTACGAAAGTCGGTGAGATAGCTCGCTAGATATCAACGTAAGATCAGCGGCGTTATTTGATCCCTATGAGTCTATTCTCTCTTACGCGCGGTCTCAAGATGAAGTTCTGCGGCCTCGAGCTTGACTTCGATGCCTAATATTCGGCTACCTCCTTTTCTAATCAGTCACTGAGGCCTGTGGATTGAACAGTTGCCGCGTTTCGTCCAATTCAACTACTAGGTCCCATCGTGCACGTTGAATCTGGTCATTTCCTTGCCCTGCTAGTGTCATGGCAGATTCCCGCAAGGACAGCGACATGTATTGCTTTAGTAGAGCGCCAACCGCTTCATCTCCCGCTTATCCCACCACCTCTAATAAAACTCAAAATACGGCGGATAGTTCTTCTGGGGCTGACTCGGACAATGGCTCCATCCGGCTTGATCGTTCCTGCCACTCGTGCGAATTGAAAAGAAAGGAGGCCCTTGCTGTTTCGTACGTAAATGAGTCAACTCACTCCTGCTTTGGTCGGATTTTTTAAGACTGACGGTGCCTCAAGGTGTGAGTTCTGCAGACTGAGAAAGGTCAAATGTGGTACGTCCTAGCGACCGTTGCGAAAAGTCGATGAAGCTAACAAATCTTAATTAGATAGAGTGCGACCAACCTGCGGCTGGTGCTTCCGCAATGGTAAGCTATGTGAGTATAAGGCACGAAAAAAGCCCGGTCTGAGGGCGAATTATGGAAAAGAGTTAGAACAACGGCTAGGTAAGGGTGCACTCCATGACTATGGGTTCAAAGTCTTATTTCGCTTCAGATAGACTAGAAGAAGTTGTCATGGGGCAAGCTAGACTGATCGAAATGTATATCCTACAAAGACATCTCTCTACCAGCAACGGGATGTCGCAGTCTGGGCTGCCCTCCTGCAGCGCCTCGTCGAAATCTTCAGAAGTCAATAGCATGAGGCCGGGAACTTATCCCTATTTCAGAGACGCGTCTCCTTGGGTGACGCTGTCTCCTTGTTATGCAGATACGTCAATCTCCACCTCCCCGCTTCCACTGGCTGACCAGATGGTACCGAAGAATCTGCAAATTGGCGAACGGCAGTCGTCAGTGAGCACATTGGCCCCAACACCAAACACGAACTTCAACGACTACATCGTTGATGAATTATCGCTCACCACCCTAGTCAATCTCTTTGCTGATTGATATTCATTCACTGTGGATCCAAATCTTTATCTTATATTATATGAATGACCCTGTACTCAATCTCGCGTGCCCTCTATAGATGAGACTGCGTTCAAGCCCATTCTCTCGCCAAATTTGATTAATTTACAGAGTTCATTTTGTTCGAATGCGCCACGGGAACATCTATTGCTACTTTTGAAGATAGACAATCAATTTCATATAATCAGTGCCCAGAGGGTCATGCAGTATTCATCATAAATTTTCATAGTTGTCAACAAATGGATACATCTATTACTTCCCAATTTATTGCACAGACGAGGTACAAACATGACTTGAAGACGTAATAGTTAGTTTTCACATATATACCAGGTCTGATTTACGGTTAGAGAAGAAAAAATACCCCATCGTATAAGGCCCCGGTGGAAGGACCATGGCCACCTGCAACACGCAAGTCGAATTTGAAGGCCGCATAAATGGGCGTTCCTTGCGAAGGCGCCACTACAGGCACTGATCTTTTCGTTACCGAGGGTCATCCCTGGGAGGGTCAGGCTGCATATACTGAATGCTATCGCAGCTTAGAAATCGCATGACAGTGAAGTTATAATGTCCATGATCTACAATGGTGATGCGTGGGCCTCAAGAGCCATCTAGGCCAGTTAGTGCTTCGAATTGCGAGGAATTGCGTGTCACTTCTCAATTCTTGTGCCGCATGCGGTCGTGCCCTTTGGTATGTAGCAATCTAAAAACCAAATGCAGGACATCTGGTTGTTTGATCGGGCGAAATGGTTGAATTTAAAGCGATCTTTCATTTGCGCAGATTGCCCTGGTCCCCGCTCCGATTTTAGATACCTCGCACGTTCCCTCAGACTTGAAGGTGACGCCACCTCTATCACGGTTATATTGAGCGGTCGAGATTGTTCCGATATCAACTAGCATTGAAGACTCTGGCATTGTCCATGTCCATTTGGCTCTATGGAAATATGGAGGAAGTGCTGCACATAGCATCATACCCGTTGCGCCTCCTTCGGAATAGGCCATACTGGAGTTCCTGTGACTTGTTAGGTTTTCATATCAATGCATATTTCCCATCGATCCAACCCTCGCAGCTGAAACACACACAAGCATTGTATTTTGTAAGTTGTCATCAACTCTTTGGTTGTCTTGACACCATCTTGTCAATATAAACCAGTAGTGTCCAAATACTATTCCTCGATATGACTCATTGACGTACATATCCCCTCTGCTTAACTTTGGCCTAGGAAGGGAGGATACTCTGCCAGCTGGTCAATGATTCCGTATAAATTGTATTTGATGATTTGTCGAAAACCTTATTAAATTGTCATCTAAATCTCACATGGAACATATTTAGAAATATTAGTTTAATATGCAAGTCCACGAGCCAACGGTGTCCACCGATACAATGAAAGCAGCTCTCTGCGTCGTGCTTTGCGTTCATCCCATGAGGAAGCTCCGGCCTGCTGAGCATCATACAGCATAGATCTGAACACTTTGCGGAAGGTTTTCTATTACCAGTAAGATTATTGCGTGGAGTGTTGGAGTGTTTGAAGCTATAGAGGTCTTACCTGAAAGGTCGTATCTAATGTGACAACACTCACCTCATGCGCGCGAATAATAGTCTCACACACTTCCTCGACTGATCGATTTGGACCAAGCTCTGGCATTCGATCCATGAAAAGAATGAGAATAAACTTCCCTGGAGAAGATAGATGCCGAATAGGTAAGGCATAAAGGTCATCTCCGGGTCCATAGAGAGGATTTGGGAGACCATACTGGTCGCACTAAGGGCATGCGAGGCACATATCAAGAAGTTTTCCGACGTAATCCAATCGTCGTTATCTTCCATCATCGAGATCGGGTCCCATTTACCGCGCAGCAGGATATAAAAGACGTGTAATAAATAGGTGCTGTAGATTTTTACCAACGGCAGGTTGGGGTCCTTGTTTGCAGCATGTGACGGCGAACCGAAGGACTCCACGCCGCCGGACGAGCCTTCACTAGGTTGTTGAGCAAATAGAGGGTCGGTTGCATGATTGGAGCAAAAGGGACCGGTCTGGCCTTCCAAGTCGAGAAGCTCTTGTTCACGTTGGGAAATCATGACCTCGATTCGGCGAATTGCATCAAGAGAAATAAACTGCCCAAGAGTGGGATGGCCGCGGAGATGATGCAAGTCGATGATATGCCCTAGTACCCTAGCCAGTGGTAAGAAATATTCAAAAAAGCCAGTTCCAGAGATTTGTGTTGGGGGGCCTAATGGACAGGCATGGATACTATTCAGATCTGCCGTATCGAGTGACTGCCATAATCCCTCGGGCAACGGGGTCCGCACACAGAAGGTACCCTCGGGAAGACTCAGTCGCATGTTGAAGGATAGAGCTAAATGTCGATCTAAGCAGTAGATAAGCCAAAATAGACGACGTCTCTCTTCTTTGCTGACAAGCCATCTCCGGAATGTGGAGTCGCCGTTGTAAAGCCCGCGAAATACAGGACCCAGGTCAATGTCCTGATCTTCCACACTGAGCCCACTGGCTCGAACAAGCCGCATTAACTTATCGTGCCACTTGAGGGTGTCAGCTTTATAATTTCCGCCAGATATGACAACGGTCAGTATAGCAACGGCAAGAATAATATCCGTTGATCCGAGTTGTCGTGGTAATATTGCTTTGCTTGTCGTCTGCCGATCCGGAGCTGAGTGAGATTGCGTTGGGGAGTTGCCGCTAGGGTGTGAATGGAATTGCCACCCATCTAGAAGAATTCAGCACTATTAATAAAATATCCATCGAGCGAAGAACGGCTTGACAGCCTACCTGATGTGCGAAAATAATTGTCTGGGTCTTCAGCCTGCAATAAGTCCAATGACAGACGGTAAAGATCCACACTCATTCGTTCACGCGCCCCCGGAGTGTCGAAAATCTTCAGGTCAGCAGTCTGTGTGACACAGTAAAGAATAACTGTGAGCAAGGCGGGAGAGGTTGGTCGGGGATCTGTAGGGTGCAGGACGTATGATGGATGTAAAACATGCGCTAGCATATATGGGGACGCGGATTTGAATAAGGATTTATCCTCTTGGTTGAAATAAATCTCTAGCATTTCAGAAGCATCTTCGGCAGAGAGAATGCCATACAGAGAAGGGACCAGCGTCTCAAGGCAGGGGTATGGCTGCCTCATTGAAACATCGTCGGCAAAAGCGTCCGAGACACTAAAAATGGCTTCTGGCAGGCTGGGCAAGGCGGGTTGGTGTTCTAGGGAATACTTTGAGACAGATGACGTTAGCAGCTTTTAAAGGTCTTCCCAGGCGAAAACTATCTAACTGATATTTGCAAATAGAAACTTACTCGATCAGGAGTCAGGGCCGTCTGGATTGCATCTGTTCGTGCGCTGTTCAGTGTGTTCTGAAAATACCCTTCCAAAACGTCGTTTTGAGCGGGGAAGGGTGGATTGGTGATCCTGGTCCCAAATGTTGCTGTGGCGGTTGGATTCGTGACATGTGTCACGCCTTTTCTACTGGCTTCCATTCCAAGGATATGGCCTGCAGGTGGTGACATGCCATGAGAGCCGTCTGGTAGTGGCGTATTACTCGAGACCATTGTATATGGAGGAGTTGCAGCCAAATTCTGTGGTGAGCCGCATCCAGATAAGGATGTTTCATCCCGTCGTAGGTTTCGACTTGAATCTGACCGGGGGCGACGGCCACGTTTCCGGACAACCTTGGTGTAATGGCAAGACACACTGCGCTCTACTTATTGTAGTTAGAAGGATCAAAGAAAGCACTGTGCTGATAATGATCTTGATTTTCAGCATACCTGCGCATCGATGACTTCACGCAGAGTGATTAGCATAGGCATCGGCTAAATTACCAGGAGCACTTACCACGGTCGCTCACCGTCACAACGTTGTTTAGAGTGAGCGCATGGGTCGCATGCTCGCAGCACACGCGGTTGACTTCGATGAGCCATGTGGTTGTTTGAAATATTAGTCGCACGAATGGGCAAAGGGTCGAACTTAAAAAGGGCGGGCGCGGAGAAAGGAATGCGGGGAGAACTGGTGGGGACCTTCCCGGGATCAGTGACCTGACTGCCTTATCCGGGAGCTCTCGACTTCCATGGCGCAGCCACCGGCAAGACTAGGAAAATTGTCTAGTGAATTTTGACTCTCGCCGAGCGCCGAATATGGCGTGTGGCAAAGGTAGGGTTTCTATATCCAAATTGGAACTTAAGGATGGGTGGAGGAAAAGACCGACCAAATTTCCCGTGTGGCCAAACATATATCCAGATTCTTTAAATATTTTCCATTTAGAGTAAAAATTCTACATATGGTATGCAGGAGTCGCTCTATTGATCTATACTGGGCAAAATCACAGTGCGGCGGCCACTGGTCTTTTGGCGGCCACATCCCATCCGTCGCCTGGACTGGGGAAACAAAAGTCGTACCATGACCCCAAAATTTCCCGCACGGCAGCCTGGAGATCTTCCTCCCCTTCCAGCTTGCTCGACCCGAAGTCTGTGGATGGGCCGGCATCTACCGTCCAGAGCCATCGCGGTTCATTAGATATTCGAAGGACCTGTCGAGCAGTTGCAAGATTGTCCTCCAACTCTGCAATGGAAGTGACTCCCATGATGGTGGTGACACGGAGATCGGTAGTTGATTCGGACTGAGCACGACGGATGGAATGCCGTAATGCCAATGCTGCTAACGACTCCCCTTGCCCGGCAACATACTCAGCTGCCTCTTTTGCCGCAAGTCGCAAGCCTGGAGGCGCAGGATGAAAGTCCCCCAGGTCCCCAACTGGCACACCGTTGGCTCGAAGGAGGCCAATGGCCAGCGGGCTTGAGTTGCAAACACAGGAAACTCCAGCTTCCCGAAGCGCTGCTAGACCTTCTCTAGCTAAGCGATCATTTTGTAAAGTCATTTGCGCCCAGTTTTGCACGATGTCAAGCGGCCTGGAATACTCTTCACGGACACGGCGTGCGATGCGGGTAAGAACGTCGATACAATATCCCGAGATTCCAACATACTTGATACGGCCCTCGCGGACCATATCTAGTAGGACCCCAACAGCTTGCAGAACCTCTTCGTCGGGGACAAATTCAACATCGTGGCAAAAGACGACATCCAGGTAACTGGTACGTAACCGTTGAAGTGAGCGCAGGACTGATTGTCGCACCCAGGCTGGCGAGTAATCAAACTGAGTCGCCGTGATGCGGCCGACCTTTGTCATCAACAGATATTGGTCTCGAGAGTAATGAAGAGCGAAATCAGGATGTGAAAGCGCTTCACCAAGAAGTAACTCGGATGGATGATAGTAAGCGGAGGTGTCGATGGCTCGCAAACCCAGCTGGAACGCGCGTTTTAACACTTCCAATGCTTGAGCCGAATTGGGATTCCGGAATACTTGATAACTAAACCCCGCCCCTCCTAGAATAAGTGGGGGTAGCAGTCGCGACAGGGGCGTCGAAGCCTCCGACAAATTCATTTTGAGGCCGTGGATGACTTTTCTGGTTCAGTTACTTAGAATATTTGCGAGTCCTCCGGTTTGTCAATTTATTCAAAGGAAGCAACAACAATCTTCCTGGAGAATCACGGCCATTCGCCCGAACACTGACCACAAAAGAATTTTACCCGCAAGCAAGCCGACGTATTGTGTAAAGTTGAATAGACTTTCTGTCACGAAAATGCAAATATCCGACAAGAATATGATCTTTGGGGTTTTTTGGCAGCTCTCGTCCTGTCCGTTGCACGTATTGCCATTGCCTGGTTGTAAATACCCGACGGAAAAATGACTAATAGAGACTTTTTGGTGGCTTCAGTCTTTTCCGGTGCGCGCCTGGCTTCGCTTGCCTGTGAATATGTGAATACCCGATTCCGGTGTATTTCACAGCCAGATATACGACCACTTTCGTCGACAATATGAGCACGACATAACTACAGGGTCGCATCTGCTTGATTTAACTCGATTGGATACTCAATTCACCATGACTTCAATTACTGGCTTCACTTCTCATGATGTTCGATTTCCAGTAAGTACACAGGTTCTAATATCGTGGCATTCGTGGAACTAACCTAAGTAGACTTCCTTAGACCAAGTTGGTTCAGATGGAATGAATACAGGCCCCGATTATTCGGCCGCGTACTGTATTTTGCAGACAGACTCCGAGCATAGCGGCCACGGAATGGTCAGTCCCAGAAATTCCCTAATGACGCCTGAAGAAATCTCTAATTGCTATCGCAGACTTTCACGATTGGTCGAGGAAATGACCTCGTATGCAAGGCGATAGATCTCATTGCGCCGTTGATCGTCCATCGGACGCTGGAGGAGCTGGTGCGAGACTGGGCACAGACATGGCGCTATCTCACATCGGACTCGCAGCTGCGATGGATAGGACCCGAGAAAGGGGTGATCCATATGGCTCTGGGTGCAGTCGTCAATGCCATTTGGGATCTGTGGGGCAAAGCTGAGCGGAAGCCAGTGTGGAAGCTTGTGGCCGATATGACTCCAGAGGAGGTAGTACGGTGTATCGACTTCCGCTATCTCACTGATGCAATCACGCCTGAAGAGGCCATTCAGATGCTTCGTGAAACGCAGTCTGGAAAGGCAGAGCGCATGGCAGAAGTGATGGACAACCGTGCCGTATCCGCTTACACCACGAGCGCCGGCTGGCTTGGATATAGTAAGGACAAGATGCGAGGACTGTTGCTGAAGAACTTGGCCGAAGGCTTCAAGCATTTCAAACTCAAGGTCGGAGGATCAGTCGAGGAAGACCGAGAGCGACTTCAGTTGGCCCGAGAGGTGATAGGTTACGATAAAGGAAATGTGCTGATGATTGATGCCAACCAAGTTTGGTCCGTACCTGAAGCTATCAGTTATGTGAGTGCCCTGGCCGAGTTCCAGCCGTGGTTTATCGAGGAGCCTACATCGCCTGATGATATCCTGGGCCATGCCGCGATTAGGAAGGCACTGCGGGGCACGGTGGGAGTTGCGACTGGAGAGATGGTGCAGAACCGTATAGTGTTCAAACAGTTGCTACAGGCTGGTGCGGTTGACGTCTTACAACCGGATGCCTGTCGCGTTGGCGGCGTGAACGAAGTCTTGGCCATCCTATTGCTAGCTCGGAAGTTCAAGGTTCCGATTGTGCCCCACTCAGGAGGCGTTGGTCTTCCTGAATACACATCGCATTTAAGCACAATCGATTATTTGGTGGTAAGCGGGCAGAAGAGCATCTTGGAATATGTGGATCACCTCCATGAACACTTCCTTGAGCCTACTCAGACAGCAGATGGGTACTATGTCACACCAAAGGCGCCAGGGTACAGTGTGGAGATGAAAACAGAGACTTTGGAGAGATATAGCTTCCCTGGGGGGCCGCAGAGTTGGTGGAGAAGCGATGAAGCCAAAAGCATCCTCAACGGAGACAGGACGTTGGCCCCATTTTAGCACGTTGCACCGTCACGGAATTGGAAGAATTACTGTGCTCCAGGCTGCCTAGAATACATTTTTCCTCTGGTGTATCTTTTCTTCAACAATATGGTACCAAAATTTTAAACACTGGGACACCCTTTAGAGTAATAAATGACTCTAGTGATTAGTAAATGATCCAACCTCAGCACCGCAATGCAAGTAACCCTGTTGGTACAGATTTACCGCCGAGGAGGTTCAGTTACACTTATTGTTTTCGCTCTTGTGTCCTGGGGACATCATCATGGTCCAAATGTGAAGCAGGAGAGTTCAGATCGGTTCTAGAAATGGACAGTTGACTTCCCAGGCTGAACCAAGGTGCAGACTGCGAAGTAACGGCACATCTAATTCTTTCGAGAGTTTGGTGAAATTTCTACGTATGTCTCCCCTTATGCGGCGTCTTTCCTAGACGCTTAAAAACTCTGAACTTTTCTGAAGGTCCACTGTTGTAACGCCGTGCGATTATATGATGTGGTTGTTGCAGTAAGAGGTTGTACCTTCGGGCGAATACACGAAGCATTATTGAGGGGCAGATGGAGAATATTACTAGACGCTAGTTTTGACCCATATTCTGTATCCATAGGTAAACCGCAGGCATATAGAACGATAGCATCACCCACAGAGAAATGTTGGTCATGTGTTCCCTTGCCCAAAAACGACCCTATTGGTGTCTTGGCCTTTCTTATACCAACCATTAATGTAGCAAATCTTCCCCTAACGCTCCAAATCGCATACCTGTGCGCGTAGTGTCGCTTTCCGTGACCTCCAGCGTCCTTACACTGTGCTAATGTCACGTCGCTCCAAACTCTTCTTCACAGGATTTGGAGCAGAGAAGACCTCTTCCAGCACTTCAAGGGTTCGCTCTTTTGTCTCCGGGAACCAGAAGTCGATTACGACCATTTCAATAAGGTCCCACGCAATAAACACAGCGTAGAAGTAATATTTGAGCTTCTCAAACGCAGGTCCAGAGCTGCGTTGAATAACCGCACCGCTGATGTTAGACAATAAATTTCTAACTGCAATGCCCTTGGCAAAGGTATTGGTCGTCAGCGTCTCGGCGATATACATACTTTGCAGCGGCGTCCAACCAAAAGAAAACACAATGCCAAAGAGGTAGATGAAAGCAACTGAGGTATTAGCAGCGCTGGAGTGAGCAGGATCTTCGTAGGACAACTTGGAAGTCCCCAAAATGATGGCAAATGCAACAGAGCAGAACAGAAGCGAGTAAATCATTAGTGGCAGACGGCCGATACAGTCCGTGACACAGATGTTATCAAACAGAGAATAGGACTAATGCCGTTGAGTAAAAGCTGTGTTTTGACAGATCCAATTCCTGCACTTTCGACCATCCCCGGGAGATATTAGCTGGTCAGACTGATTCCGGAAATTTGATCGAAACATGCCAAGCCGGCTACACAAATAAACCGGCGACGAATGGAGTGGGTATTGAGCAACTCGCGATAGTCCCACCATTTTCGGCTGGAGTCTGAATCACCGACAGTTACCTGATGCCCCATCTCCTTGACTTTGAAGGATGACAATTGGGTGCGAAGCATCGCCTTCTCCATGATAGCGCGCGATAACTCGGATAGCCTCTTCTGTGCGGTCCTGCGCCATGGGCTAACGAGGAGATTCTGGCAAGAATCAAATACCAATTACGACAATCACAGACGAGATAAGCTGGCACCAAATTGGAATTCGGAACCGTACGGCTGAGAGATACTTTGGCAGCCGTAGGCGACCTAACTAGTAACGATAGAGCCGATGTACCAGGTGCAGTTGTACAACGCAGTCAAGGTTCCGCGCCACGCTGGATGAGCCATTTCAGCAAGATAGTAGGGAGCACTGACACAGCAAAAGCTGACTCCAAAACCGAGGATAAATTGACCCGCAAGGAACTTTCGATGGGATGTGGCAGGTGCTTGGATGCAAGTGCCGATGATGATAATGGCGGCCCTAGTGAACATGCCCTTGCGGCGCCCGGAGATATCGGTGACCGGACCAGAGAGAATCACCGCAGGAATAGAGCCAATGTTATAGATAGCAAATACCAATCCAGTGCTTGATAACGCAGTTTTCCTGTAGGCAATTGCTCTGATTAGAAGATGCAGCAGCTTCACTCACTGTGGGTCGAGACTTACATGTGGAAAAAGTCTCGGTACGTCGTCGTCGCATTTAATCCGCCCATCAGTGATCCATCGTAGCCATTCAAGCATCCACAGAGATATGTGATCATCAGGCAGCCGTACAGCCGGAACATGCTGGCGGTCCACGGACTGCACTTTGTCGATTCTACCGCCTCAGCCAGCTGGATGGCATCGCTGGTTTGCTGCAGATCTTTCTCATTGCACTCGACTCCATCCCTACCCCCTTCAAACCGCACGAGCGTTGGTCTAGGCTCAGTGGTCATTTTGGAAGAGACTGGAAATTTCACGCTATGCCCGTTTCGAAATTTGAGTGCAGAGCTCGAATTTTTCAAGGAAAACCGGCGGTGCATCACGATATTTATGGATTTTTCGACGGCAAGCTCATGAAAAATCCCGTCTCACATTCAGGAACGTGCTGATAATCGGATGTCGAATAGAGTTCAGCCTGCGCTATCTTCCTGACAGAACAGTAGCTTGAATATTCGGGTTGACACCAAGTTCAGGCTAGACATTACTTCGATCTTTTTCGGAAGCCATTGGCCATAATTTTCCAGAATCAATGTCGGCTACAGGCTCTCTTAGTTGTGATTTTCAGGGGGTGTCCCCTGTCGTCTTAGTTCAAACACCCCAAGGTCGTTCACCATTTTTCAGCAGGCCCAAGGAATCGGTCGGTAGGCGAGGGCTGAATGATCTGGCTCCGCTAGTGTACCGCTGCATATTGACTTTCTTTTGATGGACGAGTTGAGGGGAGATCTCCGATTGATCTCATTTCCGGGCGATCGCTTGCAACCACCAGCTCTCGCAGCGTACAACTATACGAGATGTCCGGCATAGTTGGGTTCTGCTCCGGTCAGCCGTCACCACAAACAGACAAGCGCACAGACCAGGCAAGATCTCTTGAGTCTCTCTGAACGTGTTCGGCTCCTCTACCCCCAGGAACAGCTTCTCCAGCAGCAGCCTCCCCCAGAATCCACCCATCTACCAGCCATGATTGTCAATGTACCGTACAGAGGGCCCCACTGCCCAAACGTGGCTTTCTGGATAAGTGTGACCCCCACACAATTAATTCTTTCAGATCAGTGCCAATGACATGCTGCTCGTGATCGGTGTTATTTCTGCCCTCGAGGATACTGGGCCCGAAGCTGGAGATACAAGATGAGCTTACTACGAAGGATACACTTCTAACTCGCCATATCTTTAGTAAGGTAGGTCGACATTTGTTTCTTAGCCTCCTATCTGGAGCGAGCATGCATCCTGTCTTTCGACCTATGCTCTATGCTTTCAAAAGTCCCCGATGGTGGTGCCTGGTATGGAATACACTCTACAATTATGTAGAACTTCAAGCTCCGTAAAGACACGATGAGAAGCAAGCATGACGTGTGTTCCTGCCCCCAATCAAGGAAGAGTCGGTTGTTTGAGATATTTAAGCCGTTACCCACGACTATACCTTTTGAAGGAGTAGAATCTTCCATTCTCCGTCAAGATAGGAGTTTACATACACTCCAACACGTCCAGCTCCGAAACCAGAGCCAATGACCGGGAAAACCTGCGTATCTTTCGGCGGAACAAGATCGTTCCTCAAGCATTTCCTCAAGCATGTAGTTGTTGCCGATGGCCGTTGGGGCGTCGATTATACGCCATCCTCTCTTGTAGCGCCCGCAATTAACAGCGACAGCGAGGGGAACGGAAACTCTCCTGCCGACCTCACCGATAAGACAAGCATAACAGTTCCAGGCCATTGGCAGCCGGCAGCTCCAGGGTTTGGTCGCCAAATACACGAATACCATCTCCGCTTTTGCTTGCGGCCCGCCGCATATTAGTGATTTGCACGACTAGTGCAATGATCGAAATCGAGACCAGACGAGGAGTCAGAAATGCGGGGAGAAGCTGTGGAGACTCACTGTGAGACTGAAGCGTTCGCAGCTGGGGCAACTGGGCGGAGCTTCCAGAACCATTAGCCCGGTACTGGTTGTACAAGTTTGAACGTTAAACACGTATTGAAAACCGCAGATTCCCACTTTTAGGTATCGAACCAGACCATGTCAAGAGTTAGCAGAAATTAAATTTGTAGACGAAGCTAAATAGCATCCTCACTCCCAAAATTTTCCTGAGAGTAGTGTTCTTTCTTCTTCTCTCCTAGGCTGAAGTCCCATTTCGCCATACATCTCTTCCAGTATTTTCTCTCTCCAAAAATTGAGGGAATTGAACAGAATTGAAGCCCTTAAGTTCATGACGGGAGAATCGCCGCGGTCTGAGTTCTGATTCCGATGCGGGTAAATTAGACCTCAACATTGATTTCGTAGGACTCTATCGGATAATAACGATAACAACGATTTAACGAATTTATTGACATCGGTCACACCGATGCATACAATTTAGCCGAACGGAATATTTCAGTACGGATTATTATTCAGTACGCACGCCAATGCTTCAGTGGCTTCAGCATGTGGAATGTGAAGAGTGCATCGAGTCGCAAATTGAGCGGAACGATCCTTCAGCGGCTCTTTCGTCCCCGACGATATATTTCTCCGGGTATTGGCCCGATGTTCGCCTATCAAAGCGTAGAGCGTTCGGAGGCTGATTTAACTTTCGAGGGAAGAGTAGCGGTAATATATACTATCACTCCATTGGTAGTGAGTTCTTCCTGAGTATATTACATAATCCTGATCCCCCGTTATCCATTTGTGGGGAGAAATGATATGCGCCAATCGGCGAATTTGTGAAGAAATATTGGCCAAGTCAAAACATGGAGCAGGATACAGAGGACCCCACAGCTATCTTCCTGTTCGAACCAAGCGAGGACGCAGGCTAATACTACTTCTGTAGCACCCGTTGCGGGCCACCAATCCCGTACGAGTGAACGGGGCCGGTTTTGTTTACCCCGCGTGATTCATCTCACTGGTGCTAAGCCGCGTGGGTCTCGTTGTGTAATCCGCGCATGGCGCATATGACCATTCAGAACCTCACTAGAGTTAATCCTGACGTTTGTAATTTCTATGAGATATCGGCGTCAGCGAAACACTCCTTCCAAAAAATATAAATACCCCTGCCATTTCTCATATCTGAAAGACTTGGGATCCATCCATTCTTCTGGACGCATCTTTCGTTACCTTCTTACCTTGTCTGCGTGCACTAGTCCCCGGAGCAAATATGTGCGCCTTCTGGAAAAAGCGTACCTTTAGGGTGCGCGATAACAACAGAACGCCTGCGGCAGAATTGACACTCCGACAATCGTTGTATCCGATTTGCCTCGTTACCATCCTCTTTTTCCTCTGGGGCTTTTCGTATGGCCTGCTCGATACCTTGAACAAGCATTTCCAGAATACGCTCGGAATTTCCAAAGCGCGTTCCTCGGGTTTACAGGCTGCTTACTTTGGGTGAGTCACATGACATCCATGGAAATAAAGTTGTGCTGACTAGACCTAGCGCTTATCCCTTAGCGTCGCTTGGGCACGCAGCCTGGATCCTTCGCCGCTATGGCTATCGGGCGGTTTTTATCTGGGGTCTGTTCCTTTATGGTAAGCGTTGTTAATGGCAAGTAAAGAAGCAGAGCTAACGTCGACATAAAAGGAGTGGGTGCTCTCCTTGCTATTCCCGCAATCAAAGCGCATTCCTTTGGAGGCTTTTGTGCGTGCATCTTTATCATCGGAAACGGACTCGGTTCGTTGGAGACGGCAGCAAATCCATATATCGCCGGTAGGTGCATGTGATAGCAGAGAGATAATTTTTTGAAACTTCCACTGACTTTGAATTTAGTCTGTGGGCCTCCTAGGCATTCTGAGATCCGCATCAACATTTCTCAGGCATTCAACGGTGTCGGATCTGTGGTAGCGCCGGTTCTCGGATCCTACGTCCTTTTCGACTTCGACGACCAGCGGGCTCTACAGAATGTTCAGTGGATCTATACAGCCATTGCAATCTTTGTCTTCGGCCTCGGTCTGATTTTCTTCGTTTCTACAATTCCTGAAATTACGGACGCGGATATGGAGTATCAGTCTCGACAGACCAATGATGGAGAAAACGATATGCCCCTCAGAAAGCATTATCGTCTCTTCCATGCAGCATTTGCGCAGTTTTGCTACTGTGGCTCGCAAGTCGCCATTGCGGGGTGAGCCTCTACCTGATAAGAGAGATCAATAAGCAGAGTCATAAGATTGCTAATCGTTCTCAAGATACTTTATTAACTATGTGACTGAGACACGCCCTGGCACAGATTCCAGCCTTGGCAGTAAATTCCTCGCTGGTGCCCAGGCCGCTTTCGCTGTTGGCCGGTTTTTTGGAGTGTTCCTAATGCATTTCTTCAGACCCCGTTGGATCTACGGGATTTTCATGACTATGTGCATTGTTTTTCTCGCCCCGTCCATCACCCAAAAAGGGAACACGGGTATGTCAATGCTGTATATCACACTATTCTTCGAGTCGATCTGTTTCCCAACCATTGTTGCTCTTGGCATGCGTGGACTGGGCCGTCATACGAAAAGAGGCTCAGGATTCATCATTGGTGGAGTTATAGGAGGCGCTTGTGTTCCGCCGCTGCTAGGAGCAACAGCAGACCTCCACAGCACGGCGTTTGCTATGGTTGTCCCCCTCTGCTTTTTTGTTGTATCTTGGTCGTATCCTCTATGCGTCAACTTCGTGCCGTCGTATCGCGATTGCGTCGATGCTTACACCACCACCGACGTTGGCGTCCAACCGCACGAAAGCAATGTTGACGAAGAGAAAACTAGTAAGCCAGTGGTACAACTGACAGAAGAACTGTAGATGGAAGTTGCTATGAAGAGACATTTGGGGGGACCTAAAGTCATTGACTTTCACACTCTAGTGTACTCCTTAGGCCATTCAATCCATCAATCAATCGACACTATGAACCTGTTGCAGCCTAACTAGTGGCGTAAGGGCTATGCAGGCGCTCCTTCCGGCGGAAGCAAGAGTGATCCGAACGCCAGCCCACACGCATGAAACAGTAAATACATAGGAAAACGGCGTATTGCCTAGTAAAAAAGCCCAAAAAAAGTACCGAAACGCCCTGCAAGCCCTCAGTCCCGCGATATATCTCTCAATCCGCCCTCACATTGGCCTGCCGCTTCCTCTGCACCTCCATCCCCGGTATCCCTCCTGCTTCGTTCTCGATTGGTGGCGTTCGTCGTCGACTGGCGTGTTGACTTGTTGGATGTATTCTTCCACGACCTCTTGGTTAGCCGTGGGCTTGGCGTTCCTCCTACCCAGCGTCTTCACCCCCTGTGCCGTCGCCAGATCATCCTGGCGGATCGTTTCCTTCGCCCTGCGGGGGCTCTGGCTCGATTTCGACGTGCCGGAACTGTCCCACAAGGCCTGTTTGAAGCATGAATTTCCTGCGAGTGTGATACGATTGCATCGTAATCCGTCGAATCCCCCGATCGGTCATCCGGATCTTGCCAAGGAAGGTCTGCCTCAAATCAGCGTACACAGGCACTGCATTAAGATATGTCTCAGGGTTTGAGACCCTTCTCCACAGTAACACTTATCTGATTCGATTGCCTTGGTTTTGAACAGAAAGTGATTCAGTGCGATCCGTATCGACCGCATCTGAATCAACACGGAGGTGTAGGGCTTCGAAAGAGATTCGAACAGCCGAAGCACCTTCTTGTCTGGAGCTTTGACCAACCGCTGGTTCGGTTTGCCAGTTCGCTCCTTTGCCCACTCTTGTGCCCATCTCTCTTTGATGCGCGGCCGCACTCGACGCTTCGCGGTCGCTGCTAGAAGGACTCGACCCGCGGTCGTCACCGACCACGCAAGTTTGCAATACCTGCAGACTACTACGGCCTACAGCAAACGTTTGGCTCGCTGGGTCGATGAGTTTCAAGAGTATGATCTGAAGATTCAGTATCGGAAGGGATCGGACGGAGTAGCCCCGGATACGCTGAGCAGGAGGCCAGTTTCGTTGGAGATGGCCCTGCCAACGTATCCTAATCCCGGCCGATTTGGGACGTTACTCTTGCCGCAACTCTGACAGAATCGCTAACTGTCGGTAAAGTCCCCGAAAATTAATAGTTGGAAGCGACCGTGCGATTCCTCGACACAGGGGAGTTGCCATCTCGTAAATCTGTTGCTAAGGCTGTCTAACGGTATGCGGCTTATTTGAGCTTTCGCAGCTATCCGGATAAGAACGCATCAGACCGACAGCTCGTTTTTACCTACGACGACGGGCTTGTTGCACCGTATTTAGAGCCTGTCCTTCGTGGAGACCTTGTGAACCGTATATATTTAGAATTTGGCCACTTAGGGTAGCCTAGCCTGAATGGAGTCATCCGCCCGCGGGTGTGGTGGCGACAAATGCGAAGAGACATTGAAAATGCAGCACATTCGTGCCCGAATTGTTAAGTTATGCAGGGTTCCAAGCAGTCTCTGGAGAGGGAAACCCCTTAGTATATAGTGACCTTAAGGATCCGTCCGTTCTAACGCTGGGGAATTAACCTGATTGGTGTCCTACCCATAACCCCTATCTGGCAATTAAATTGCCAGATAGGGGCTTTATAGCAATTCAGACTTGTTGATATCCAATTGGTGCGGACCATGTTTTACTAAGCAGCATTTCCGACTGTTATGAGCCCGATTCGCCAGTAAGAGGGCTATATTCGTCAATTGAATCGAATTGAAGCTATACGCAAGGTTTATCCGCGGTAGCTAACCGGCCTGATGTCTGCCCCTTACCCCTGACCTTCCTATCGATCGAAACGACTGCACACGAACGCGAGCAATATGGAGTCAACCGCTGTCTCCGCCATAAAGGGCGATAAACTGAAGGATTCAGCGCAATGGAGGAATTGGTTCGCACGAATCAAGATATACGCACGCCAGAAGAAGGTGTGGGATCTGGTGAACCCTCAGATTGAGGAAGACTATCAGGAAGAACCCATTCGCGAGCTACGAATGCCTTAGTATCCAGAAAACGGCAGCGAAGCAGATAAACGTATATGCAGGGATCGTATGGATATCTATAAGATTCAATCGGCTAAATCGGAGCAACAGAGAAAGAGCCTAGACGCAGTTAACGAATGGATCATTACCAACCTGGATCCTACCTACTATACGCGTCTGCTTAACTATGAGACCCTATATCAACGGCTTGTGTGTCTTGAGAAGCGATTCGCACGATCAGCTGCGACAGAAGAAGCGATTCGAGTGCAATGGCAACGCGTTTGTGCACTGCCGCTAAGAAAGTGAGCTAATATTGATATTTGGATCGACGAATGGGACGCCCTGAGAGAGCAGGCAGTTAGTCTCGATCTACCAGAGGCTAAGAATGCGAATAAGGATTTCCTTCGAGCTGTGAAGGGTATACTACCGGTTTGGTGGCAGTCCTAATATCGATCGATCGTTACTAAGAGGAATGGGATACTCGCGACCTGCTAGAGCATTTCCGTGGAGCCTATCATGAGCTATACCCATAGGGAGCCACCGTCAGCACAATCTCAAAGGCATCCTTTTCGAAACTGCAAGGCTTCGAGGAACCTGGATCAGAGCAACCGCTGGAACAACAGCCGCCGCAGCAGCCGCCACGAGAGCGTTCCTTAGTACCTATCCCTAAGCGTTGGTGCCTATGGGGTAATAAGGTATATAAGCCCTGGTACTGCTGGACGATCAACAGAGATGCATACCCTGAAAAGGAAGTGATAAAGGAGAAGGCGAAGCGTGTGGAAGAACGTCTTGCGAAGGACCCTGGCTGGAAAGCCTGGATAGAGAAAGCTATTAAGGAGCACAACGAAAAGAATGGAATCACCACCAAAACGGCTAATATCACCCAATTGTATGGCTCCTTCTTCACCACGGATTTTCCAATGAAACAGGTGTATCAAAGCGTGAAGGCTACAGGAGATGCCGACGATACGATTCGACAGCGATGGTTCCTCGATACTGCATCATCAGTGCATATATGCAACCAGATAAACCTGTTCACCACGTTTACACCAAAGGAATTAAGCCTAAAGACAGGTGATTCGATTACTGCAGTGAAGGCATTGGAAGTGCGATAATGACAGGAGTCGGCCCTTGATGGCTCAATCAGGCCGATTCAGCTCAGCAACGTCTTATATTCACCTCATTTCCGAATTTGATGTTATATGCAGGCCTGAAGAAGAAGGGTTTAAAGTGGGATGAGGATAACCAGTGTATCAAGGATTCCAATGGCAAACTAGTTATCAATGTGCGTCTCAACGAAGCGTTGGATATATGGGCATTCGACCAACCGAAGGAGCAACTCCTACTAGAGGACGTTGCCCTTATATACGCGTATCTAGTGCGTATATCGGTGAAACCACTGATTTCAGAGGCCTCAGCAGATCGTTGGCACCGTCGATTAGCCCACGTTTCCACGCGTGTGATGAAGAAGACTGCCGAAATGGTAAATGGTGTCAAAATCAACGAAGATCTGGCAGAAACAGAAGATGAAGGGGAGCTTTGCTAGGTCTGCAACCCATCTCACGCACCAAATCAGATCTCACGACGACCAATTGGCCAGACCTTTGGGAGATACGGCCGAATTCACTTCGATCTGGTCCAATTTCCACCTGCTTACAATCGTCACCAATGGATGACCTATTTCTACGTTGAAGGCATTCGATTCCACTGGCTATACACGTATGAGGCAAAATGGCAGTGTAAAGATGCTATTCGGAAGTTCATCGCTCTTATCAAGAACTGGTGGAATATACTAATCAAGGCAGTCCACTATGATAACGAATCAGCCCCACGTGATGAGGTCGAGGGTCTCCTAAGCAACGTTGGCATTGTCGTCTCGCATAGTATTCCTTATCATCCTGAGCAAAACAGCCCTGCTGAACGCTCTGGGGGAGTGATTTTGACTATGTCGAGACACCTTCAAATAGAGAGCAATCTGCTAAGGCAACTGTGGCCTGAGATGGTGAGCGCTGCTGTATGGATCCTTAATCGAATCCCTACCCACCTGAAGCAGGAGAATCGCTGGATTGTGCCGTGTGATAAAGCACGAAGGGATTTCGGCGGCGAAAGGATGAAGAAGGCTAATCTAGCTAACCTACGCGTGTATAGCTGGCTGTGGTACTGCCGAATTCGCAATATCCTAAAGCTCCAAAAGACTACCCCGCGTGCAGAAATTGGTTTCCTCGTTGGCTATGTCGCATCAAATGTGTGGAAGATCTGGTTCCCTGCAAGGAGAAAGATTGAAGTCGTACGAGATGCACACTTGGACGAATCGAGGAAATGGAAGCCTGATATGGATTACTGGGAAGAGAGGGCCCCTTCCTGAGCCTGAACCGACGATTTTGACCGAGAAAGAGCAACAAGAGGTGATCCGTGAGAAAATTGGAATCCCTACTGAATCAGTCTACCGGAACACACAGGAGGATATGCAGGAAGGCCAGCAGGAAGGCCAGCAGGGAGCTATCCTTCTAGAAGAAAGTGATGAGCACCAGGAAGCTCACGATCGTATACCTCAGGAGGTGGATGCACCACTAATCACCCCGGAACCTGACGGAGGAGGACACCTACTGGTAGACTATGATCCTCCGAATGATACCCTGGCTGGATCGTTTCCGACGGAAGAGCTACCAGAATTGCCACCGAGTCCGCTGGAGGAACAGAATGCTATACAATTTGGCCCTGCCGCTGTTCAGGGGGTGGACCAGCAGACAATTTCCTAGACTGAAGACCAGAACATCTGCGAGGAGGAAGATCAGCCGACAGAGACAAACCCCCCGCACGAAGGCCTTACCGAGGAGCTAAATCCTACTATAGAAGACTATGACACACTCTCCGACAGCGAGCAGCAGCTATATGCTGAGCTGCACACACGAAGAAATGACGGCATCGACACTGCGAATATCATAGATGGAAGCAGAAGAAGAAGGCCGCGAGCAGACCCCGATTATCACACGTACGCAACCGTGCCGATAGAAGAAGATCCACCAGAGCTACTGCGCACATTCGCCGCAGTGCTAAACACGGAGAAGCCAATTCAACGTCACCGAGACGATTTACCCCCTGCACCTGATGGTTGGAAGGAGATGATGAAGCACCCGATGGCCGAAGGCTTTCTAGCCGCCTGTGCAATGGAAATACGATCGCTGCAGGAGAAATCGACATTTACCGTCACGAATCGACCGAAAGATGTGTCAAAGCAGATCCTACCACTCCGATGGGTATTCACATACAAATTTGACCAAGACGGCTATCTGTTGAAGCTAAAAGCACGTATCTGTGTGCGAGGAGACCTCGAAACGATATCCTCTGAAGACAAAAGAGCTGTGATACTCGCAGCGAGGGCAGTAAGGCTTATCTTTGCCTTAGTTGCAGCATTTAACCTTGACCTACGCTAGCGTGATGCAGTGACTGCATTCCTGAATAGCCCGCTACCAACCGAAACCTACACAAAGATGCCTGAAGGATTTGAACAGCTAGGGATGTGCTGGAAGCTTAATCGTGCGCTATACGGCCTGCGTATATCACCGAAGCTTTGGCAGCAGGAAGCAACAAGAGTTCTTACAAAGCTTGGGCTCACACCGGTTCCAGAAGACCCCTGCGTCTTCGTCACACACGGCATTATCGTCTTCTTCTATGTTGACGACTTCATCATCACTAGCTACCCGTCACCGGCAATACAAGAGAAAGCTAGACAGCTTGAGAAGGATCTAGAGGCACACTGGGAGCTTACGGATCATGGAGAAGCAGAATGGTTCTTGAACATTCGAATTGTGCGCGATAGACAACAGCACAAGCTTTGGCTTTGCCAAGACGCCTATATCAGCAGTATGGCTGCTCGATACCATTTGGCCGATCGTGCGCCTGTCTATACACCTCCCCCTGTGGAAGAATTGAAGCCGTACGAAGCGGGCACAGCAACACCAGCTGAGATCAAGCTATACCAGGGAAAGGTAGGTTCAGTCCAATATCCTACCACAATTACTAGACCAGATGCAGCAAAGGCAGCTGCAAAGCTCTCGCAGTTCCTTCGAAACCCCGGGCCACAGCACTAACGAGCTGTCGATAGAGTGATCTGCTATCTCTACACCACGCGGTACCCGGCACTGCAGTATGGTGATAAGGGTGATATGGAATCAGTTGAACTGGCAAGTGACGCATCCTTCGCTGATAATCAAGATCGACGAAGCTCTGCAGGATATATTTGCCAAGTTTATGGAGGCCCAGTCGATTGGAAGGCCTCCAAGCAGCCCACTGTCACCACGTCCACCACCGAAGCTGAGTTGCTTAGTTTGTCAGACGCTGCCCGCTCGCTGCAGTGGTGGATGAGGTTCCTCGAGCGAATCGCATTTAAACCAAGTCATAGGCAATAATCAGCAGACTGTCACCTTATTGACCTCCGAGCACGCCAAAATTGATACTAAGCTCCGTCATGTTGATATACACGGGCATTGGCTGAGGCAAGAGGTTAGCAAAGGTCGAATCAGCATCAAATGGGTTCCCACAGCACGAATGGCCGCAGATGGTCTCACAAAGCTTCTACCGCGGCAGAAGCATGACGAATTCGTGAGGATGCTGCAAATGAAGGATATACAGCACCTCATTGAGAGCTAAATGAGAGAAGAAAAGCCTGCTGCTGCAAGGAATCAGCGCTCAGCTCGATTGAATTCAACATTGGCGAAGATATTCAACACTCACTAAGCGCTGAGGGGGTGTGACGGAACAGAAGCAGCAGTGAATCCCGGAGAACGGAGATAGTCTTGGACCGCATGTATTAGTCATTATTATGCCCACATAGTTAAATTGCCAGATAACTTAGGGGCTTTATAGCAATTCAGACTTGTTGATATCCAACTGGTGCGCACCATGTTTAACTAAGCAGCATTTCCGCCTCAGCTACGGAGGCCTAATTGCCAAGGCCACTAATCTAGTCTTAGCAACCCCGGCTATGCAGCTGGCCGAATCGGGTATAGCCTACCCGCCGGCCCTGGCCTTGGCATCCCCCATCAAAAATTTCCCAGCCAAAAGGCCCCCCTTAGGGTAAGGCCCTTCTACGTAATTAATCCTACAATATTATATGACATTTAGATCGGAATAACTATTCAATTAAAAGATTCCAAATTTCCGACCAAAAAATATCAAGATATCGGGTACTTAGAGGGGGTGTATCGTTGTAAACCCAATCCCCCCCCGGCGCAGACTTTCTCAACTATGAGTACCCCCCTGGTACTGGGCCGGAATACCTTTAGTCAATTTCCTTTTCAGTACCGTACCACGGTTCACCATGCGTTTCCGGGAGGGCGAGCGGTAGAGCGGATTCCCCTACCACCAACTCACTCTGTGCTAGCCAGAGTTGAATGTGGCGGTGCCCATGCATTACGTATGAGATAAAGGGCGAGAAACTTTAATAAGGTTTATATAATGCACGCTATTCTTTCGTCCAAGTCGTCTCAACTTCTCCAGCTACAACTCAGAGGCTGTTTTTATTTAGCCTTTCTATTTTAGGTCCATTTCATCATGTTAGATCTTGGTCTGCTGGACCTTGCGGTTCCTCTCATCGTTCTCATTATAACAATTGTATACCTTCCTATCACTTTCGTTGTCCTATTGGGGAAACTCAAGCTCTCGCAACTGACATCACGACACGCGTTCCGGCAAGCCTGGTTCGAGCGCTTTTGGGTATTCTTCGGTTCAGCATCGAAGCCGCTCTTCGCCAAAGATGTTGAGGCAACGCTAGCCGAAGCCCGTGGAATCGTTCTTGACGTCGGAACCGGTTCAGGCGATTGGTTGTATCTATTCGCGCCACCAAGAAACAAACATATATCGATGCTCATACTCCTGGAACCGAACCTTAATTTCCACGGAGTACTCAGGATGAGGGCGGAGAAGTTGGGACTAGCTGGAAGATACGAGATTATCGACGGTGGAATTAAGGATCTAGAAAGAATAGGTATTCAGACAGGAACGATTGACACAATCACCACGGTTCACGTGCTGTGCAGCGTCGAGGCACCGCAAGCTTTGATCGAGAAGCTATACGCGTACTTGAAGCCCGGAGGACAGTGGCTTGTATACGAACACATCAAGATAAGAAACGAGAAATCATTAGCGGCACATTGGCAAGGTGAGTCGGTAGGAAGAAACCACGTCTCTCTGCATTGTATGAAAGATGCTCTACTGATAAATTCATCAAGATACGATCAATATCGTTTGGCCTACTTTTTTGGACGGCTGCTCATTGACACGGAACACAGAAGATTTCTTGTTGCAGGCTGGTGAGTGGAAGTCGGAAGATCTCCGTCCTGGATCGAGGGAAGGACGGTTCAACCAGCTACCACATACGGTCGGAAGACTTGTTAAACGGGGTTCCTAGGCCCAGAAGATCATCTTAAAACTAAGGAGAAGGATATATGGGTTTCTGAGCAACTTGAGGTCGAGGCACGGATAATTGGTCGTTGGTAAATAACATTACTACTTTTCATAGTTTTTAAAAAGGTGTATAGGACGGATTGCAGCGAATCTGTTATTTAATAACTTTAAGAGCGGAGATAGACTTCAGCTCGACTAACGAGATGTTTTACGAAATAGCTATCGCCCCTATCCCTGTGTTTATAACCGGCTCCTGTTTGCCTCCGCTTGCTTCACAATTGTTCATTTCTCGATGCCGGTCGAAATACGCGTTTGTCGTCAGTGAGAAGTCCTAAGTTCGTGCGCGCTCTCTCACCCCAGCCTACTATCTGTCATTCTTGACCTTGCTCACCATCTCCACTCATCGTACCTAATCCTGGACTCTCGGTTATGACCTGATTCGCGGTAAGTTCTTCAGTTGCCTTTGGGAGACGATTTACATTGAGCGAGCCCAAATCCTGGGCTACAGATGGCATCGAGATCATTTGATGGTAGAGTGTTGCCCAAGGACCAATTCCGAAGCTCAATTACTTCGTAAAGCAGGTACATAAACGTTCAATGGTGTAAATTCTGAGCAGTTCAACTGTTTATCTTGGCTGCGAATTAGAGACCTGCATACCTTCGAGTATGATGGCGAAGTGCCCGGTCGGCAAGGGCGGCAATTGAAACAGGTATAGCGCGATGGTCCAAATGGCCTCCAACACCGGCCAGGAATAGTGTTGGGAGAGCAAATGTGAGATAATTAGGATCTTGCCACTGACTCAGAAGGGAGGCCTGGCTGTGCATGGCATCCGATCGACTCTCCCAGGAGGAGGTCCGGGCAGCCCTGATGAGAGCCAGCCCATGGAAAGCACCTGGACAAGATGGACTCCCAACAGGAGTGTAGCAAAAGATTTGGGATGTGGTGAGCGATCGCATCCTAGGCATCCACTCTACCGCAATATCAATCCCAATGTAAAACCAAGGCACCTTCTATGAGATCTTGCTTAGGTCATCACTTAGCTAGGGCTCCGGGCGAAAAGCTCAGACATGGATGCACTGAATATTATATGGACAGTTGTCAAATCTCGAACTCGGTTCTTCTTGCTACATACCAGGGAGCGGACATGTCAGCTCAGTGATAGTGGTCAGTTTTTATCTAGAATATTACGGAATCTCTCGCAGTTTAAAGAAAAATTGGGTTTGGACCATTCCATGGCGTTCTTGTGATCGACGATGTTGCCACATATGCTCCTAAGTTCCTTCTGGCGTGAGTTCAGATGGAAATCAACACAATCAACTAGTTCATGTGGAAGTTTGGAATTATCTCTAATGCGGATTTATGTTTCTTAATACCTTATTCCAGGGTGTTGTGCACACCTCGTCTAGTATCCAATATTTCTCAGTCAGCTCTAGGTCAGTTGAACAGCTGAGCCCCCACTTTCCGAGCAGCCCCACCGTATACCCCATACAAAGTATCCAGGTATTCTCTCGTGATATTCAACCAGGGCTCAAGTGCTGCAGTTGCCTGGTATGTATCATTACATACGGCATGGTTCTTTCCACCCCAGATCACGAAGCCTTCCAGGTTCCTGTTTGCTTCAAGAAGTTCCAACTCCTGCTGCCATAGATCCCCAGGGATGAAGGAATAGTTTCCATGGTATTGGGGCCAGATATAGGGCCAGATGGGGAGGGTGTCGTTGATGGTATTGATGACATTAATCACTGAGGTCAATGACTTATTCCAGGTGGAGATACTGTCGCTGAACGTATATGCCGAGGGGAAGAAAGCGTGATTCGAGTAATTGCCGATCAATTCTTGATAGTGGCCGTATAGTGAAGAGATCGTGTTTCTAGAGAGACTGTACCAGCCAATGATCTGCCCCTCTGGAAAAACATCCGCCGCCCAGGTTTGCAAGGTAGACATAACCTTGAGGTATAAACCTGCTGTGGAACTTGAGGTGAAGTAAAGAACCTCACAAGCTAGTACCAGTGGATATGATGGGTAAACGTTCCATTCAAGAACAATAGCCTTCCAGACGTCAGCAGAAGGGATAGTACCCCCTTCTGTCAGCGGGTTGCATACGTATGCGTGAATCCAATTGATGTTGGTGCTTCCGTAGCCAACTGAAGTGTTGGTATATGCAGTGTTATCAAATACGCGAAATGAAGAGGCAAGCGTGGAGCTCATTGCCGCTCCAACTGCTATCAAGCGAGAGATATTCCGCATAATTGAGTGTTGAAAACAAGTAAAATTGGTTGATCGGCTTGAGTCTACTTCCAGACATTGTCCATCACTCAGCGTTTTCTCGAGTTTTCTTATTAGTCTAGTCGACCACCTTAGCACGAGTTCCGGTCTTCGGATCTCGGCTTCTCGGTTCTATATAATTCATTTTAGCGTGGATTGCACCTTCCCAATCTTCTCTGACGCCACATAGCTAGTATTGTGAACGGTCAGAGGCTGTCCGTGGAGTCAGCTTGTACGTAGCCGTTCACCAGTCGGCGTCATAACATTGTTAGGGAACCGCGAATTTTGGTCCCGTTCGTAGTCTTACAGCCGTCTCTTTTACCAGGCGGTTCACATGAATGGCAATTGGTGGTAGGTATACTTCGGTATTCAAGGCCTCCGCTGCTGTCATTCTGAATGCTCCACTAATTATGCTTACTGCCATTTCTGGATAGCCACGAACGGTTGACTGGTTGTGTGTGCTTGCAGCTTGCTAATGGCCATTGGCTGGTACCAGGCCGATACCGCATAGAGCATCTGGGAATTACCATTGACTAGTAGGTTCTGCGCGAAGCTGAGAAGGAGGCTCACCCAATCTGAACCTGCTAGAACCCGTAAAGCTTGGAGAGATACATCTACTTTTTTTATGGCCTTTTCGCGGTGGTGCGCGAATTCAAGTCCAAAATCAATCCAGTATCCCAAATAAGGTTCCGCTGTCCGGGTCGCGGCCATTGTATGTCCCAGCAGAGCCAGACGTGTGTATTGCGGGCCAACCTCTTAGGTATTCACAAAGTGCACAAGCGCATACTTCTTAGGATCCAATACGGAGGCGCGCCGCCTGGCCCACTGGTGCGCCTTCCGGCCGTGCTGATCTGAGTTTCTTGATGGTTTCGCGTTCGCTGTCTCCTTTAGCCATGAAGCACACATTATCTACCCAGCCGTTGCTGGTCACTCCCCGATTTCGACCATTTCTACGGCGTAATTCAGGTACAAGATGGGTGAAATGTATCTTCGAAATGTAATGTGTGGAGAAAGGAAGCCGGGAGTTTTGCCCGATCTGCCGGATTAGCCACGGACAGGTGGTCGCCTGCCGTCCGGAGAGATTGAGATCAGAGCAGAGAAGATGCCTTTCGTTCATTTTCTCTAGAGTGTTCTCCCAATAATCTCATTTCGGACGTTTTCGTCCCATTCAACCGTGCATGCACTTTTTGATGGGGTGACCAGCCCGGCGAGGCGACACAGGAGTGCGGGCACACAAGCGGGGCGACGGGAGCACGCACAGGAGGCCAATAAGGAGGGCGGATGAATCCAATTGAGTCGATCCCAAGGGCGCATAGGGTATAGGCTTGAGAACAAGCGAAATTGGTTGATCGGCTTCAGGCTACTTCCAGAAGTTTCCCCTCACTTAACGTTTGCCTCGGGCTTCTATATATGTCTAGTTGACCACCTTGGCACGAGTTCTGTCTCAGCTTTATATATTTCATTTTAGCGTGGATTGTACCTTCCAATCTTCCCTGACGCAACACAGCTAGGGCTTGGCCAACATTCCCTTGCCTGGAGACATTCTGGATTAACGTCGTACATCAGGGCACTCTCAGCTCGATTTTGCATCCGAAAATTAATATTCTTCTGACTGAGCAGAAAGTCATGAACCCCTGATGATCCAATTTGAATAGCTCTCTTAAACGACTCGTGTCATGCAAAAAGGCGCGGACATTGTTATCATAAACGAGTCGGAACTCGGTTCGAGAATGATGGTTGTCTGTGGCAGCTAGATGCAGGAGATTACAGTACTTTCCTGGCACTGATTGTGTACTGGAGGATCCGGATGCAATCTGGGAATGAGTATTTTCATGGTTAAAACTATGTGAAAGTTTAAGTCAATTTAGATCTAAATGGGTTTTTATGACCAAAAACCACGCAGAGCGCCGGCCCCAGACCGTTAAAGTTCCTCTTTCCTAGTACAATCAGTCACGCGCGCGTTTTGATTCAAGCAAAGACATATTTGGTGAGTTTCATTGTAATCCATTAAACGAGGACTCTACTGATTCAAAGCATAAAGCGTGGGAACACAAAAGGTCAATGTATGTCAATATGTCACCATACCTAGTTCAACTCTACCCCAGAATCACCTCAATTCCGCCTCATATTATGCTCTTGGAAAAGGTCCACGGCTAAGTAGAGAGAATGAAGTTTACAGCGAGGGAGGTTCACAACGGAGAGGAGGCGCGACAAGACGGACCTTAACAAAGTTTAAAGTGCTCCTATTTTGTTGGCGCGCCAAGCACCTGGCAAACAAGCTACATGTGCTAAGGCACAGACATTGACCGATATCACTCAGCCTCAACCAATTTGAACACCTAGGAAACGAGTCACAAAGCATTACCTTCGCTACCGTAGTGAGTGATCTAGAAGTTAGTTCGTTGTCCTGGGATTCAGATTCGAATTACTGCTCAGCACTCGTGATCCACTGCACTGAAATCAAGACGCGAAATTGTTAGAGTGACTTTCTTCAGCACACTACCTAAAGATGGACATAAATAGCAACAATACACATTCGTTCTCGAGAACTAAACAAGAGAAACAAGTTCAGCAAGCGGCTGTGCCTTTCTCCCATGAACGACCAAAATTCTCTCACGAAACGAACTTCCGCTTCCAGGTTTAGATCACAACTTTGCAGAAGATGATTTCAAGAGCAGCTTCCCCAACGCTCCCGTCGCGGTTTTTCCAGACCCAAGTCGATGCTCCAGCATCGTGAAGGCCGGAGTTAGGGTCGTCGCAGACTGTAGCGTCCTTCCAAGCGTCAACGCAAGTGGCAGCATCGGGGAAGTTTCCGATCTTCCCAATTTTGACATGTTGGTAAGGACTAAGATTCTGCCAGTCACCGTCTAGGGCGTTATAGTGGCTATGGCACCAAGACCATGCCTGCTCGTCCAGTTGATCCCTCGACACGCAGTCCTGGCGAAAGGCGTGTCGGTTCCAGCACTCCGCAGCCCATGACACAGGGAGGAGACCGGTAAGCGAGATGGCAGTCAAAGTTTGAAAACGCATTTTTGTGGATAATCCTCTACACTAGAATTAGGAGCTGGTCTAAGTCTCGACCTTGAGCTGACTCACGGGCGATTAAGGATAAGTGATCCAGATATTGAATGTTTCGGTGAAGTTGCTTCGAGATATTGATGAATTCTTGTCCCAGTCGGTGGTGTACAGGGGGTATTTATACAATGGGGGATGAGGGGAGAGGGTGTTAGTGAGATGAAAAATTTGACTGCTGACAATACCTGGTAGACCTGGACTGGCCATGATACTTGGAATTTGCACAGGGAGTGGTATGAAGGATCTCTATGAAATAATGTAGGGTGGAAATCCCATCTGCTCAAGCTAATAATGGTCCAGAAACATTCCATCAACAGTGATGTGTCGCTTAATTTTGTTTGAATTAGTCTTCCCATCATGCCGTTAAGCCCTAGTTGGGCAAGTCACCTGGACATACGCTTTTTACATCGGCAATTCAGAGCGATTTATTTTATATTTCGCATTTCTGGCAGTAAGGTGCGATACAAGTCCAGGATCTCTGGAATTCCAGGCGAACCAGACAGCTGAAGATTTCTGAGACTAAAAGGGCCACCTTAGAAGGCAAGGTAGCCAAAATCCCCCCGTGCCTGAGAATATTCCGAAAATCTATTTCCTTATCTAGCAAATTTTCTTTCTAAGGATAAGAGTAAATATACCTTTAAACTGCACTGTTTCTAACCCCTATGGTCAAAACGAAAGAATCAATGCGATTTTCTTGACCAAATTTCTTACTTTAACCCATCACCCCTCTGCTCAAGAGCCGCAAGCATAGATATGTAATGACACATCATGATTTATGTTGAATTGGATGCGTTTTGGAAGCCAAATCTGGTACGGTAGATAGAGGCTAGCTAAATTGGGAAATCACCCAGTGTCAACAGTGTTTCTAGGCATTCCATCAGCAGCTTAAGGAGAATACATTTTTTTAAGCGTAATCCACTGGATCGCTTTACTGCGCCAATTTCGTGTTGTTGGGTTGGGGGGAGAATACTGGTATACAGCCATTAGATGTGCTTTACTATGCAAACGTCGAGGAGGTCGAGCTGTCGGAATCGAATACCGTACCTGAACCATATACTTCAAATGATTGTTAAACGTCAAGCATATTGAACGTGGAATGTTTAAGTGGTGGTAGGCTATTGGACGGAGAAAGCACCCACCCATAAACAACTGGTCCCAGTACTGCCACATTCCATGGCAGCTCGACGACTCCGGCATTCGGAAGGATCTTCCGAATATTTATTGAATACAAATCAAGTGTGTGGGCCAAAAGAGTAACCAAAAGTCCTTCTACAGAACGCCACCATCCAACTGCGGCCGATGTTCCCATGACTAACTAGTCTTTAGAACAAATTGGATCCTAACAGGTACAACTTGGATAGATTGATGTGAGCCTAGGAGAAATCCGGCATTTAAACCTTCCCGAATCACAGTCTGACGAAGCATAATAACTCAAGACACCATACACCATAAAGTAATTCCCTAATACTCAGGTGTTCTCCGGAAGCAGCAATTTTTTCAGTTAAATAACATATGCAAGAATCGTACATACAGTGTTCTGGGTCGTAAGTGACGGACTGAGCATTGTGAGACAAAGAGTCAATTTTAGCAATATAAGGTTACATTTGGCATTGCAAATAATTATATAACAAGTTGATGAATTCTAATATTTGGACACTCGTAATTCCGAGAGTCCAAGGTAGAGACACCAAATATGCAAAAATTTCCGATGCAATTCACTCTTTGCACTGGCTTTTGCCAAATATCTCGTCGAATTACTTGCAAGAACTCCAGGTCAGTTCAAATTGTTGTCGTACTCTGCGTCATTTACTTCATATTGTCAATCTTCTCGAAAGGCATGGAGCATATGCGGCAACCAAGTATACCTCGCTTCTCACAGCCTGGCATACGTGACGCGGCTCTGGAACATATATTAAACGAGACTCTTGGCGTAAGTAAATTGAATGATGAGCTGATATAATCTCCAATGCTATAGCAGCTGATATTTTAAAGTTCCAACACATTTATGCTATCGGTCTGAAAGAACGTACGGACAAGCGTGACTTCTTGACTGTGGCGGCCTCTGTCACAGGTTTCAAGGTTGAATGGCTTGACGGAGTCCTTTCACAAAATCTGCAGCAGAAAAGCTTACCTAGCGTACGTATTCTCATAGCTCATTAACGCTGTGCAGCGGGAGCTGATCCACGGTGCAGGGATACAATCTTACTACCTTGTCGCCTAATATTGTTGGATGTTGGCGAGCTCACATGAATGCATTGAACAGGTATTGTTGATATGTTATTTGGTACTTGAACATGGTCTGACTCTAAGCCTAATTCGAAAATATAGTGTCATCGAAAACTCGTATTCCACCGCCTTGATCCTTGAAGATGATGCCGATTGGGATGTAACAATTAAATTCCAATTGCGTGAGTTCGCGCGAGGCATTCAGTCTTTGAAAGGAATCACTACAGTATCCAAGCAAGCTCCTTACGGAACTGATTGGGACCTTCTCTGGATTGGAGGATGTGCTTCAGGCCCAGATGCGAACCAGACCCAGTTCTACGCGATACCAGATGACCCCACTGTGCCAAGTGTCCAGCGGCGAGCTACTTGGTCCGGCCCTCTTGACAGTTGGAAAGAGCAATTTCCCGAAGACTCAACCCGGTTTATCTACCGCGCTGAAGCAGGTTGCTGCACCTATGGATATGCAGTCACTAATAGAGGCGCGAAGAAGATTCTTACTGCCCTTGCTATTGATCATATAGAGGCACCTGTTGACAACGCTATGTCTGAATTGTGTGGTGGCCTCGGTGATCGTCAACGAATCGATTGTTTTGCACCCTTTCCGAACCTCATCGGCACATATAGACCCGCGGGTCCAGCATATCGAGACTCCGACATAGCCGTTACAGGAGACCAGCGCATTCATGAGGAACAGGCTTTTAATCTGGTATATAGCACACGTCGGAATATCCACAGGCTAGTAGCCGGTGAGCCAAGCGTGTTCTCACAGTGGGGTGAAGTGTCACCATGGTCACCCGTGGAGATAAGCCTGCAAGAATTTATTTATCCTCGAGGTTACCATGTCAATTAGATTTGGCTGCTATCGGAGCGACACGGCGCATGAAAAACGAGATAACGCCCACGAGAGCATTCAGCCTCCCATAAAAGAAACGATTATTGAGGTCTGGCAATAATTACTAAATTTCAAATGACGGTATCTTCAAATCTCGTTGAAAATGGCTTGAGGAGAGTTCTCGATTTGACGATGAGCCCTCCCAGTTCTTAGAGTATGCAATTCATTAATCACCTAAGCTAGATTCATTCCAGTCACCAGTAGAGGTCAGAGCCATCTCCGGAAACGGAGATCAGCTATTGAGGACTGTCAACAGCTTACTAGCATGGTTTTAGGGGGGTTGGTAATTTTGCGGTGTCTCCCTTGAAGACCTTGCTCTCAAAGACAACATCCCAGCAATTCACGTGCATTCACGACCTTGCAGCGATTCTGTGGAAGCATAGACAGGGTTCGCATCGCACGGAAAACTTACAGTATTACAAAAGAATGACGGAAGAAAGGTAAGGGCAACATTCTTCAGGTCTGTGGCCCGAAGTTTGCGGAAGGTGGGATTTTCCACTACCCGCAAGCGTATAACCAAAAGAATCCAATGCTATATAACTTTGCGAAGATGCCACTAACATACAGACTGAAAAAGAACGCAAACTTTGTCTGAACCTATATCTGAATGGATCAAAGCCCACCGAAAGTTCCTGTCCTGATGATGTCCTGGAAAATCTCTACGCCGTTTCACAGACTCCGATTGATACTTTCGAGCACAATTGGATCGTTTCACCTCGAACCTTCAAATTCGCTAGAAAGCCAACCTTGTCGTGGTACCGAACCTAAGCTTTTCGATGAGAGGTACGTCTCGGAATCGGAGTCCTTTGATCATCTACCAGATGCTAGACCGAGAAAACCCCCTCCAAATCTCTGCGTCATTCTCGGCATTATGACGAATATTGTCTCAACAATCTCTATTGTAAGTAATACGCAGGAAAACATACTTTGAATATGTTCTAAGGTTTTAAGGTCTTCATAAACAAGTATATTTTCTCGAATGAGGAACTACGCAACTGTCAATTAGCGCTTGCAGCTTATCATTTCTTCATCACCGGCCTTACGTTGTGGATTATATCCCAGCTTCACTGTGGTGACTTCGTCGCGGAGAGAATCTCCATCTACCGCAACTTACACCTTGCCACACTGACCAGCGCCCAAGTAGTTCTCCAGAATCTCTCGCTCGCATACTCCTCGGTTTTATTCCACCAGCTCATCAGACTACTCCTCACACCAGCTACCGCTTTATTCAGTTTCCTGATCTACAAAGCTACTATGTCAAGAGCAACAATTATTCCCTTGATACTTTCATGTGGCGGCGTAGGAATGGTTTTCTATTTCGATTTTCATGCTGCGCCGGATAAAGCCGTCGGGACATCTCCAAAAGGAGTAATTTTCGCTTTCGCCGGCATACTGACCAGCGCTCTTTACACAAGTCTGATCGGCGGATATCAGAAAAAGTTGCAAATAAATAGCATGCAGCTTCTTCTCAACCAAGCGCCCATAAGTACCGGCTTACTTATGTGTCTTGCCCCTGTCGTTGATACTCCTCCCACGGCCACTACGCTTTCGCCATCAGTGTGCGTCGCAATTATCGGGGTAAGTGAATAACATCCACCGCGCAATTTATAGTTAAAAAGGCTGTTTAGTAACTTCTTTATTCATTGAAATTTAGAGCGGACTGTTAGCCTGCCTCGTAAATGTATCCCAATTTTACGTTATCAATGCTGTTGGCCCAGTCAGCAGCACTGTTGTTGGCCATGTAAAATCTTGCATGATTGTGGGCTTGGGTTGGGCTGTTAGTGATCGATCAATGTCGATGCAAAGCTGTATTGGTATTATCATGGCATTTCTTGGTATGAGCCTGTAAGTCACGCCATTCTGGCAACAAGATACAAATAAGCCTACTAACTGATCGACCTTTCTGAGCAGATACATGAGGGCCGTGTATTGAGGGATCTACGACAGGCAAAAATCGGACACCGAGAGATTGCTGTGGTCTCCTTTTTTACCGCGATCTCCTGAGTTCTTAAATTTCCCTGGCAGATCAGATATAGGCTCTGTGGGCGAACTCTCCACGGTCTGAAGGCCAAGGTTTGGAGTTTCTTACGCGAGGTTAAGGCGGCGCATAGGACGTGCACCACTAGGGACGAATGATAATGCAGAAAAGTAGAATACTATCCATTGGCTACTATAGAATAGAATGCACAACGCCCCGGTATACCGCAACATTGCGATTAGGATCAGCCTTAGGTTATTACGCGAGTCTAGCGTGTTTTTCCCAGAATCAACATGATGAGGGCAGGACTGACATGCGCGTTGATGATGCGGGCGATCAGGGCCGGATTTTACCCGAGCAATTTGCTGGCCACATTGCCGATTTATAGGGGGCGCATTCATCCCATATGGCCGGCATGATTTATACGGAGGAGGTCACGGAGCACGCTAGTACTATAGCGCGCCGGCGGGAGATGTCTCGGTTGTATTTCACGGATTAGCATTGATTTTTAGAGATTCCTTATGCGGAAAGCAGCCTTTCTCGGACTGTTAGCAAGCGGAAGGATCCATTCGAAGAGCAGGCGCAGGCGCAAAATCACAGCCCCCAAGACCAGTTATCGGCCGTTCACATATGAGACGTGGTGCAGAAGATGACCGGGCAGAAAACATCAAATTTCGAGGCAAAACTCCAAGTCACGAGAGCCCCCCGCCCCCCTTCTAGTCCGTCCCTGAAGCCCGGCCGTTCCGTCTACTGATCCGACAACTAATCCACCGTCCTCGCGAAGCCTGTGGCGCTTCAAACTCAAGGTGGCCATTGCCCTCTGCCTCACCGCTCCGTTCTGATGCGGGGCTAATGTTTATCTGTCGAAACAGCAGCATAGGTGGATACCCGGAAGAAGAAAATACTGGTACACCAAGTCCGCCACTAAGTAACTAATGATTATCCCCACATAGTTAACTAAGGGGGCATAAACATGACTAATCTGAATATAGTGGATGTGGAATCTTTGAAGTATAGCCATTTGCTTCGCTAATTATGATGATTCACCATGGAGTCCCGAAGGCCATTTGTTTCTGGTTTATATTACACCCCTCTCCTGAAATAGGTACTTTCAGCATATGGTGGCTCTAGACTTATCCAGTTACCCATGTAGCGCAGGTCCTCTGGCGAGGCAAATTGAATATCAACCGAGCTGGTCAATCTGTTGTATTTTGCATGTTATCTTGAATGCGAAGCTAATAGGCAAAGCAGATGTGCTTGTAAATCTACCCCACATCAACATCCCAACAGGTAGTCCAATTCCTTCCTACACAAAGCAATCATCTAAATGTAGAACATGGTATCCTTCACATTAGGGTGCACAACAACCTGGTCACAATTTGGCACCAGACTTCGACTGCTCTCAATTCCCAGAACACTTGCTTCTGGTGTCGCAGAGGGGATAGGGTCGAAAGGCTCACTCATGTAGCATCGCGCCCGTGTACATACAAGATCCGCATAGTAAGCTGGAGGGCAGACACTAACTGCCTTGGTTGCACGGCCGAATAGATAGCACAGCTTGTGGGTCAAGTCCTGCAGGGTATCTGCTGCTCCAAAAGGCCCGACTGCCGTTGGCCGACCATCAGAGAAAATTTCATCCCACACTGTGAAGTAGTGGGCGGGACGAGCGATTCCTTGAAGCGCTGAGTGCGCCTGGAGGAAGAAGTCCCAATGTCGGGCCTCAGAAATCCCACGGTCAACGACGGTTCCGGGCAATGGGTTCGCGGAGCGATCTGCGTCAGCGGCGACGGTGGGATAGAAGCGAGTGTTGTGACGCTTACCCACCACGATGACGGCCATACGCGGGAGGCCGCGGGCTGTGGCGCTGGCCGGGTAAATAGTTTTACAAGCTTGTTTGAGCAGAGGGAGCTCTTGTCCAAGGACAAGGTCGTATTGGCCTTCCGAAACACCGTCACGGTAGACAACAATATTTTCCGGGTATTCGTTCTTGTTATGCCGGGCCCAATACCTGAGACGGGACTGCAGCAGGGCGTCAAGATCGGCGACCATTTCCTGTTTAGAAGGCTGGACGCGGATCTCGGCTGGCCATTGAGCGAGAGCGGCGTTGACAGAGGCGACGATGGCTGCTACGCTGGGAGCATGGCGTGCTGACCCTGGAGAGGGGTGGGTCACATCGAGGCCGACAAGCATCGTCTTGCCATTGGCAAATAAGCCAAGCTCTGAGCGGCGAAGATTTTGATTTCCACCGCCCAACTTAAGGTTAACCTTCAACCCCACGTTGGCACAGTACTGGTCCTGTGCGACTCGCAATTTTTCGGCCTGGACGTTAACATTTCGGACACCGCAGCGAACATCGCAAACCAGCTTAATCGAGTTGTAAAGAACTGTGTCTTTAGCATAGAGGACGCCCAGGATTAAGGAAGGTCGGTAACGGTCTTGGAGTTCGCGAACGCTTCTTTCTATATGCTCAGCATCATTTCTGCCATCAAGGACGATACGCTGGCCTGCCTTCGGTGGCTCGGCATCAATACCAAGGGTTCTGAGGACAGAAGTAAACTTGCGCAGGGACTCCATCATTTCAGCTGAATTGTTCCAATGTGCGCGAGCACCGGGCCGAAGAACATAGAGATATGTCCAAGGCTTCAGAGAAGCGGGCCTGGAGAATTGCACAGCTTTCATATTCCACGAGCCAGTCGTTGTGGGAATCTCCTTCTGTTTGGCATATTGAATCTTCGGGGGAGGCAAGACGCGGCCTTGTACTGTGATAAGGCCATTGCCGACACGGACACCGAACGCAGACTATTAATTGAAAGGTGTTAGCTCAGTCATAAGGTTTCTCAATAGAAAAATGATCCCACAAGAGTAGCATTTAGTGGCTCTCCTAGACCCAGCATGGCAACACCCTTAGTTGCAATAGACTGAGCATCCTGCGCCGGCGTGCGACCCATCACAGCGAAGCGCAGCATGTCAGATGTCTGGTCAGGAGTGAGTTTAGTTCGAACGGCTTGACCAGGCTCAACTTCACACACTTCCGCGGGGAGGTATGAGGGAAACTGCCGGTTGCCCACATTGACAACAGGCAGCTTCGGGTCCAAATCCCTGTTGTATTCTGTCCTTTATCAGGTCCATCCCAATAGTGTTTACATCGAACGAACATACCTCTCTTAAAATACTCTCCGACTGAGATATACTGTCCTGGAGTGACCGGCCCCGCTTTGACAGCCTTCTTCGCTCTCTTCGCTTTGCCCTCGGCTGCAGCGGTAGCGCGCACGACTGCCGCACCATGCGCGTTCTTCGACTCCATGAAAAACTGCACTTCGAAGGGCCCGGCACCATGACGGACCACCCTGGGCGGGTTAGTACGGGAGTGACCATCGACAGGAGTTGCCAACCCAGTGATAGTCTTGACCGATGCAGATCGAACCCTGCCGCTACTATGCTTGCGCACAATATGTGTGGTACGGACGCGCATACCCTTCAAGAAACCTTCCAAATGGTAAAGGCTACGACGGTTTGCGTGCTGGTATTCTCGAATAACCGTCGGCAAAGGACCTTCTTGATAGCAGGCCAGATATTTGACTTGGACATTCAATAGCACCCGGGCAGTGGCCGCACGAACACTGACGAAGAAACCACGCAGTGCTTCTAAACCACCGGCCAAAGTAGCCTTTTCACCCATCGAGGCATCCAGGCTGAAATGCTTGTTACCTCCAATTGACAATACCGATTTTTCATTCTTGGGGTGGTGTCCAATGATCACGTTCATCGCGGACACAATCTGCTCTTGTTGCATCAACGGGTATTCAAACTCGCTCGATGTAAGGTAGGTGAGCAAATCCGCGGGGTTGAGAGTTCCCGTAGCTCCAACAGTCACTTTATAGACCTTGGGATCCTCGACGAAGTCAGTTTCATTCTCATTCTTATACCGAACACAGAACTTCTCGTCTCCATGCAGGCCCAGGTCGACACATGAGATCAAATTTGATCGGTAATCAGTGACAACGTTATACCGGTTTTTGACGAAGTGTTCTTCAAGCAAGAGACAGACAATTTGCCTTGCTTTCTTGACTGGCACATCTCGACCCTGGTCCTTTGCGATAGACACACTATAGCGGAAGACTGGCCTACCAACGGAAGTGAAAGACAAATAGTTGGCATATAGCGTGACGGACTGTCCCAGCGTGCCATAGCCTGGCCGGCCAGGGCAACGGGAACGCTCTTCCGCATTCTTTATCCTTCCCACCAGAGCCTTGGCGGAAGAGTCTTCGACGTTTTTGACGTTGGGATCTGGTGTAGGGATCGGTTGGCCCCCACTGTGAGCCGTATGTCAGCACTCTGTAAAGCAATGTACCGAATCTTGTCGTGCTTGCCTGCTTCGACACCTGGATACTTACTTGTAGATTCGTGGCCCTTGATAACCACCACGTGGACCTCGACGACCCCAGCCACCAGGATCCTCGCGACCGCAAAAATTGCCTCGGCCATGATGACCACCGCGTCCCTGAAAGCTAGCTAGGCCACCGGAGTCTCTTCTCAAATCACCGCTGAACTCCCCACGACCCCGACCACGGCCTGCTCCAAGGTCATCTCGAAATGCTCTCCCTTCGTCGCCTCGTCCGCGACCGCGATTATCAGACATAAATATTGATTAATGCTGGAAGACAATGGGCTATGCATCAGAACGTTGCCCGTGAAATAAAACAAAGAAAGAGGAGAGTTAGAGAGCAGATTGAGAGGTAGACAGCAGATCCTAGGGTGTCACTCGGGGGCTGACTTGGAAGTGCGTGCTTGTTGATCGAGCTTCCGCGCGGTCAGAGCGCAAAAAGAATGCGGTCTAGATGCGACGACTGACAAGGGTAGGCTCGAGACAATAGTATCCTTCAGCGTAGATCTTCTGCTTAGTCGCAATGAAAGACCCCGAGCGCTAGCCCCCGAATTCAGCGAATATGCTAGATTGTGCTACTGTTTCACTATTACCCTGAAGGGGAACCTAAGATTGAGATTTTTCAGCTTCCTCCCGGAACCTGAATAGCATTATTGGAACAGAGAACCATGTATCGTCAGGCAGTATATTACGAACCAATTGTAATTACATGTAGCCACGTCACGCTCGGGACTCAGCATGAAATCCGAAGCTAGGGTGGGTATCTTAATAATGGGTACATAGAAGGCAACATTTGACAGACAGGTTCATGCTCCATATCTCAGCACGGCTACTCTGTCAGATGTGACCGTAGTGGAAGCTATTACCCGTTACTCTTTTCGTTCTCCGAACCATCTTGTCCAGGCATTGACAGCAGCTTGCGCGGAAGAATACAACCATGATGGCAACCAAGAATCTGCTTATCTTGGAAGTATCTTGCTCTAATTGGTAGGGATCTTTGTTGCGTGCTTTTGACAACGGCATTGGAATTATGCCATGAGATTCTCCATCTGAAAAGAAGTTGCGATAGGGATAAGTGAAAGATGTCGTGTTCGTTTGATGGACGTCCATTTGCCAGATGTCAATGCGATCTAAAAAGAATGTGGGAAGCATTGGCAGGTCTATGGACCCAAGTCTTCAACTATTCCTAAGCATTCCATGATTTATTTCAAAAACTACGCAAACCAAACGAAATGGCCAATTGTTCACCTCTCGTGACTCAACAGATGGACCCAAATAAACTTAAAAAGTGTATTAGGCCCATGATCAACACTATGTGCATACTTTTGCCAGTGGCCCTGAACGTCATCTTCAATGGCCGACGTACAATCGATGGAATCTCCTGCGCTATGGCCACAGCACGAGTATCTCTATCCCTTAAGCATCGCCCTTACGACCTCCCTTGATTTGACAAGTCCGCTAAATCAACAGCTGCCGGACGTAATATTATGTTGTTGGATAGCTCATGTTGTGTCCCCGCCATAAACGCTCTCTGGGTGAAGGCACCCACATACTACACTTCAGCAGAACCGGGTGAAAGCGGTTATAGGGGGTTTTCGATACCTCGGATATCCCTGATTCCGCTTGGTGGCTTGAATAGCACCTTGATCCAACCGATAAATATATTAAATAGGTTCAAAGTGAAATTACTACATCCATACCTCAAATTCCGGACGATTCTCCATGCCTTTCGCTTCTCAACATGCGTCGATCATTCTCTCATTATGGTGATTAGACCCAGCTAGGCCGGTGGTTTGTCCTTGCATTCATCTGGTCTAGGAGTGTATAGCTCGGAAAGCTTATCACCCTTTTGCCGGAGATGGCCCCGCTACTTTTTCGGAGGCTGATCCGATTGGATGGCTGAGGAGCCGTCAAATAACAATCACGTGCCGGCAGCAGGCCAGAAAGTCTAATCCAAAATAGACGTCGAGACATGCAGCGGGAACCCACCGCCCAGACAGGGGTTATGCGACAGTGTGGGGCACCCAGCTAAACAGGACGAAATGTGACTCACCAACCTCAAGTCCCGTTTGTAGGGAAACGGAGTCCTAGTTGGAAATCACTCTCTAAGTTATCTTGTGGTTCTGCTTTCCCCTCAAGGGGTCGAAGTTGTCATAGTATAGTTTATATATTTTTGGCATATTTTTTCCAAGAGCTTCTGTACTTTGCTCGGATTCCATTTTCGGAGTAAATAATATTTTGACTGCTCTCCTAGTGTACTAGCGGCATTTCGGCTAGCACAAAGTGACGTCTGAGGAAGAGTATCTCGATTCATCTAGCGCTAGCAAAATTTTCCAATAGTACGCTAAACCCTCACGGGTTATAGCCCTTGTTTCGAGTACAGATCATAGAGTGGTTGTATAGGTCTACATTGCCTCACAGCATTAGATCCATCGATGAATGCAGTGCCATCTGGCTTCCGTAATGGCTTTTCGATCGTACCGTCACCGAAACATAGGATTGTCTAGCGCGTATATACTTAGTCTAAGGGTTGAACCAGGCAGTAAGGCCGCAAGAGGGGGGAAAGTTAGCCCTGCCTACCTTGACCAAGTAATCCATACAGTGTGGCCAGTGATTATCGTTATGCTAATCCATACCGATGTCTTTACCCTTATTCGCGGATTGGAGGGCTTTGCGGAACATTGTGAGACAGTGTAATTGATGAAACCTATGAAAGCTCATCAGAAGATATCCGGAATTGCTTATTACTTTTCCCAGTCGCGTATCTCAAAATCAATAGCCAAGGTTGCTGGCGTGACTTATATACTAATACTCCCTTTCCCTCTGTTGATGCCGTCGTCTGAGACATATATTTCGCCACCAGAAGTCTTGTTTAATGATAGCGCTGCCCAAAGATTATTATATGAATGATCAAGAGGCTGAAAAGCTCTGTCTTGTGTAAATGTCGTAGCGATTGTGTGCTCAGCGTTATGCGTAGATCCACAAGACCTCGAATCGACAGAGGTAAATTCAACACGCTCAGAATGAAAATTATGAAAAGCATCGCGATTCTAGTGACAGGATACAGCAGAACATCGCCAATAGATGCTAAATGGTTGTCCATTTGGTGTTCTGTCTCTGGTTCTGACGACTTCTTATCGGACGATTCGCGCCGGAGGAGATGGTAGCTTATACTGGGGGATAACTGAGAGAAAGATATTGATCGACGAAGCACACGCCTGAGCGTAGGGCAATACTCCTCTTGTACTATATACCATCTCAGTCAAGGATACGTCCCCTGGGTGCCCAAAAGGGATATTAACTAGGGAGAGGAACCATCATTTTGCCAATAACCATAGAATAAGGCGCTGGTATTCATTCCCAACGTAACAGTCATATTGAAGAATGCACTGCACTAGCAACCTTGACAAGTCGAACATATCGTATCACATTCTAACCCTGATGTCTAGTATGCACGCCTTGGGTTATATGTTGTATTGCTTTCAGAGCGCAATAGTCACCTTTGTCAGTGGGTATGTAGACATTATTTCTAAGGATAACCATTGGTTGACCATTGGTTTCGACCAGATAAGCGTTGTTGTATACTGCCTTAAGTATACATACCGAATATCAGTAGTAGGGATGTGCTGGGGTAACATTATTGAACCCTGCTGTTACTGTATAGAGAATGCTACTGATAAAATCAGAGGCTTATTCTCTTCTTACTATATTTCCCTAGAGTGACCTTAGAAAGTATGCTTGCTAGGGATATATCTTATAGCTAGAAAAAAGCATAAAAACCGCCGCACCCTCCCAGCTAGCTCTAAAATTTCTTCTATCCATCATCAGTACTCAACCCGTAGTTAGTCACTTATTGTTCTTTAAGTTCCCGACAAACCAACTACCGCCCACTCAAAGATCCTTTCTTAACCCAACATCTCTTCCATCGAAATGCATTTCAGCACAGTTACTACCATCTTCGGTCTTGTCGCTGTCACTATTGCTGCCCCCGCCGCACCTTCCGGAGGCCCCCCGGCGGCGTCACCTATGGCCATCACCAAGGCAGCGAGTCGGTCTGCTTCTGCTGCCCTAGTGACGAGAATGACCCCGAATCTGGCAATTGCAGCCGTCTCGCCGAGGACAATACATGCTAGGCGGATTGGAACGTCTTCTGCTGTGACATTCGGGAGGGGGTAAGTGCTCTTCTATAGACTCCTGATGATTATGACATGATAAGCTGATTTCCGTCTAGGTATGCAGCAGTGTCGGTGAATCGAGGACGTTGCTAGCGGGGGCCTCCTGGACCTCGGCAAGACTGTGAAAAACCTTATTGGAGTTAAGATTCTTTAAGCACCTCGCGCAACTACACCTATCCGAATCTGGACACACCTTACCCCGGATTAACGTTTGTTACACTCAATCCTCGACTACGGTCTCCAGGAATACCTAGTGGCGTGTATTTTGGCTGGATAGCTGTTGATAAACGTGGGTAGGAAACTGCTCTCGGATGGTTTAGTTGCATTTGAGACATGATCATGTTCCTACTGAGGAGTCCGAGAATTGGGATTTTCAACTTCCCTCTCCCTACTCGTGTGAGCAAGGTCACCTTAACGTGTCCTCGTATCTTCCGTTCTTTTTATCTTTTCTTCAACCAACTAATTCAATTAATTCAACTCGTATTTTTGGAATGGGTCCCCTTGGCCAATTTAGCCTATCTCATGTCCAATGCGATACTGATCTAAGCTTGCTTGACACCTGTGATTCACGCCAGAGTCAATTTGGACGCCGCTTTGGCGATGAGCCCAAGGCTGAGTTGCTAGATCGAGATTCAAATGGCGAGTAAACAATCCTGGAATAGCTTTAACGTTGCTGTAGAAACGCGTCTCCATCTTCAGCGGGCAGCTGAAGTGGTCACACGCGAAATTGATGACAGTTCCTGTGATCCCACCGTCGGTACGCAAAGGTGGTGCGAAAACTTCACCTTTCAGTGAGGTGCCGCTATCAATTGGTCCGTGCACCTCAATGCAATAGCCGGTATGAGCTTGAAGTATGAGTACCTTGGCGTAACTTTTCTCATTACCCGAATGTGCAGTGCGAGCTTTTCAACGGCAGGGAGATTAAGACAGATTGTCAAGATCAATCTGTGAGGTCATTCGTAATTTCCTTTGATCAACGATTACTGTCAATCGAACCATAAACGATGGTTGTAATCAATTCCTGCAACCGTGTCTTCGATCGGGCATTCCGTTCTCACGGCGGCGTTGACTCAACCACCGTACTCGCAACGTCACCGTTACATTTATGTGCTAATCCTGATATGCGATACACATGATGTTGTCGCCATGCTTGCCTCCGCTGCCACAGCAAACACTTCACTTGTGAGGGACAGAGTCTCTTCAAGTATGTGAGTAGCGCTTCCTCCCTGCATTAGGAGCCCAGTAGATAATTTACTGGGATCGGGGCATTCACTGCCTTTCTAATGACAACTTGATAGGTACTTTTTCTTGTTGATTGTCACACTTGCTTATCTCCTGTCGTGCTTTAGTAGTGGGTGAATTCGTGAATCTGATGACAGGTATTGTACTTTTTACCGCGGGACGGATGAAATATATGCAGTCTTCAATGGATGATTTAAACCCAGCACCAACCCGTACACATGGTCGCAAGTGCACATATACTAAGCAAGTTTACCTTTTGTGTTGATCATTGCTTTCTCGATCGGCTCTATCTGGGTTAAGACTAGAAAAAAGGACAAAACCCTCTCGAAAGCCCAGGAAAACTTGAGAAATCAATTGACTAGAGCATCAGAGCCAAGGGTCAGCAAAATTTTGTGTGTATCCAAATATGCTTTTTTGGTCCACTAGTAATTCCTCTCCCTTCGAAGTCGTGCGTTTGAATCCGATACTCATCATTAATTCGAACAAAATTCAAAAATTTGACTCATCAACTCCCTGCACCATGTCATTGCGACGACTTCACATGACAGCTAAACAAAAAGTCGCTGACCTAGCGCGCTACCACAAGAGGGTAGTGCACGTTTCGTGCTCCTTGCCGTACACTCGTTATCCAGTTTTAATTCACATATCGGACGAACCTGCGTTTCCCTCCTTGACCGGCCCGCCATCGAACGTCAGCCGTCTATGGGAACAGGGATCGTAGGCTTGGCTAGACCGATCCAGAGTCACCACGCAACGATTGCGGCCACCAGGTCTTCCATTCCTGGTCTAAAGGGCTTTGAGATTATCGCGACGCGTGAAGCGGCACTGACTCCGGAAACCAGCAGGTATAGAACCTTTCGGCCAGGTGGCCAGAGAGATGACGCTGTAGGCCTTTGAAATGTGAAAGCAACTGCTGCATCTTGCAACACTGCATTTTAATTGCCGCCGGCGGAACGGCTGTGGTATGCTGCGGTGGGTGTGGCTGGAGCGTTCGTGGTTACCGCAGATAAGACGTGTGAATTCTTCAAAATCTTGCCAGGATGCCGTACTGCACTCACTATTGGGCGTTTTGATATATGCATATTTTAGCTTATATTCGGCCTAGCTGCGCTGTTTGGCTTGACAATGGGACTCCCCGACAATGAAACTCCCGCGAAAAAGTCGACCTCGGCATCGAGGACAGACTTGTCTTGGACCCAGTCCATATTATGAACTTGATCTTGCTCGGCGGGAGCATAATCACTCACCATCGTGGTAGCCTCCATCATTCTTCACCGATGGGTGTGCTGTTCCAATCTGTAAGAGCATGTGGTGGATGGAAGATTCAAAAATTCCTGCAGAAATGAACGAAGGACCTCGAACAGGTTGGGAGATATAAGAAAGGGCATGCAGGGAGGGTAAATCTTGGAACATACCTAGGAAGAGGTAAGAGTTAGAGAGTACTGTCTATGCAGATGTTACAAGCAGACCCGCTTTCCTAGGACTGAACTGTGAACAGAGTTTGATTCAACCAGACTCATTCATGCGTAACTGCATGAGCCGGAGCAAGGAGATATGATTGCACCAGGGCTTTAGTCCGTTGATCCAGCATTAGGAAAAGCAATCACCATTTTCGAGTATATTCAATGTTGGCATACTGGAACGCACATTTCGAGAGACCTATATTTTGCAACATCGCGAAGAATCTCAAGCATCATCCAGGAACCCACACGAGCCAGGATGGACGCCTCCCATGCCAAACCTGTCGAAGAATGTCCGGAGAATCAGCCCGCAAGTAGCCATCCTATAACCGGCGAACATAATCTCCCAAATGCGAAAAATACCCCTTGTTGAAGCCTTTATTGCGAGGATTGGGTCTGCTGCAATGGCCATATGATTGTTACTTGTCGGCATTTGGCCGGCCACTAGAATGTTCTCTCACAGAAACCGGGTTTTTTGGATCCAATAATACTCGTTGGTTATCTGAAACCACTTAGCCCTTGTTTAAAAAGACGGTTGTAGGCTCGCATGACTAGATATTTGATATGCACGCGGCTATGTTAACCCAAACTATGGCGAGGTTTGGAATGTAACCCTGAAATCACAAGTGTGTGGCCACGGTCACATTACACCATGACCACGGTGGTAATGGTCATAGTGCTGGTGGACTAGCGTAGCTTGAAAAAGACGTTACTACATCGAAGTACTATCTGGCCGGTCTAAACATTGATAAAAGTGGCCAAATTATTGGAAAACGGCTCCACAAGTCTTTCTTAGCTCTGTGATCCATTATCATACGAGCAGGCTAGGTCAAATAGGGCTAGTTTGACATATTTCACCCAGGAAGACAGGGAAGCTGGATCTGTGTCATATTTGAGGTTTCCCCGAATCAGTTCGATTATACATGTTCAACTACAACTACTACATTTGCCAAGGTCACTCTATGCAAACATTCTCTCAGGCCTGTTTGCATGCGTTACTGGACCTAAGGCCCCATCCTGAAGTGTGGTCGGTGGATCCGCGAACAGGTACTGCGTCGCTCATATTCAATTTTCGTAATGAAGACGCTGGGATCTCTAGCTGTTTTGGTATCACAGAAGTCTCCAAAGATATTTTCACAGTGGTGACTGGTCAATTTGACGTGGGAACATTCTCTGCTAGTCCAGGCTCCTTCAGCGTTTGAAAAATTGATTTCACATGTCAGCACCATGACCAAACTATATCCAACTGGCAAGGCACGCAAAGAGCCCCTACGGTTAGCAGAATGGTTGACATCGTTGAAGCCAAGGCGCTTGGAGCCTCGACCTTGTTCAGAAGCAATGTGTCTTCGTATCTTCTCTCTGAAAGTCCTAGGGGAATAATATGGAAGGTAGATTTGCGAACATCACGTTATAGCCCCTCGCTTTCTGAAGAATCCATGCTTCCCATCACTGGTGGCCCGAAAATGGGGGTGAACGGGATCAAGGTATTTGAGGAATATCTCTACTACGCGAGTGTCACCAAAGGCCGGTTACGTCGGATACCTGGCAGCGAAACTGCAAGTGCGACTGGCCCTTCCGAACTGGTCATCAACCAGACTGGAGTTGACAATCTCGACATTTCCAAAGACAAAATTGTTTATCTGGCGGCCAGCACGGAAAATCAGATACTGAAGCTCACCACCCGAGGAAAGATTCTTGAGGTTTTTGGAGCTGAAAATTCAACAACCATCGCTGGACCAACCTGTTGTGTACTAGATTTGAGTGGAAGTAAAGTCTTTATTGGAACAAATGGTGGACAATTTGCTCCGGTGAACGGGCGCTTTAAGGAGCCGGCAAAGCTTGCTGTTATCCAAGCTTGATTAGGAGTTTGTACACAGAGTTTTACGCTAAACACATTATACATGTTCTGTCAAAGCATTTTGATGCAGTGGGCGGGTGGATAGATATCTAGTTGGTTTTACTGACTTTGCGACCTAGGATTTAATATTTTGGCAAGTCCACTATAATTATGTTCCTTTTAATTTCATGCAACCACCGAGCTTATACGTAGTCGTAATCAAGGTTTAATCGTCGGTAGGATTCCTAGGTATTTGTCAAACTTCAATAGGGCCTTCTAGTTCCTAATGTAATCATATCCGAAACGTCATAAGCGATAAGGGTGTTAGTGTAATCGTACCCAGGCAAACTTCTTAACTTGATTCTCATTAGCTTTGGAAAGACCGTATTTGAATATGATGCAAAGTTCTCGCGCATCCGCTATCATCTATCGATTATAGCTTTCGAAATTTAATCAAGGTCTGGAAGCTTGCTTAGCAGTTCAATAACATCTTGCTAGCAATAAGTCGTTATTTTCAAGCACACCCTTCATACTCCTCTTAACTGTATAAGGTTACATTGACCTCGGCTTCCATGTTCAGATAAGGTTGACTCCGTTTAAGACACCATCGGAGACCATAGACTTAATGTTGAGATCAAGCGTGCCATCAACCTTGAAATTTCCCAGTCGAGGCCTGTATCATCGATCATCAACTGTAGTAGATATAGTAGGTGTAAGGAGCATCGGCTGTGTGATGGCTCCATATCAGGGGATGAAGTAGATATACACCGTGGCCTCTTAGCCGGCTTATAAGGTATTCTGTGGTATTTTGGAGGGGTATATATATCCGTAGCCGATATCCAATTGGTCGGCGCGGGAATTGTCCAATATTAGCCATGTTGTTTCTGGAATAACTATATTCCTTTTTTCATTGCCTCCATCGGACTCTGAGTAGTCTTAGTCAAGTCTTAGTAGGAAGTTGGATTCCTCTTAGGTATTCATCATATTTCAATGGGACTTTCTAGTTCCTGAGGTAATCAATTTCCCTAACATCACAAGCGATGAAGGTGTTATGTAACCACACCTAAGCAAACTTGTTGATGTGATTTCTATAAAGTTTGTAAAGATCCTATGTCAATACAGTTCAAAATTCTTGAGCGTCCGCTATTTTCTAGGGATTATTGTCCTCGAAATTTGATGGAGGTCTAGAAGCATGGTTTGTAGTTGAGCGATACCGTGCTACACTTAGAAGAACCACCAACTGTTGTTTGAAGTCACGTGGAACTTGCCCGCCAACTGTTTACAATACGCAAGGGCTTTGTGTCTCCTTCTGAAGTCGATAGTGTGTAATAAAATTTTGGCATTACGGTCCATTGTGGCTGAGAAAAGGTTGTAGGCAGCGCAATCCAAATCCCGTCATTAGTACGGGAGCAATTCCTATTAGTTGGGTAATATAGCCGGTGGCTTGGGTTGAGAAAATGAATCTATGTGGTCTGTGTCGTCTGTGTCAAAAGTACGGTACCCAAGCGCAAAGGCTGCGTGGGCCTGTCCGCTTTACGACTGACAAGCTCCGACCTCTACTTACTTTTGGGGCACTTTCTGCAGCTTAAATTACTTACTATTGCGTATTATGTGATATTAATTATCTACAGTCTTTTTCTAAGTATTCCCGAGCTATGCAGTGCATGCTGTTAGCTTTCTTAGGGCATCAAGATCTGTTAAGGCCGGATCAAGTGTTGTTTTAGTTCTTCTGTTCAGAGTCCAGAGACTTGGCACTGTTTGAAGCTCTTGGCCCTAGAGGGGATAAAATCTCATCCAGTAAGTCTAGTGGCGATTCATGGAAGACCTGTGTATGAATAAGACCGTCTACCGCCTACTTGCAATGACCTTACCTCAGTATCATGCGGCACTATCACTCCACACACTGACCAACCGTTTCCAACTGTAATTGCTGGACCAGAAGATTTGCGTTCATGGATTAAGCTTGGCGAGTCTCAGACCTCAGACTTGTGTCTCACTGCGAGCGCCACACGCAGACTCTCGCTGGACGAAATCGACTTATCCAGCATGAACTTAGACTCAATAGTGGCATCTTTTGGCCATTGTGTCCTTGAGTGTTAGTGATCGTCATTAAAACGCGGTTTGTGAGAATTTTCAGCTCATAATAAGCGGAGGTTTGCAGTGCTTCTAACAACTTACACCTCTCCCGGTTGGATGACATCTGTCAGATAGAGACCAACTGTCTGGATTTGAATAGAATTTCGACCTTATGGTATCCAAAGCGTGGCCGCCCAGCTCCCCAGAATGAATCGAATGCGCCGGGAAGAAGGAAAAGCTTCTTGCTATCTACCATCATAGCTACCTACGAGAGACGAGAATATTAGAAAATAATCCCATCTACACTCCCAAATATCCCTTGGATCAATGAGGAAGCATGACGGACGTAACTAAGGAGCCCCTGGATGTTACTAGAAACATATATTTTTCAGCGCCAGGGTGCATACCTACTTCATGATGAGAGGAATGTACGATCATCCTTTGTTCCTTTTTCTATTCTCTGGTACTTTTGCTATGCATTTATGGCGGCTCCCTTGTTTGTGTTAAGTACTTATAGCATGGTGCCTCGAAGAAGACAAGAAAACACAGAGAGCAAGAAACAATTCATCTAACTGCCAAAATTGAACTGAATTGAGGAAATTGGATAGACTATTGGGTATATCGGGTGCACCCTTTCCGCCAGCTATTTGAGACACAAACATGGCGAGCTGGAAGCCCTCCCAGGAGCTGTTCGATTCCCAGAGTCTTCCAAAACCCCCGCAGTATGCATCAGAGCCAGCTAGTCCTCACTCATCGGCACCACCTCCGTTCCCTTACCGACTTGCACGCAATCATGCCCGTTTCCTTCGTCGAGTCGGCAGCTATACCGTAAATCCTAAAGTCCCCATTCCGCGAGTGGCTCACACCGAAGCCCTGGGCAAAATCAGAGCTAGGCAAGCATGTAGCTACTGCCGAGAGCAGAAAGCCAAGTGCACCGGATGCCAGCCGTGCCAACGCTGTGAGGAAAAAGGCGTCGATTGTATCTACGGGCTTCGGAGCCGGGACATTCTAGAACGGTTTGTAGAGGACTCTATCACTCACAAACACATTGCATGGCGCTAACCGGACTACATAGGAAAATAGCAGAATTGTCCGCCGAAACCAAGCTTTACCGAGATCTGATTTGTGAACTATATCCTGAGCTTGACATCTCGTTGGCGCAAAAAGTCAAACGGATTTTTCATGACCTAAGAATCGAACTGGAACCCACGGTATATTCAAGGGCTCAGTGTACCAGTCCAGTCAATTCATCATCCATCCTAGTGAGATGTTTAAGGACCACGGCATACGACACGACATTCGGAAACGACGATATCTCATTTGCAATCAAAGATCACACAGACGAAGATTTCAATAGTAGCCAACGCCTGCAAGCGATGGGATTTATTAGCGAACATACTACAACAGCATGGCTTTTTGAACTTCAGCGCCACCTTGCAATGAACAGCAGTCCCAAACTCGGGGACGAAGCCTGGCCGCCGTCAATCTCCGTGATGAACTATTTTCAGGACAAGATCGAGGTCGAGATCCTCGAAGACGGTAGTCAATGGACCCTTCCACCTAGAGAAGAAGCTGATCGACTTGTTAATCATTATTTTCGGTTTATTCACCCCGAATTTCCAGTTATTGGAAAGATAACGTTCTATTGGCAATATCGATCCTACTTCTCGAATCCCAACGCCAGGCCTGGAAGGAGGTGGATGGCCCTTCTGAATCTTGTGTTTGCCATTGCTGCAAAGATCTCCCCACTAGCAAGTCGCTCTCATGGGGAGAGCACTAGACGCCACGATTTCTACTTTTCACGGGCTTGGCAATTGGGCATTGATCACGTGGCCTTAGGGGACGCCCCGGATCTACAACAGGTGCAAGTGGAAGGTCTTGCCGCATTTTATCTCCTATGCGTGGGGGAGATCAATAGGTACAGTGCCGTATTTTTTTGTATGATGTTCATTGACTGAGAATGTGTTAGTTAGCTAACTCTTGAAATCAGGGCGTGGCGAATGCTTGGCACGGCGTTTCAATCCGCAGTGGCAATGGGGCTTCATCTCCGCAACTCGGCAAATGAAGTCCAATTCTCGTCAAAAGAGATTCGCTATCGTGTGTGGTGGGCGCTCTTTGTGATGGACTCCTCGTTCCAAGCGATCACTGGTCGCCCACCCAAGACCGACACACATTTCTGCACCACGCCGTTACCGATGCCTTATCGTGAAGAGGACCTTGCGGACAATGCTATAAGGCACCTTCATACTGACGTTCACGCGCGTAATCGATTTTTGGGACCATTTCTTTTTTTCACCGGTGTGGCAGACTATACGACAGGTCTAAGACTATCAGGTTGTACGCAAATAGTTGGTTCCAAGCCGTATAAGGCGATATTAGATGAACAAGTTACACAAGGAGCGACTAAGTGTGTGCCTTCTGCGACTACGGCAACTTCTGTGACATATGAGACATCTACAACCCCTAAGCTCTCACTGTTCTTTGTTCACGCCGTGGACTTGTCGCACCTGACACACAAGGTTATCGGGGTCTTGTACTCTCCGCAGCCGCCTCAGAAATCTTCTTCGGATCTTGAGATCTTAATCTCAGGCTTCAATGATTCCATGGATCAATGGCTTTCAAACCTCCCACAGGAGTTTAATTTCACTATGAGCCATAATGTGCGGTCTTGCTCTCCTCAGGCTGTGAGTCTTGGCTTCCGCTTCTATAGTGCAAGGATCGTTGTCAATAAGCCATGTTTGCACTATCTTGCCTACAATTCAACTAGGCCACATGCTTCTCGATCTTTCTATCGAGCTGCGGCAAAGCTCTGCGTGCAAGCTGCTTACGAAATGCTAGACCTCCTGCCATCCACGGTCGATCTCACCTGGCTCTATGGCACCACCCCATATTGGCTGGTGCTGCATTATATCATGATGGCTATTACTGTCCTGATGGTCGAACTCTTGTTGCACTCCGAAGGCCAATCTAGCGAAAGGAGAAGGGTTCTTGCGCAGGTCCAAAATGCTTTGCGCTGGCTCAAATTCATGTCTAATAGTGACGCCTCCGCGAAGAAAGCATGGCTGATCTGCAAGAATATCTTATCGCAACACGAGTCGCAATAATCTCCTGTTAATAAGAACGAGAAAGGCCGATGAACCTCTGCGTCCTCCATCTCTTACTACGAACATTCATTTGTTCTCAAGTCTGCCATTTGCGACTGTGAAGTTTGACTCAGAACAGGAATCGGTGTTGAAAGATAGTAATTGCACTCAAAATATGTATAATAGCCAATGACAAGCACTTATGGATATAGCTATGCGTTTTCTTCCCATTTGAAGACTTCAGCCATTCACCCCTGGTAACCTTTAGGGCGCGGAAATGCTGAAATCGCATCATTCCCCGATATTATCTATTCATTCGTTCACGTCTTCTATCCGTTAAACCCGTGGTGGATTTCAAGTCCTTGAGCCTCCGTGAACTTTCTCCTCAACATCTCATTGACGCGATTGAAATGAGGCTTGACCAAAACTTGAGCTATCAGCTATCATTTAAAATTTCAGTACAAGGATTGATAATTAGACTCTGGCTACATACTGAGCTCAGCGTCTTCGTGAGCGATTGAACTCCTTCCTGTCCAACTTCCGACACGGCAGCAACCTGTATGTTGCTGTAGTTAGTACAAAGTATTACCATGTGGAGCGTAAGGGAGCTGGAACACCATAAAATCTATTAAAGGATATAAGGGACTGAATGGAGAATTTGGTTCCCCGAAGATTCACCAGACTTGTTCGTTACTTGAGGCTTGTGGTCCGGCCAAAAAAATGAAAATTCGACATCATTCCCCTTCATCTACCGTACCAAATGAATTTTCTACGCGAGTAGTACCAAGACTTTTTTCACCTACGCTGCACGAATATCATGTAGCGGCCTGATAAGCAGAGACAGAGGCTGAATTTTTTTTTTTTTTTTTTCTCAATAAGATCTCCTCTGATGGAAAAGAGGCCGTATTGAGCAGGCTAAAAAGCAAGCAGGAAATCTGGCCAATCGGTAAAATAGCTCGGGAACGAGATGCTTTGATGCGCGCGACCGCTGTAGTCCTTGAGAGAAAACGGCGCTAGCATGAGTCATGTAAATGCAAGCCCTTTTGTGATTCAACTTATGAGCTCACACATGTTGGATTGCTGGAGATATGCGACTCCGCTAAAGGAAGACATACAGCTAAAGTTTAGATTTTGCCCGTAGATAATCAAGTGATCCTACAGGGAGTTACCTCGGATTCGAGGGGTTGTTGGCCCCGTATTGATGTACCAACGGGGAAGCGCTCGAACATTGTTTTTGCGCCAAGATGAGGGGTAGCAATCAAGGATCATCACAAGCGCGTACAGGACACTATCAAGAATTTCTCTGCTATCAGTGATACTTTCTACGCCGGAAAGCACATTATGAGGCACGCTATATCCAAATAGTTTAAGAATAACAGCCGCTCCTCTGTCACGTAAAACAAAATTTGGGTGAACTCTGATATGATATATATTATAGGTATATGAAACAGCTTTTGAAAAAAGAGAATGAGGGATATTGGATGACATAGACGCTGAATATAAAGTGAACGCAATCAAATGTCAGTGAATCGATGTGTGTCCTCAGCCTGTTCGAAATACAACAACTCAGCTACCAGGACGGGTTAGGCGCTCGGAGATCATTATTTCGGGTAGCCTAATCACAACTAAAATCAGTGCTGGCCTTGGATAAAATTATTGAATAATTTTTTGACACTTCATATCATAAAGATGTATGTAATGATAGTAATGCCCATAGAGCCACCAAGTCTAGCGAATATCTTGAAAATACATGTTCGTCGCCGAAGTATCCTGGAGAGATAAATCCGCAGAACGTTATGCTAACGCAGTTAACGTGTTTATATATGCATATTGAAGTGTGGTCCATCGAGATATATACCAGTAGAGACTTTCTATATTTTAATTATTGTAACAGATTGAAGTAATATACTGGGAGGTTGCCTTCGCGTACAGTTCCTCGTAGATGGAATAATTCCGGTCCCAGTGTAATTAGAGAGATGAAAAATGAATTTATCCGAGAAATAGCTCAGAATTCTTTACGCTATAGTTTAGCTTACACGAGAATCAATGTTCACACAGGAAGTAATCATAAGGCTAACAGCCCTTGATCGCAATCCAATGAATCCCGCGATCCAGTGATTTTCCAAGTGTCTTACCAAATGCATATGTTCAAATTTGCAATTGGAACCTTTGACATGCTCTAAGACAGACTTTCAGTCGAGGAGCCCGAGCTGTAAAATCGAGGGAACACTGGGGAACTAGGTAAAATCGGCGAGATAGGCGAGACAGGTGTAGTAGGTCGCGAATTTGTGTGACTATTTGCCGTTGGAGGGACTAGCTGCACACTTGTCACGCTAGGTGGGGTATTGTTGCGCCGAGAGGGCCACACGGAGAGACACGCACGGGGCACAAGCCCCTGTTTCTTTGTGCGTAAAAGTTCGCAAAATGCCTGCAGAGGGCGATCAGCTTGATCCTTGTTCAAATACGAGCTCGACTGCCAACCTACCCAACCGTCGTCAAAAACACGAGTCATGACAACCTTATCCCCCTGCTTCACCCCTAGCTGGGTGTCTCGGCGTGGGATGAACTCTATCTCGATACGGTATACGTTCAACCTTAGTAGTCCCACACTCGGCGACTGGCCGCTCCCATGACACTCGTCGATCGTTTGCAGGGATTTGGTCTCTGATCCTCTTAACGTATCTGAACACTCGCTTGCTGTACAGACATCCTCTAAGCAGACTGTATCCGATGAGACTGACCCGTGAGGTACGTTGTCTTTCAACCCATTTTCGTTATTGCGGCGGGTTCGCTTGACTATTATTGCTGGCGGTGGTAGCCTAATTTTGCTGGCGACTGTGTAGCTTGTATCCAAATGAGTCTGTTCGTCGGCGATATCATGTGTTGAGCCTCTGGATTCCTCGTCAAGGGATGATGACCTTGATGTGATGTCCTTGTCCTTCTCAAAGAAGGCATTATCATCAACTCTTTGCCGCCCCAGCGGATCGGAAATCCAGCGTCGAAAGTTGGAAGTCTTCATGACCACAAACAGAAAAATCCGGATCTTTTGTTCAAGAGCCCTCTTCACCAACGGGCTGCTTGTCTGAACCGTTGTAGCACCATCCTGAAGACACATTTCAGCTTTGGATTTCGCCGAGGAAAAGGAAGCTAGGATTACACTAATCGCTTTAGCGCTCATAGCCAGGAAACCCGTCACGAGACCTTTGGATTGAGAGAGGGCTGCCGCAAAGCGTTCCTTCCGGACGGTCGGGTGACCGGTCGGCTGCTGGTATGTTGCAAGTATAGGTTTCTTTCGCTCGGCCTGTCGCTTGAACCAACCCACAATCATAAGTATTATGAGAGACGCAACAAGAATAATAATCACTAAATGGTAAATGCGAAATTCCTTGGGTGCTGGTTCTTTCCGCTGCAGTAGATTATTTGCCACTGATCTTGTAGACGTGACTGGAAAGTCGGAGGTGGTTGCTGATTGGGTTCTACTTGGTAGAGCAATTGACGAAGTCTGAAAAATATCTGTCGCCATGGCTAGCGTCTCCGTAGAGACCGGATGTCTAGTCTCAGCGAGCCTAGTTGTATCCCACACCGGTGACTGTGGTATTCTTGTCACAATTGCGTTTGCAACCAAAGCCGCTACCTGTAATGTGGTAGGGGGTCCATTGGCCTGCGCACCCTGATAAACAGTATCCGATCCATGCGAATATGGTGCAGGATGATAGAGACCATCATCGGCGGCGCTCAACGGTGTTGGATACGCCTCCCGAGCAATGGCGTCAGCGACTCTTGTTTGGGACATAGCACTCATGGTAAACACTCTATAAATTGCAACAACTCGAAGCCGCCACTAATAGGTAGAACCAGAAAGGGCCTGCAGGGTTCCCAATCCTTGCAGTCGGTTTTGGTCGCTTTGGATGTCGCTTTATGCCCCTCACCATAGCATGTGTATGTTGTTGTTTACAAAATTAGCGTCGTATCTAGAATGAGAGACACTCCCTTCATTAATGTTACAATGGCATCATAGTAGTTGGAATGTGGGTTCTTATAGTACTGTGCTCCTCTGCAAGTAACCCAAGACTCTGAAGGGAGGGCATCCCTCCAGTAAATTACGCTTTAACTCAAAAATAATTACAGTATCAAACAAGCAGATTCTAAAAGCAAAATGTATCCAAAATAGCATCTAAGGAAGGTAAACATGTCTCTATAATGGCAAATATATCTTTAGGTAGCGAATGCTATACATTGAGCCTGGTACAAAGCTATGTCCCGGTGTATGAAGCTGTGAGGGAAATACTTATGCTTCCCTCAGTCACGGTATGTGAAGTCTATGGATAGTAATTAACCGATAGTCAAGGTTTAAGTACCAAAACGGCGAATTGACATGATTCTGGCATCTAACCCCATCGCAAGAAGACACTTTTTCTATGTAGGGGTTAGCCGCGTATAGCATAGTTCTGGTTACAACCAAATGTTGATTCAGCGATCAACATGCTTAGAGTACTTCATGGGTTCCATTCGAGCCAGAACTGACTGTAATCAGCGAGTAAATATGTGCATCGCAAAAAGGTGTCTCCTTGACGGTCTGAGACAGCTCACCGTATAAGCCTAGCTGGAACAAAAGATGTCCATCGTTACTTTATGACTACTCGTAATTGTTCTTACTCTAAATTTGGAATTATCGTGCCCCGCTTATTTGTATTCCTGGTTCCTCCACAATAGCCGGAACATAGGGTGTATTCTTTATAGCATCCTTGCATCTAGGGGTTGAACGCAGCGGTAGCTCGGCCGGCCAATAGGTTTCCTTTCCGCCTACCCTTTCCGCTCTTGCACCCAGAATAGAGTTCAGTACATACATTTGATATTTCCCAAGACGTATATGCTTCAATAACCATTGTAGGGGCAAATACACCTATAGATCTAATATAGTACCACTAGCTGTATATAAGGCTAGGATTAACAAAGGTCGGTTATGAGATAAATTTGCGAGCTCCTGGTTGGGCTAGATTTTTTGTCTTCCCTCCGTCTTTTTCTTGGAAATGCATAAACAATGGTTCTAGCAGTATAGCCTGATTCTATGCTCACCGCGCTCTGTGGATCTGTTGCGGTGGATCTGCAGTCAAGGAGTCAAATATCGTGAATAGTTCCGTTCATTCTGAAAGGCGTGCTGTAACAAGCGATTGCATTATAGCAATTACTTACCCTATAAAACGCACTTGTCCCGCCGTTCACAAGTTCTCATTCTATAGCATTTGATAACCTTTCGACCTATATTCCGCTTTCGCGAGATATCCAACATTTTCAAATACAGCTAATGTTGATTTGATGCAGTACCATGTTTGGTGAGAATGTTTACTGATTTGGATTTTCCCTTGCAATAAGTAACTCTTGGATTGGGTAAGAATATCCCCAAAATCCAAGTCGTATAACCATCCGTTCAGGAAGATTGGTCTTGCCTGCGTTTATTAAAAAGACGACGAATAAAAACAATCGCCTTGTTGTATGACAGGCTCATGATTCGAAACTTCGGATTGTTCCCCTCAGCCTGTGCAGAATACTTATTGGTATCGAATTGTTCAACGATGGATGAATACACGCTGAGACTGCTCAAACTCGTGTTCGGAGCGGTGGAATGACATAGATCGGGATCGGAGATGTCGAGAAATGTACCAAAGCTTACCGCCTGCCGCAAGCTCAGTATATGCACCTTTCTGTTCGAATTCCACGTCGCAATGGGTGGACTTGGGATAGGATTGATCAAAGTCCTTTCCCATACGTCGTCCACGTGGGGACTCTGTGGACTGAGAGTAGTGGGAAAAATGGACAATGATTCAGAGGAACACGATGAGATTAAGGACTCCGCGTCTTGATAAATGGTAAATGCCTCCCTCGATCGCTTCAAAATTCGTCAGAAGATCTCCAGCTTCATAATTAAATAGGCGATATTCAGTCAACGTACCATGTTCGCTCCGGGCGACAGTCTCCCTAACGGATTCCCGTGAAAGAAGCCCATTCTATCTTGTCGTGGGTAAGATTATTGTGGGATAGAAATGGGAGCTGGGAGGAGTTCCTGCGGTAATATTGACAATTTATAGGAAGTCAAATAACATACATAGTTTAGTTCATTGTCTAAGCGATTACACGTAATCCAAAGATTAGCAAGGGACATTAATATGCTAGATTGAAACGAACTGAAATATTTGCAGCCAATTCCATCCCCTCGAATACCCTTGATGGAGATGCTCCGTAAGGAATAGACGAAGGGCGGCTTATGTGGACGAATGCATTATAGCTTGCTAATCGAAAATCATCCTTTGGCTTGCTTTTTCCATTCCGATCCATTCAATGATACTACCAAACTCCGTCAGGAAATTCCAGGTACGGATATTGGTCCACTACCAAGCATCCGGTAGGAATTTTGATGTTATTTGATCGAGGCATTGGACCCTTGGATGGACGGATCGAAAGGTGATAAAGACCTGGTGTAGCCAAATATGCAAGCATTGCTGGGGAATATTATATGTGATTTCATGATCAAACCAGTAAATTCCGAAAGAGCTCTTTAAAGCGCTATGGGTATGAGATCAAGACAGGTAGTCATCGACAGGCCGCTCAAATTCAAGCCCCCTTTATATGGCCCGAAGGCTAAGATGGTAGATCTGTCAAGGGTTGTTGATATGACGTTCTATTATACCATAGCGAAGTGTGAGGGGATGACTTCAAGTAATTGGATAGAAATTATGGCCACCAATATGCCGCACTTGAAACTACTCACCAAGGAATCAAAACCAGCGGTAGCTTTTTCGACCAATAGCTTTGCTTTTCACCTGCTCTTTCCGCTCTCACACTCAGAATAGCGAACATACATATTATCGTTGTCCAGTGAATAAGAGGTGAATACTAGAATACCCTAGAATAAACACTGCAATCCAGATCCGATAGCTCCGAAGACGCCAAAAGACTAGATAGTATTGATTTAAAATCCTACACAACGAAAAGTTTCAACAATTGAGAAGAGAGCTGTCACAACTTGAATATTTCCTTAGCGGACGACTTTTGCCGATCGTGGCATTATCTCTCAGATATCAGAGTCCGACTAGAGCACGTGCCCTCACATCCGGTACGGGGATAAATCCACGTACAAAGGAGTAAATGAAAAAATAATTATTATAAATTTGATATCAACCCACTACAAGCATATAAAGCTAGGTTTAGCAAAAAGCAGTTATAAGATGACGTTTGCGAGTTCCTGCTTAGGTTAGATTTTCTGTCTTTCCAGTTCTTTCCGTTTTTTTCTTTCAAATGCGCAAGATATGCTCCTAGTACTATTGCTGTGACTATGTTACGGTGGATCTCCAGCCAAGGAGTCAAATATCTTGTATAGTTCCGTCAAATGCTGAAAAGCGTCTTGTAACAAGCGATAGCATTACAATAATGAGTTCACCGACAAAACGCACTTGCCCCCCTGTTCAATAGTAACTTATTTTGTAACATTTCACACCTATCCAACCACATTCCACTTTCGCTAGGTATTGATCATTTCCTATAGAACAAATATCTATTTGATGCAGTAACACATTTGGGGAGACTTTGAACTGATTTAGATTTCCCTCGAAATCAATCCTCAATTAATCAATCAATACTCCATTAACCTGTTGCAGCCTCAGTAGTGGCGTGATGGCTATACTGGCGCTTCGTCCGGCGGAAGCAAGAGTGATCTGAAGGCCAGAACCGCGCATGAAACAGTAAATATATAGAAAGACGGCGTCTTGCCATATAAAGTCAGCCCAAAACGGTGTTAAAATAGTACCATGATGCCTCAAAAGCCCTCATTCTCACAATATATCTCTCAATCTGCCCTCACATTGGCCTGCTGCTTCCTCTGCATATCTATCTTTTGCCTACCCTCTCCGACATCCCAACCTTCCTCCTGCTCCGTTCTCGATTAGTGGTGTTTGCTGTCGACTGGTGTGTTGACATGTTGGATGTATTCTTCCGCAGCCTCTCGATTGCCGTGGGTTTGGCGTTCCTCTTACCCAGCGTCTTCGCCCCCTGTGCCGTTGCCAGATCATCCTGACTTGTTGGTTTCGTTGCCTCCATTTAGCGGCCCCGGCTCGATCTAGACGTGTCGCAACTGCCCCAGTAGGCCTGTCTGTAGTATAAATTCGACCACGTAGCGTGTTTCCTGCCTGTGCGATACAATCGCATCATAATCCGTCGAATCCCCAAGATCGGTCATCCGGATCTTGTCAAGGAAGGGTTTTCTCAGATCAGCGTACAACAGGCACTGTATGAGCATGTGTCTCGGTGTGTATGATCCCTCGCTGCTATAGCACTGATTTGATTCGACCGCCTTGCTTTTGAATATAGTTCAGTACAATGCGCGTCGATCGCATCTTGAGTTGTACGGTTTCGATAAGGATTCCAATAGCCGAAGCACTTTCTTGTCTGGAGCTTTGGCCAACTGTGGTTTCGGCTTGCCAGTTCGCTCTTTCGCCCACGTGTCCATTTCTCTTTGATATGCCGCCGCACTCGACGCTTCGCGATCGTTGCTAGAAGGACCCGAGCGCTGAGGGATCCACTGCCTGCCGAATCACCGGCGTGAGCTTGATCCGATCTGTGCCCCACCACACCTCCGGTCGCCGCTAACTTTGCTTCAACTTCAGCGGATTCATTGCCAGGAACGCCCACGTGTGCGGGGATCCAACAGATCTCGATGGGAATCAGATCGAACGTGGGCGTTTGCTGGCGGTATTATTGCGTCGCTCGAAGGGTTCGTACGTCATCGTATATGGTAGACAGCACATACTA